CCTTCCTGATAGAAGCTGGATCATTTAAAGAAAGAAAGCATAAGCATCTGAGTGCTAGAATTATTAAGAGGTAATGGGGAAAGAGCTACAAAGTAGGATTGATTAAAAAAAAATCCGGTATCAAATGCAAGGATTATTATTATTGTGGCAGGAATTCAAATTAATATTTTTGGGATACACAGGCTCTGAGATGCACATTAGGTAGGGAGAAACCTTAGGCAAGTTTCCTTGCTCCACACGCCTCTGTTTACCAGCAGTAAGTAGGAATCCGGGTGTTAGAGAATTGGTGGATCACTTTCTGGGAGTAATAATACCTCCAAAAAAAAATTCACTCAATCAACGACTGTTTGTGGCGCACTGCTGTGCACTCCTCGTCCTCCTTGACCTCTCTGCTGCCTTCGACACCGTTGACCACTCTATCCTCATCCACTAGCTCTCTTCTCACCTCAACCTTCGCGGCTCTGTCCTTGATTGGTTCAGATCGTACCTCTCACATTGCCTCTATGTCATCTCCTCAAACGGCTTCTCCTCCAGTCCCCGCACCATCTTGGGAGGCGTTCCTCAGGGCTCTGTCCTTGGTCCCCTCCTCTTCAATATCTATATGCTCCCTCAATGGGCTCCGGCCTGCTTCACATCCCCTGCCTTGCCCACCCTACCATTGGTGGGCGGGCCTTCTGCCACTCTGCCTTCACTCTCTGGAACTCCATGCCGCAGTCCCTCCGCCTCACCCCTCCCTTGCCTCCTTCAAGATCCATCTCAAAGACCCTCCTCTTCGACCATGCCTTCGATCACCCTCCTTCACCCCCTGCCCTCTACCCGCTCCAATCCCGATCTCCAGCTCAGGTCCAGAACTCTGACTGTCCAGCCGTGGGACGTCCTCCCGATGTGAAAGGCGCGATACAAATGTGATTTTGTTGTTGTTGCCGTGTTTTACCCCCCAAAATACACAGTTAATCCACTCTACAATATATTCTGTGAGACATCTCAATGACTTGATAAGGTGCTGTATCAAATGCAAGGATTATTATTATTAATATTATTATTATTACACAGCGTTCCACAGGCTCTGTCATTTTCAGATATTTTTAGTTATTGAGGCATCATTCTGAATATTTCCAGTATGTCTTATAAAATTCTGGACAAGTCCTGGGACCGTATCACTATCTGAAGTTCCTGCAAGGATGGCAGAGGCTGTTATTGATGCTGGGCTTGTATGAATCTTAATAGATTACACCTGGATAGTACTGCTTTTTCTAACGTGTCAACATTAGTACAGCATGCTTCGTAATTGAATGAAAACATTGCAATATCCTTCCAAGTGCATTGAATCTTATCATCAGCAACCCATGTAGTTTTGCTGTAGAGTAATAGATTAAAAAAGCTTTTTGGTGCTAAACCCTTCATTGTGATTTAGGAGGAGATTTGTTTAAATAACCGTGCAGCACTTATGGAAATGCAAAACAAAACATTCTATCACTTTAAAAGACTCCTGTAAGTAATTCCTTTTACGTGAAAACAAAATATATGCATGTGCAGCGTTCAGGCCAGTGGCAGACATTCCTCAAGCAAAAGAAAATCCGCTGTTAATGGCTCCACCACCAACTTTCTGACACTGTTGCTGTGCAGAAATAGCCTGTTCAGCTACTTAAATACTCTTTTTGCTTCTAAGTGATATGCCCTCATTTGCCAGTTCCATTAAGACTTGGCTGCACCCATCTTCCATTCAATGTGCATGTTGAAAACCCAGTGCTGATGACGAGCCAAGAGAATCTACAATTCCACTTAATGCTCCTTATTTAATCACTGAGGAATTTCTGGGCTCTGGTTCTGTTCTCTGAACGTTCCGACATCACACACTTTATATTGTTGTTTTGCTCGACACTGATGACTTATTACAGTATCTTGAATATCCATCAAGATGAGGATTTTTCTACAATTAGCTAAATATCACTGTGAGTGGAAGGTGACAGGGCAATACTGTAAATAGCAGTACTCCTGAAGCTACTCCTAATAAAGCTCTGATTGTGGAAATTGAAGCCAACAATGATATAACTTGTTAGGATTTTGGTTGTTACCGCATTTGGCCAAATAAATCAGTCTTTCACCTCATCTGGAAACTAGAACAAAGCACCTCTGATTCACAAAGCTGTCTCTTTGCTGCTCAGAAGTGGAACGTGGGAAGAAGGTTGTTGGGTTTACACTGCTCAAGCAGAAGAAATAATAATATGGAAAATAGGTCAGATAGAACTGATATTTTCATCATGGATTCGCCAAAGGGGTCAGGAGGACTAGGACTGTGACCATATTCTTAGAAACTGCCGAGTTTCACTGTCATGAATGAACATTATCGGTGGAGCTGGAGAATACAAGTGTTTTTTACTCACTCACCCCCGAGTCAGGGCCTGACCAGTGATCTCACACTGATTTCATCTTGCCTTGACTTTGCAGAACAAAGAGAGATTCTTTGAAGGGTGAGCAGTAAAAGACAAAACAGAAAAGAAGAATGCAACTCTTTCAAAAACGCTTCCCCGAATCTCCGGGACCAAAGGAAAGCATAAGTTGTTTGTTGAAACCTATTCCATCATTGGCATTCACATGTTCGTGCCAAATAAAATTGGTCATTCACTTTGTGGCTGTTTGTGGGACAGTACTGGCCACAAATTGGCTGCCACGTTCACCTACAAACACGTTTGCTTACAATCATTGCACTGGACAATACATCCTTTGAAATGCTTTGAGATATTCTGGACACTATATCATATACAGGATTATTAGACTTTCCTTATCTACGTGGAGGAATGTTATTCTAAGTGTCAAGATTTCGCCCATTTACTTACTCACCCTAGAGTCAGGGCCTGACTCAGTGATTTCATCCTGCTCTGCTGGCCTAATTCAGAGCGTTTAGGCACAGATTGGCAGGAGTCAAGCCTTGGGGAACCCCAAAGTGTGCATTGAAGTAGCTGCATGGAGATTAACCAGCTAAAACTCCACAGATTGCCATTGAAAGCTTTGTCTGGAGAGCTTCTTGTATATAATCCTAATGCCCCACAATTTTACAATAACCTTTAAAATGTATCCTAATAAAAGACACTGTCATTGCGCTTTATACCTTATCCAGTAAGCACTTTCAGACTTCCTCCCACAATGTGAAAGGTGTTGTACCAAATGTAAGGATTATAATTATTGATTCCACCTCTGGCAGCTCTCTGGGGCAAAGCATTTCACATCCTCACAAGCCTTCACAAGAGTGAAGAAATGCTTTCTGACCTCAGTTCTAATTGTTTTGCAGATCTGAACTCATCTGATTTGGCAATGTAGCCCAGCATCCTGTTTCTTTGTTGGAGCTTAACAGCGGTGATTGATGAGTCACCTCGCACTCCTAGGTCTCTTTCGGCTAACTCCCTTGGCAAGTTCCAAACCACTCATTGGAGCACATGTGCCCTACCTCCTTGAAAACATGCACTAAGCATAGAATCAGAGAATTATACAGCACAGAATGAGGCCATTCGGTTCATTGTGTCTGTGCCGGATCTTTGAAAAGAGCTTCCAAATCAACCCCACTCCCCCACTCTCTCCCCATAGCCCTGCAAACTTATCCTCCCCAAATAATTATCTACTTCTCTTTTAAAAGTTGTTGTCGAGTGTAAACTAATAGTAGAAAAAGCAGGAAGTGATCTGGATTGTATCTCGGTTAATAGTTATATTTTTAGATTGTGTTTGCTGGGACACATCCTGTGTCACATAGATGTTGCTCAACAAAGAAGATGTAACACCAACTGATCTTGTTGTTAATACACACTACTACTGCACTGTGCTGTCATTGGCAACGCGCTGAGGATGGCCTATAGTTTTTAACCCTTTTCAGATCCTTTTTGACTCCTTGCTCCTTTGGGGATTTTAGCACGAGCAAGAAGAAACACTGTTAATGGCGAGCGGTCGGAGATCAGAGTGTGGCTGGGCTGGACAGGGGTGCAATCACCCCTTAACTGCAGACCAACTGACAGATGTGACAGACGTATGTGACAGATGTAGCGTGGTGGGTTCTGTCCTTCTGAACAACAATAAAAATAATAATCCTTGCATTTGATATATCGCCTTATCACATCATTGAGACGTCTCAAAGTGCTTCACAGGATATACTGCAAAGTGGAGTGACTGTATATTTTGTGGGTGATTTTTCCTATTTATTGCTCTATCCAGTGGATAGCGAAGGGTTACTTTGTGCCTTCCGGAGGCAATTTCTTCCGGATGGTCTCACTCAATACACGACTGTTTGTGGGACTCCGCTGTGGGCTGTTGGCTGCCGTGTCTCGCCCACAAAATACACAGTCACTACACTTTACAGTATATCCTGTAAGAATTATTACTATATATTATTATGCAAAGACAGCTTTTATTTGCAGTCCAGAGATCGTGTGTGGGTTGGGATGAGCAGATACAGGTTGGCCACCAGCCTGTGGCTGTGGCTGTGTGGGAGTCTCTGGACTCTATATGGTCTCAGGATCGTTTTGTCGTCAATATATATTGCGCCACGTTACCTTTAAGGGAATGGCTCTGACGCCTGTCAGAATTGAGTGACAGGCGTAACGCCCAATAAGCAGCCGGGAATCGTATCTCCCCGCCCAACCCGCTTATTGACGTGACCACTCAGCCAATGGTGATCCGGTAAAGGCGGCAGCTCTCGCGTGATTGGTCATCCTGCTCCCCACACCCCCCCACCCCCCCCCCTCCCATGCCCCCGCCTCCACTGCACGATACTGGTGTCGTCACCGGACTGGTACCGGCACTGCCCAATAGCAAACGAGGGGACTATTCACGCTCGGGCCGCGCCCCACACGCCCGCCCGCCCGCCCGCGCGAGGAGATGGACGCGCCGAGGCGTCCAATCGGAGCCGCCGCTGCGGGAGGAGCGCGGACTCGATTGGCGGAGGGATTTCACCGCCCGGGATTCCTCCAATGGGAGGGCGCGATACGGGCGGCAGCGGCGGGCGCTCCGACTGGGACCGGGAGAGCGGCGACGGGGCGAGGGCGAGAGTGCGGCTCGAGCGCAGCGGGTGGGACCGGAGCGGGAGCGGCGAACGTGTGAGGAGAAGCGGGGGAGCAGGTGGGTCACGTCTCAGTCCCCCCCACTCCCCCCTCTCTCTCTCCCCTCAGAGAGTCCCCGCCGACGGCTTCCTTCACCCCCGCGAGGGAGAGAGGGCGAGAGAGGGAGAGCGCGCGCGCGCGGCGCCGTCACTCACAGCCACAGTCACGGCGCGCGGCCTAAGGACCGCGCGTGAGGCGGAGAGGAAATCGCGGCGCCGACACCTCGCGCTCTCGCACTCGCACTCGCTCGTCGACGCCAACCGAATCAGGGCCCGACCGCGGCCTCGTTCGCGTACGTACCATGTGGGAGGGAGGGGTGTGGGGGGGGGACGGGAGCCTCGCCTCGGAGATGTGGCTGCGGTGGGTGGGGGCGGGGGCGGGGGTTGGGCGGATCGGCGGCGCCCGCCCGGGGGGGGAGGGTTACTTTCTGGTACTTTCTACGAGGGGTTTGAACCCGCCCGCGCCCCCCCCCCCGACACGCCCCCACACACTGACATCCCCCCCACACACTGACATCCCCCCCACACACTGACATCCCCCCCCACACACACTGACATCCCCCCCCACACACTGACATCCCCCACACACACTGACATCCCCCCACACCTGACAACCCCCACACACTGACATTCCCCACACACTGACATCCCCCCCACACACACTGACATGCCCCCCCCACCGACACTCCCCCACACACTGACATCCCCCCCCACACACTGACATCCCACCCCCACACACACTGACATCCCTCCCCCACACACTGACACCCCCCCCACACACTGACATCCCCCCCCCACACACTGACATCCCCCCCACACACTGACATCCCCCCACACACTGACACCCCCCCACACACTGACATCCCACCCCCACACACTGACATCCCCCACACACTGACATCCCCCCCACACACTGACATCCCCCCACACACTGACATCCCCCCACACACTGACATCCCCCCACACACTGACATCCCCCCCCACACACTGACATCCCCCCCCACACACTGACATCCCCCCCCCACACACTGACATCCCCCCCGACCCCACCACACTGACACCCCCCCACACACTGACATCCCCCCCCACACTGACATCCCCCCCACACACTGACATCCCCCCCCCCACACACTGACATCCCCCCACACACTGACATCCCCCCCCCGACACCCCCACACACTGACATCCCCCCCCCCACACACACTGACATCCCCCCCCGACACCCCCACACACTGACATCCCCCCCCCACACACTGACATCCCCCCCCACACCCCCACACACACTGACATCCCCCCCACACACTGACATCCCCCCACACACACTGACATCCCCCCCACACTGACATCCCCCCCCACACTGACATCCCCCCCCACACACTGACATCCCCCCCCACACACTGACATCCCCCCCACACACACTGACATCCCCCCCCACACACACTGACATCCCCCCCACACACTGACATCCCCCCCCACCACTGACATCCCCCCACCACTGACACCCCCACACACTGACATCCCCCCCACACTGACATCCCCCCACACTGACATCCCCCCCCCACACTGACACCCCCCACACACTGACATTCCCCACACACTGACATCCCCCCACACACTGACATCCCCCCCCACACACTGACATCCCCCCCACACACTGACATCCCCCCCACACACTGACATCCCCCCCCACACTGACATCCCCCCCCACACTGACATCCCCCCCCACACACTGACATTCCCCCCCCCACACACACTGACACCCCCCTCACACACTGACACCCCCCACACACTGACACCCCCCCACACTGACACCCCCCCCCCCCCCCCCACACACTGACACCCCCCCCACACACTGACACCCCCCCACACACACTGACATCCCCCCCCACACACTGACATCCCCCCCCACACACTGACATCCCCCCTACACACTGACATCCCCCCCCCACACACACTGACATCCCCCCCCCACACACACACTGACATCCCCCCCCTCACACACACTGACATCCCCCCCCCCACACACACTGACATCCCCCCCACACACTGACATTCCCCCCCACACACTGACATCCCCCCCACACACTGACATCCCCCTCACACACTGACACCCCCCTCACACACTGACACCCCCCCCACACACTGACATCCCCCACACACACTGACATGCCCCCCCTCACACACACTGACATGCCGCCCCACACACATTGACGTTCCCCCCTCCCCCCTCCTCCCCACTGTGACATCCCTGCACCCACACACACACACTATGACATTCCCACCCACCCCCCCCCCCACCCCGCGCCGCCCCCCCACTCAAACTGTGACACAGCGTGCAAAACCTGCTTTGGTATTTAAGAATCTTCCCCAATCCTGTGAGATCATAAATAATATTTAATGATAATAATTATTATTAATTAATAATAATTTGATCACTCAATCCACCACACTGCTGTGCACAATTTGCTGCCTCGTTTCGCCCATAAAATGTACAGTTGATTCACTTTACAGTACATTCTGTGAAGCGCTTTGAGACATAGGAACACAGGAATTAGGAGCAGGAGTAGGCCATTCGGCCTATCTATCTATCTATCTATCTATCTATCTATCTATCTATCTATCTATCTATCTATCTATTTCTATCTATCTATCTATCTATCTATCTTTATCTATCTATCTATCTATTTTCTATCTATCTATCTATCTATTATCTATTCTATCTATCTATCTATCTATCTATCTATCTATCTATCTATCTAATCTATCTATCTATCTATCTATCTATCTATCTATCTATCTATCTATCTATCTAATCTATCTATCTATCTATCTATCTATCTATCTATCTATCTATCTATCTAATCTATCTATCTATCTATCTATCCTATCTATCTATCTTTTATCTATCTATCTATCTATCTATCTATCTATCTATCTATCTATCTATCTATCTATCTATCTATTCTATCTATCTATCTATCTATCTATCTATATCTATCTATCTATCTATCTATCTATCTATCTATTATCTATCTATCTATCTATCTATCTATCTATCTATCTATCTATCTATCTATCTATCTATCTATCTATCTATCTATCTATCTATCTATCTATCTATCTATTCTATCTATCTATCTATCTATCTATCTATCTTATCTATCTTTATCTATCTATCTATCTATCTATCTATCTATCTATCTATCTATCTATCTATCTATCTCTGAATCTCTGAATCTCTGAATCTCTGAAGATGTGATAAGGCGCTATATCAAATGCACGGATTATTATTATATCCTGTGAAGCGCTTTCAGATGTTTTGAAGATGTGATAAGGCACTAATCAAATCGTATTGAGATGACAGCTTCCCCTCCCCCCATACTGTGGTGACAGCCCCTCCTACCACTCCCACTGCGATGACAGCCCACCATTCCCCTCCCCCCTCCCCCCCCTCCCCCCCCCGGGCAATGGATATTGTATACATCACTCTTATTAACAGTAAGTTTCTAATAGTTGGATAAATAGCTCCAGTATTCCCTAGTCTTTAAAGTGTTACTATCGAGCACCTATTCCTGGTGTAGTAGCATAGCAACCCACTTCTACTCACTTCCCAGCAATTGGGAAGCATTGTAGGAAATTAATTTATTAACACTTGTGCTGCTAGACAGATATCAGGAAATTTCTCAGCCAACTCCTGCTATAATGCAGAATACACGCACATCCATACACTCGTATATATATATGGATTGCTTTATTACTATAATATTGACCCGAAGCTACAGAGCACAATATTAAATACTTTGGTTTTGTTTGACCTATTGTTCCTTTAGTCCCACGGTTCTATTTTATTTTACATAAAAGTTTCAACCACTGACCCTCCTTTCCTTCCTCACCTTGTCATGTTTTTTGATAGACATTCCGAGGACCTTTTCAGAAGTCATTTTCCAGTGAATGTTGAAAGTGAAATTGATTGCAGTTTAGGAATATCGTTGTTTACTATTGGCCTGATTCTCACCCGGTTATAGAAGTAAAAGGATTGTATGTTTATACGTTTGTAGTCAGCTTCATAACCTAAGGGAAAATTTATGGTGGAGCTCGCGGTTGTTTGGATAGTATTTGGCATATACAGATCATCCTAGTACAATTAATGGAGAGTAAAGCTCCTTTCAACTTGCCCAGTGTAAGAGGAACCCTTCAGTAAACCAATGTGAGTTTTCCATTTGTCACACCAGCTATCTTATGTCCTCATCCAGTGAAATTGCCAAATACTGAATAGCTCTGTGCTTGTGCTGACTTGGAACTGTGTTCATAGAGCTAGAGCAATTTAATCTAAGATTCCAGAGAGTAGACTTTTTTCTATTGGTTTAAGGTAGATTCAGACACAAGTCCCAGAAGTGAAGAGATACCATAAATCACATAGCTTCCTCAAATTCATTTTTAAATGAGGAAGTGCTTTCAGGCTACACTGTGCAGTAATCTCTATTCTGTTGTCCTTCCTTTAGTAATCGTTGTGACCATTCTTGTCTTTTTTTTCATCCATTCCTGGGTGCATTTTTAAAAAGAATCTGAAGCATATTTTTGATTTAATTATTGCTGGTGAAACTGATTGATCGGTAGCTGATGTATGATATTCTAATTGTGCGGAATATTTTTAGACCTGATTTTCCCTATTTTGAGGCAGATTGCAGAGTACATTCATACCTAAATTGACTAAATTTTGTTTTAACTGAGATAAAGGCCAGTGTAAAATATTTGACAAAATCTGACGCAAAAGAGTAGAGCTCAAGTGGGGCAAAGTGAAAATATCAGATTGGTTTGTTGAAGTGCTACAGTTTAGCAGTGTATAGATAAAATTTTAGCTGGTTTAAAAAGACTCCAGGGAATCCATTTGAACTAGGAGTTGCTGGAATTTCACACAGAAACATTTTATCTGAATTAAATATAATCTTGGTAATTAGTTTCTGATATTTTATGGAGATTTCAAATGACAATTCAAGGTTGTTTTAGCTGTATTGGTTATATTGTACAGCACTTTGGGACGTCCTCTCGACGTGAAAGGCACTATACAAATGTAATTTTCTATTGTATGTACCTTTTGGAACTGCATTATCTGATTTGACTTAAGTTTCAGAGACATAAATATGCAAAACTCGATTATTTTATACCTATGATTCTTATGCAGAAAATATATATAGATAGCTAATTAGTTTAAAAAAACATGGCTGCGGATATGAGTGATTGTAGGTGTTTGAAATATGATGAGGATACGCATGCCTGGATCTGCACTGCATGTAGCCTTTGAGACCTGGAGCAGTCATAACAAACCAAATGTGTATTTTCTAAAGACTTCTGTAGATAATAATTTTCAAAAAAATGTTCAAAATATTGGCGATGCCACTAATCGGCCTTGATCAAAACCTAGAAGATGCTTTTGGAAATGGGTAATAAGCCAGTTTGTCTCCAAAGGAGGTTGCAATGCAATTATGCATCAACATTTTTAACTTAAAAATAACACCTACTACTGCACTGAAGTTTTATTTTATGCCCATTCATTGCCTTTGAATATTCTTGGAATACAATATTTGTTTGATTGTCATTAAGTGCTGAAAATTCGATTTGACTAATAATCTGAGATTCAACAGCAACATATTACATTTATATAGCGCCCCTCACACAGGGTAACATCCCAGAGCGCTTGAGAGTGGCAGAGCACACTGCCATTCCGGGGAGAGGTGACCTTAAAAAGGTCTTCAGACGCAACATGCGGGTGGGAAGGAAAGGACAAGGCAGAGGGATAGGGGAAGAGTGTTCCACAGTTTCAGTGACTTTGTTTTGTACTTGTGCTGTTGTACGTGTAATGTTCAATAACGTTGGGTGTGCATCTTGCAAAGTTGGATTTTAAGAAAAGATTTGATTTTTTGTTTAATTCCTGGGTGGCTGCTATAAAAAGGCAGAATATCCCAGATATTGCTATTTGGAACACCATGATCTACTTAAATTATTTTGAGAGTTAATATACTGTTACTGGAGTTTTTTTAAATACAACTTCTAAGGAATATTGCAGTCTAATTTTATTAGTTCTGTTGAATTGAAATTGAAAGTGAATTGAAAGTTCTGTTTGTACTGTAGAAGATGGTTCCATTGAAAATGGTTCAGATGATGTGCTAAGTATATTATTGGCACGAACATAGTTATGACTTACATTTCAAGTTCAAAGTTTTTAATTTGAAGACCTATATTGTTTAATTTGTGTTTACCTGTATCTTGTAAACTAAATTCATTATCACTTGCCTTGCCTGTAGCATTTTTTACCAACACTATTCCTTTCCAAAGTACCATTGCATATTGTATTTTCCTTCTGTTAAACCGTATTAAATACCTAACAGAATAATGGGTCCTGGTTGTGAAGACTTGGGCAGAGTGTGGGCATGACATTACTGAAGTTCTTTTGAAACAATGCTCCTTTGATTGAGACCGATCTATGGTTTGGGCTTCACTGTGAATTTTTTATTTGTTACATGGAATTTATTAAAACAAAATTTTTAAATATTTCCAAGCGGCTTTGTATGCAGTAATTTATTTCAATGAGGGTCAGAAAGGGATGGTATTGAATACTGATGCTTTAGTGGTTCATGTTGGCAGTATTTAACAAATACGGTTTTATTTGTAATTTTTGAGTTGCACTTTTTTGAGTCACTTGCATAATGTACTGGCCAAATCCCAAAGAAGAACAAAGGCCTGCAATTAAGGGGACTTTTGGGGGAAGAAATTGTGATGACAATAATATAGAAAATGTATAATGGTTTTAGAATTATTGTGCATAATATTGCTAAAATGTACATTTGTTAACGTTGATCATGCTTGTTTGACTTGATTGGTAATTTTAAGAAGTTTTTGTGTCCCAACAACAACACGATTACATTTGTATAGCGCCTTTCACGTCGGGAGGACGTCCCAAGGCGCTGGACAGTGTACAGGCGAAATGTGGAAGCTAAAATCATTTGGGGGTACTTTTTGTAGCATTTAATTTGTTTTGAAACAGAATTGAAAACGAGCCAATGCAGTATTTGAGATTTTCAGCGAAGCCTGTTTTGAAGGACATGCAATTTTTAAAAAAATATATATATAATTTTCAGTTAATCTTTAGGATCCGTTTATTCACAGTAAAATCATTGCTCTGCATGGTTACACCATTAGATTACCAAGAGTACAGTACTATGTGCAGAGGATGAGATTAAAAATAGTACACAATTGCCCTTTCTAATAAAAGACAGCTGGAAGATTTGCAGCACTTTTTAATATTCTTTTGACCACAATACATTTGTAGCTAATAAAGGAAGTGACTTGTCAGTTTACTTATCTATTGCTGTCCAGTATATCATCTGTATGCACAAACTATAAAGTTTACTGATCTACATGCTCCACAGCAGGTATCATCTATTGATTTTTTTTCAGTCGAATTTCGTGGATCAGCAGATCAGAACCGTATATCTAGCTATGCAAGGCATCTATTTGCACCATTTTGCAGCCATTAGCACATTGTCTGACTTGTTTACTGAGCTCTGGAAAGATTAATACAGCCTTTACTTATCAACCTAATTCTTTAGAGTTGTGGTTATGACAATGTTGCGTAACAGGATCATTTTAGTGACCCAAGATAATCGTTCTTGTATTTGTATCTTACGTGCACAATGTCCACAATAGGATTTTTTAAAACTGTGTTTCAGTCATAGTAGTTTAGCAGGCAGCAGTTACACTAATTCAGGGACCTGAGGAAGCATTTCAAAACTGTTCACCTGCTAACACATTTTTTTTAAAAAAAGCTGCCCTCATGCAATTATAGAGGCCGGTGAAAATGACTGGATTGCCGCAGTTAATATTTGCTGACTAAATACTAAGCAGTGACTTCTGCAATGGACATTTCAAAACTACATGTGGCATTTTGCAATAGCTCTTTAGACACACATTAGCACAGATGTCCCCCACTTCATGTTCTATGTTCCCCACTTCAGTGATTCAGCTACTCATTGTTTTCACCAAAATTACATTTTAAATCCTGTTCAAGATCAAGGTATGTGATTCAGGAATGAAAAACATTCACATTTGTCTGCTTCAAGAATTTACCATAGTCATTTTTGGTAAAGCAGGATAACAAATCTGTTATGGGGAGGTGGGGTGTGGTGGATAAAATACTGGTTTAGGCAGCAATGAAGAAATTAATAATTACAGTACACTGTAAAAAATTCAGTAATGACAACGCAACCAAAGAGAACTCTCAATCAGTCATTGTTGGTAGAGTAGCAACATTTTACCTTTCTGCCATCTGTCAGTGCATTGAAATCAAGTGCTTCAGTAATCCTGATGTTTACCCAGTTTCCCAGGCAATAATGAGCGACACCTTTGATGGATGCAGTGAACTTGCTATTGTAAATGTAGTAATTTTAGTAGAGAATGAAAGTGGACTGGTGGAGAATTTCAGTATAAAATATCTAAAATGAATTGAGCACCTATAGGCTGTAATATTTAATGGAAGATCCCATCAAATAATCCATAATGTGGCAAGTACTGTTTTCAATTATGGATAAATATTGTAATTTCTGAGTGTTTTTATTTTCTGTTTTTTTCCAGGCTGGTATTGATTTCTCTGTTATTTCAAGAAACTGTTGAAATCCTGCCCGTGTTTGAAGGACAACATGGTTTCAATTCCAGAATTCTACCTAGGCAAGAATGTTCTCATCACTGGAGCCACAGGCTTTATGGGAAAGGTGCTACTTGAAAAGTTGCTGCGTTCTTGTCCTGGAGTAAAGACCACGTATATTTTAGTGAGGCCCAAGTCAGGCCAGGAGCCTCGAGAGCGAGTTGAAGAGATGCTAAACTGTAAGGTAAATAACATACAATGGAAATTTAAAAAGATCTATTGAAGGAAGTGAAATTTTCAAATATTTAAGAGGTTGTATAACTATATTTTGTAATTCCCTTTGAGTTTTGCTTCTAAATATTAAGACAAAACTATTGATTTTCCATTGCAGATGCTATATCAGTATCAGGGAGAATAGTATAGCATTTTGTGGTCGAGAAAGTTGCACAAATAATGGTTATAGGTAAAATTGATATTGATTGCAGGAATTATGAATTTGGTAATAGTTGCGAGTGTGTGGATTTCGAAAGTAGTTTCCCCCCTGCTGTGAGCTCTGTTACTACTTTATTCCGATATTACTTTTGCAATATGCAAGTTCTGGTATGACACAATGTTTAATTGGGCCACAATATGTAGTCAATTCACTTTACAACAACAACAACAACAACAACAAGATTCCATTTATAAAGCGCCTTTCACGTCAGGAGGACGTCCCAAGGCGCTGACAGTATATTCTGTGAAGCGCTTTGAGATGCCTCAAATCTATATCAATTGCGAGTATTATTTATTATTATTTAATGCGGGTTTGATTTATGAGGCTCTATAAGGAGTAGCATTTTAACTCTTAGTAGTGCTGAGTAGTTTGAATGTAAGAATTTCCATTTCTGAGCCACAGTGAATGCAGTGTCAAAAGTTTAGCAATTGTTAGTTTTAAACATGCATTTTTTTTCAGCATTCAGTTATATACCCCACTGTTATGCTCATCAGAAGTGTGTAAGTAAGGTGTTTCAATCACATTTGTTATTTTCCTGTGAAAAAGGAATACGTCTCTGCACAATTAATAATCAGAAACTTCCTGAACTACCCGATGTAAATATGCAGCGGTCGCCAGAAAAATAACATGATGCCATTCAACTGTTCTGATTATTGTGCCTTGCGTTGTGCCTTCAGAAGGTTACTGAAAACTGGTGGATGAATTGGTGTGGCTCACAGGCCTACTGTTTTTTTTATCTGGTCCTTTTTTTTAATACAAACCAGAAATAAACTTCAGAATTTTCTTCAGAAGCAATGATATTTATAATGCAGCAGTGTGTTAGGAGAATGGCCTCTCTTCTGCTGTGGTCAGGTTTGCATGTCATCTTTCAGGATGCTTATTTCAAGATCATAGCTCTGAATAATGTGGCATTTCCAAGTAAGCACACTGATCTTATCTCAGTGGGCATTTCCTTTTAGAAAAAAGGATTATGTTATTGATGTATTGATGCCTCCATTTGCAATGGCTAAAACTATTGCAGTAATATTATATTGCAATGATTTCTTGGTTCAGTACCATCCAGATTATACTAATAGGAGCAGAATCGGTTAAGGAGTTACCTGAAATATGAGTGACATCTGGAATTTTTCCAGACACTTAGCAGTTCACTGTGATCAGATTGACGTATTATTTGTAGCCATTTTGCCACTTCTAGAAAAGGACATGATTTTTTTTCACAATTTAAAGACTGGGAGTAGACTTTGTTGCAGGTGTATACGTGCACAGAAGAGCCTTGTTACTCGAGCACAATTGTTGTGCTTTTTAGGCACAGGAGATTTAAGATCCTGTAAGCTGAAAAATGACCAGATGAAGACCAAAGGTGTATGACCAAATGTAGGCCAGATTCTTAGGTAAAAATGCATTAATCGTGACCTGCAGGGTGTAAGTATGGAAAACATTATGAAGTTTCATCAGTACAAAACTACTTGCAACTGTATTTTGTCAAATACAGGTTCATGTAGTATTCTAATGTGAAACATACTGAATATAGGAATGGAGGAAATGACTCGCCTAATGTCATTTAATTCACAAATAACTGCTGTCAGGACTCTTATATAGAAATCACAGAAGAATCTGTCTATTGCCGAATCAAACTGTTAAATTGTTCATGTTTTTATTATAGTAAGTTATAATTGGCAACTTAACCTAGTAACATGAGTGGGTAAATGCTCGTCGTTTAATTACATTTAATTGGCTGTTGGTCTGATGGTACAGCCCTAACCAACACATTAATTTGATTTGGTTCTTGTGCAGTTTTGCTTCCATTTGTTCTGTGGCTGCTGAGTCCATCTATTCATCACCATATTCACACAGCTTGAATCCAGCTATACACTGCTTTCTCTATACATGATTTCATACTTTCTCTTTTGAGTCATATGTAATATTAAAATCTATACTCATATTACATATGAGTACATATTACATATGCCACATATGCGGCATATTACATCTATAAGCATTTCTAGTTAGAGTTCGACTCTTTCTTGTAGATCCCAGCTGTTATATATCAAAAAAAACTTAGAGTATTGAAATAATCTTGTTCACATCAATAATTGTGATAGATACCCAAATATATTTTCAAAATCTTATTAAAATATTGATAACATTGTTGCAGAATCTTGTTTCTGATAATTGTAGCTTGAGATCAAAAACTTTCAACGGTCAAGTTTCTTAACATTTCTTTTCTCTTTCCATCCTCTTCCACCCTCGCCTAAACAAAATCCATTTCCCTTTCCTTCTCTTAAGAAGGATCATCTCGCATTCTTCATCAGATGGGAGGGAGGTGGGATGATGGAATCATGTACTGCCCCCTTCATGATGGTCATTGATGTGTTCTGTCCTTCCTTTTTCTCACTTTTCCCAGGTGAGATTTTGTTTCGTTTGTCCCCTGATCCTAGTGACCCTGTGCTCAGATCAACAAGCAACTTTCCTGCTAAGTTTCCATTTAGATTTGGATGCAGTTAGACAATTTTCCTATGAATTTTCCTTCAAAATGACCCAGAACTGAAGATTTTCAGTAAATGTCTTGTTTCTTAAGCAATAACAATGTAATATTGATTTCCAAACTAATTCAGGCATGAGATTTTAACGTGAATGAACTTGTTGCATTCTAAATGGAAGCTTCACCATCTCTAAATTAACTTTATAAATAATCTGCTCTGGACATTGTTTAGATTCATGATTGGAAGCGCTGAGGGCAGATTTAATTAGAGGTAAAGCCATTGGAAGGTATTACTGTATTTCCCTAATGGAGCTAAGCTTTGATCTTGAGTAAATTGTTTTGAGCCTTCAATAAACTGGCAAGACTGTTGATATCTTTGGAAGAAACACAAGTGCATTTCTCAAGCTTTTATTCATTCAGAATGATAAATTGCCAAACTCTGCTACTTAAATTGTGAGGAAAAATCACGGTATTGAGTTGCATTATTGATATGTGCTCTATAATTCAATTGCATTCAGTTATAAAATTGGTGCGGTTGTAGCATTTATTTCTTCAGTTAATGGTTAACATCTGATGTTGCTCTTCGATTTTTTTCTTCTTCTGTGCAGCTTTTTGACAGACTCCGTGTTGAACAGCCAGATTTCAAGGAAAAGATTGTAGCAGTGAGCAGTGAACTGACCCAGCCAGAGCTTGGCCTTAGCCAAGAAGATAGAGAACTTCTGACATCCTGCATTAACATAGTCTTTCATTGTGCTGCAACCGTTAGGTTTAATGAAACTTTGAAGTAAGTATTTCCATTTACTGTTCCATGTAAAAGTAGACACTATTTGACATAGCATCGGCACTCTGCTTAACTAAGAATGTCATAACATCTAATGTAAATCTTTGAAGGTTATCAGTATTGTGGAATAAATCCAAAAATTCCATTTCATTTTCATTAATACATTTAAATTGATGAATTACTTCAAAGCAAACTTTTGTGCTTTCTGGAATATTTTTTAAAAATGCAGTAACTTCTACTCTGAGTTAGTATTTGATGGCGTTTTGTAATAGTGTATTTGATAATCTGGTCAATACAAGTAAGAATTTTTTTTGAAGGAGACGCTTTTTAATGTTCTAACAATGTAACAATAAAATCTCAGATTTATGGCAATTTGATGTCTAGCTAAACCTATCCACTGTCAGACCAACCAAATATCAGAGTCGCAAGCACTTTGTTACAAAGTTTATTTTTTGCTGTTGTTTTAATACTAAGATTATTGATGCGTGTAAGTGTATCTGCATGTGTTTTCTTATCAGCACCAACGCTTATGACAAGGACCTGCTGTCTATTGAAGCTCCTTTTTTTTTCTGTAAGTGCTCTATTAATGCAATGGAGCATTAAATCCCAAGGAGTGACTAATTTTGCTATTCTTCCATTACAGAGATGCGATGCAGTTAAATGTGGGGGCTACCCGCCAGCTCCTTGCTTTTGCACAGCTGATGAAGAAGCTTGAGGTCTTCATTCATGTTTCCACTGCGTATGCCAACTGCAATCGCAAGCATATTGAGGAGGTTGTTTATCCACCTCCAGTTGAACCTAAAAAGTTGATTGAAGCTCTGGAGTATGTTTACCGTCTCTTTCCTTTACCTTTTTTTATAAACCAAAAACAGATTTCTTTGGAACACATTAACTTTCTGTTATTGCAAATTATGATATTCAGACTTTATAACTTCCCCTTTCTGTCCAATTATCGATCAAAATGAATTTTATCCAAGAACTAGTTATTTCATGTCTTTCACCGTATGATTCGCTGTAAAAAATATTTAAATGTTTTGAAATACTGTGGAAAGCACTGAATTCCTCCTCGAGGCAAAGGATTCACATTGTGGCCTGAATGGCAAGACCACAATAATGATTTTCACTGCTCTGCTGCAGTGTAAGTAGAGAGCTATCAATTGGATCTTAAATAACATTATGAACTTTGTTGATTAGTGGAGCTTTGTGATGCATGTTCTTAGTTTTGCAACCACAAAGCACTCCTTAGCTCTCGGGGAGATTGGTGGGATCGGGAAATATAAGTTTTCTAAGTGAGCCGTACAAATTGAGCGTCAAAAGTACGATTTGTATAGATTCTTATGTTTTTTGAAAACTTTACAACGATTTATTTCAGTGGGTTGAATAGCTGATGTAACCATTTCTCAATGTGTACTTTTCTCTCTACTTGATGACAAGTTAGTTAGGAAACCTATTTAAAAACTGAATTTTCACAGATGGATGGATGATGGTCTAATTCAAGACATTACGAGGAAATTAATTGGAGAGCGTCCGAACACTTACACCTATACTAAAGCCATGGCTGAATATGTTGTACAGCAAGAATGTGGAAACCTCAACGTTGCAATTATCAGACCTTCTATTGTGGGAGCGAGTTGGAAAGAACCATTTCCTGTAAGTAAACAGTAAATTAAAGTTTAAGCTCCCACAGAAATCATGGTTCTGGTTTATGCAGTTGGATACACAGCAGCCAAATGTGCTAAACCCTCTTGTCAGAATGGTTTGGCTTGTTCGGAGATGCTCTCTTGTTCAGTTCTCAGTCTTTGCTGCTATGAAAATATCAAATCCTTTTTTTTAATCTTACCTCTCTTCCACTTTCTTTCTCTCTCTCTCTCTCTCTCTTCCTCCCTCGCTCCCTCCCTCGCTCCCTCCCTTCCTCCCTCCCTCCCTCCCTCCATCTCCTCCAAATTAGATCACAGCTTGTAACCTGATGAACATGGCCTTTGGGTCTGGGTATAGTGAACCATAGGTTGGAAAGCTGCCCTTTTGCCATCTGTGCTGAAAAGAAGTGTCCCAATGCCAATCATGCAGTATAACTGGAAAACTTTATTCAAATACAGGAATTTAATCGTGTATTCTCTGGTTTCTCAGTTTATTGCATTGTACCCAAACCCAAAGGCCACGTTCATCAGGTTACAAGCTGTGACCTTTCTCTCTTCTCTCTTCCTGGTTGGTCAGCAATAATGAATGTATTTGGGGAAAAGTTAACATTGAAGGAGCTAATCACCCTATTGCATCCACTCCTGATTCTGTTTCCTTTCTTCCTGCTGTCGTCAAAACAGGGCTGGATTGATAATTTTCATGGACCCAGTGGGCTCTTCATTGCTGTAAGTACTATTGGATTACACCTGCTACTGGGATATCAAATCCATTACATAAAAAGAACTATCCATTTCAAACTCTGCTACATTATAGATCTCAAGAATGTGCTGGACTTGTACTGATGACCTAATGCACAAATTGTTAGCAATATGTGATATAGATTCATTTGACCATTTAATATACAACATGACTTGAATGGTTTTCTTTGTAATAGCTTTTGATAACATTCTAAAATCTTGACTTCCATCTATGGGACTAAATTTGTAAAGCTCTTAAAATTCTGCAGATTTTGAGATATTAACATTCCAAAAATGTAACACAATTTTGTTATAAATTGCTGCATTATTAGAGAGTAAAAAAATGTTGATAATCGCGTTGCCTTTGATTATGGGTGAATTGTAATCCAAGAAAATATCAAGTATATTGTGATTGATAGAAAATTAATTTTACATTGACTCTTGTTTCTGTGTAATTTTGTTGACTTGCAGGCTGGGAAAGGAATTCTTCGCACAATGAGGGCTTCTAACAGTGCAGTGGCAGATCTGATTCCAGTCGATGTGGTCATAAACATGATCCTGGCAGCAGCCTGGTATTCTGGCGTTCATAGGTACAGCAGGTGACTCCTTTTTCAATGAAATAATTGGCCAGTGCAGTTTTAAAGAATTTAATCGAACTGCTGAACAATTCTCCAATAAATTGAGCATAGTCTAAAAGTACTGCTGATTAACAAAATTGCAGAAGCAACTATCTAGATATCTCTAGATTGTCCAACTAGTCCAACTCCATATCCCCAACGAGTCTGTGCCAGTGTTTATACTTCACATGAGTTTTCACACACTCTTTACACCATCCCCAAACCCTTCTGTTCCTTTCTCCCTCGTGTATATCCTAATGTTGGTAATTGCTAAAAAAAAATGAAAAATACTTAAAATTCCAAGTGGAAATCTGTTTAAATGTTAGAGGTAAGTCCATCAGTGCCTTAAAACGCCATGTGTGATATTCATTTTATTTTTCAGACCAAGAAACATCTTAGTATACAACTGTACTACAGGTGGCACCAATCCTTTCCATTGGGGTGAAGTTGGTATGAAAATAAAATTATTTAAGGATACTTTTCTTACAATTTATGCATTAAGTGTTAGGATATCTGTAGCTAAATTTTCTGAAGCTTACTGCTAAGTGATTATAGCATAGCAAAATGTAGTAATTGATTCAGAAACTCGACTCCTGTGTCTGAATCTTTCGAAATTCTACAACTGAAATGAAGCAAGCAGAAAATTCTCAAAACATTTTTACACAAATGTTACAATTCCAATGCATGTTTTTCTTGCATGACGTATTCCATTTAGTTTGTACATATTGCAAAGATTTAATCCAGTTTTATCAGTTAGCCCAAAGCACCTTGTACAGAAAAGAAAGCCACCACTAGAATATTATGGATATAATGAGGTGGGAGGGGGAGAGCACTCTTATTTCAATGCATGACTTAATAAAATAGTGAGCAGAGCAGACTATTTAAGCCAGACCAATTCCCGAGGAAATAAGTACAAAGTTTGGAAAGAAATTCCTACTGAATAGGGGTGACTGATTAGCTTTTTTTTTCGCTAATACTGGCACAAAATGCAATATAAAATGAAGCTTCCCTTACAATGATTTCTCTTTGGCCTCTGTCCACGTGAAACTCTCTTAATTTTTTTACTATGTGTTTGTGTGATCTTGCCATGCTGCTGTTCAAAAAATATTTTAATTCAAAGTCAAAAAACCTTTCCAAGTCCTATTACAATAATGATTGGACCTTGTGAAGATGGTCATTGATGTGTATGTACTACTGCAATATGTTTACTCAGAATATTCAGAATGCATCAAACTTTAGCAGCAGGTCTAAGTGATATAAAAATACTCCACCAACACCAAATTAGAAACGTGTCATGGTTTTTAAAATGCACAGTTGCAGAATATGATTTCGGGATGATCTAGCACTCAACAGATTCTACTTGAACGATTATAGCATCTGTTTTTAAAACTTACATATTTAAAGGAATGTTCTTGGTGGTATTAAGTTTATCAAGTCTTTTTTTCCCCAGTTTTGAAGACTTCAGTAGTGATGCATGATAGAACAAAAATCTTGTGAAATGGAATTGGAAGCTAGAATGCATCTTCTGACAGGACTTGTTGTACTGAGGCAAAGGGGGTGGAGTTCATCAATGGGGACAATTCAGTATTTTCTATAGAGAATGCAAATGTATGTCCAGATATAACACAGCACAGAAATTTTGGTTTATGACTTTTAATACTTGAATTTCACCATTTTTTTCTGTCTGTGTTTCCCTTTCTTTTGTCACATTTTCAAAACCTGGCAGAGCTATTTTCATGACCAATTGCCAACTGGGATTCCTAAAGATACCAAATATAGCATAGAATACTTTATTCTGCAACTGTTTATAAACAAAGTGGCTTATATTGATTCTAGAGACAGACACACCTTTTCAGTACCTCTCAATTGTCTGTGTATGATGCTATGTTACAGCTTGATGCATTTTATTCAGTCACACTGCAGCTGAGTTACATGTTAAAAGTCTTGTGATTTCTTATTTTGGGGTGTAGTTGGTGAAAATTATCTTGCTTCATTTCCTGTGTCACTAGGGCTGCTAAACTTACAGCACATACTTTGGCTGATGTCTTTGGTAAGGCAAGTTATTAAAAAAAGAAATGGCATGCAATAATCTTGTGGATACATAAGCTTTGTTTTTTCTTGCTTCAGCTGAATGCAAATCAAACTAATAAAGTATTGTTCCGGGCAAAACCCAATACAATTACAAACTAAAATATTTTCCTGGTCATGTTTTTAATGGTTGAACATTTTCTGCAATACAGGTAACTGTTTTTGAGATCACATATGATTATATTGCAATACTATCAGGTCACAACCTGGCTTTGATAATATTGTTGGTTCACAATGTAAAAGGAGTAGTTAATTTCAGTCAAATTTATCTAATCAATTCATGCTTCCTTAGCAGCCCTAATCCTGGCTGTCCTCGTAAAAGGGTTTGAGAAAAAGCAAGTCATTATACTGTCATGCAACTTTTCTTCCTCAGAGTACCATGTAATATCCACTTTCAAGAGGAATCCTCTCGAACAGGCCTTCAGACGGCCCAATGTAAATCTAACCTCCAATCACTTGATCTATCAGTACTGGATTGCTGTAAGCCACAAGGCCCCAGCATTCCTGTATGATGTCTACCTCAGGCTTACTGGAAGAAAACCAAGGTAATGGTGGCTAGCTTTACACTGAACTCGTATCCTAACAAACCCCAATATTCATCTTTCAGAGGTCAACCATCATTTTCATACTTCAGCAATCTTGAGCAATAGTCTCCATCGAACAGTCGAGGCACAAAGGTGCTAAACATTAGGTTGTCAAACTTTAGCAACGAAAAGTATGTTAGAAGGATCCAATCATTTATATTCTATATTCTACAGAGGAATGGCCTATAACTTGCTTGCAAGATACTAATGAAAATCCTTGGAACCTAGAAATATTGAGGGCTTTTATGTGTAAATTGTTACAATAGCAATATTAAAATAGGTCTCCAGGCTTTAAACAGCTTGTAACTTAATGCACAAAACACTCCCAATTGTCATTTCTAACACAAATTCCTGCACGTAAATGAAAACACTGGTTTGCGTGCATTTCACTTACTAGTAACTGTTGCCAGTTTGACAATGCACAGCTAGTGAAAGGTCTTGGAAATTACTGAGTTTGCTTTTAAATTCAAATGTAGATGGCCTTAATCAGAAAGCACAGCACTATTCTGATTGCTAGTAAATTAGTTTTACGAAATCACTTCTGATTCTGATTGTATTTAAGCAGAGCAAGTAATATAATATCTGGTGACAAATGGTTGCCCTTAATGTAGTGAAAAAGCTGTTGGAAAATGTGCACTTTGAAACTTATTTGTAGATAAAATGATTCAAAGGAGTGTTTTGTGACTTTTTTTAAATAGTATTTGGAGCCAGAGGTTTCACCTTACCTCTTCATTATCCCAGTAGTATATGATAAGCTTCATTAAAACAACAGTAATACTTATTTTCTCTGCAGAGTATCATATAAATGTATTCTTCAAGATGAATCCATTAGAACAGGCATTCAGACGCCCAAATGTAAATCTTCGTTCCAACCCTATTTTGCATCGGTATTGGATTGCTGTCAGTCATACAATACCTGCATTGTTTTGTGATGCGTTACTCAGGCTGACTGGTCACAAACCCCGGTAAGGATACCATAGCTGAGAAGAACAGTTGTGTTAGCAGTGTTTGGCAGTTGACAGGCACAGGCTTTTATAGCATGAATTTAATGTTTAACTTATATTTGTCTTGGAAGTAATGGTTAGCATTGATAACAAAATCTGCACGTTGTCAAATTTAATTTGAAATATTCAGGTTGAAATTTCTAGAAGAGTGCAGTGAAATTCCAATATACAGTTCAAAGAGTGATAGGGTGTGAATTTGTGACTGCAGTTTCTAACATTGTCACACTGAGCAGTGCTTTCCCAGAGGAAGGGAAACTTGGAGAGCCAGCTGGATGGAACGTGGAGTTAGAAGTTCAGGAGCAAATTCTCCTGCCTGATTTCTCAGATGGGGATGATGTGCATTGTAACTACATTGAGAGAAGGAAATAAAAGAATAGAGAAGTTGCATGTTTTTCACAATGCTTCCTATGGGCATAGGGTACTGATATATGGGCGTGTAGACCTGAATCTAGTCCTTTTAGGCCAGGTTTTTAATTCTGTTGCTTTATGATATCCTTATTTATATGGGGGTAATATTTTCACCCATTGTTGTTTGAACTAACCTTGGAGTTTGGGTCACAACTTTTCTCCACTTCCAACACCTCTTGAGTATGTTCCTAATTGGTAGTGGAGATTGAGAATAAGATTACCTGCTTTAATCTAGTTACATGATGTAGTTACGATTTATGATTGTAAAGCAGTCTCCATGTTCAAAGCTCCAACCAATCCTTCTATTTAATTCCTGGTTGGACCTGGAGGTATTTGAAGTACTTAGGCTTTTGTTTTTTTTGTTCTTTTAGACAAAGTTTCAGTCTTCACTTGGTCACTTAGTGATTCAGTGAATTGTTGAGTCATCTGTGTAAAACTTAATTGTGAAGGTTGTTGGGTAGACACAGTGTGAAATTCTTACCAGGCCTATAACTCTCGATTCTTATCTGTGAAGAGAAATTATTCTTTTTTTATGTGGTGATTAAACTATATTCAAAAACTGAGAAAGACTACATTAGTAGATAATCTTACATATATTTTTACTAACAAAGTGATGCTGATAAACTAATCATCTGTAGATTCAAATGTTACTTGTCAACCCTTTTTATTATGTTATCTGTGTGTCCTTCTGAACTGTTTTGGCTAATGAAGACTAGAATCATCTAGTCTCTTGTAGAATGCCAGTATTATATTTACATAGAGCTGAGGAGAGGAGGAAAGCAATTGCTGTCTGAGCAAGTTTTGGTTTCCATTATGTGGTTATTTTGCTTCTAACCAGAAAACTATGTGCGAACAGCTCAATCTGGGCTATGATGCATCAGGCTGATTTGGGTAATGATGATGACAGCTGTGTTTTAATGTACAGGGCAGGTAATTTATTGGCACCCATCAGAGCAAAAGGAGTTAGCTTTTAGGATTAAAGCTTCCTCCCCGGCCCCCGGCCCCCACCCATTTAGGCACCAAAAAAATGCTGGGATTACTATTATTATACACCGTGCTGGCGTCAAGGACTTCCAGGTCAACTGTAAAGCTCCCATAATCTGCCGAAGCTACAACCTCAAAAGAACATTTACCGCCAAATTAGAATTTCTGTCAATTGAAAATTGAGTTCAGATTGTTAAAACTCACTTCATTTTGGTTAAAAAAATTACACAGTCACTATATTCTACTGTGAACTGCTTTGAGACAGACATCCTCTCGACGTTAAAGATCCTGTATTAAATGCAAGTATTATTATTTATGTTTGACTTTCAGAGAGAAAAGCTGTTTGCAGCTTTCTATTTCTCATATTTTTGATTACAGTTAAAAACAAACTTGTGAAAAATTCCTAGAGGACTATTGCTAAAGATTTCCATGAGACATCTTGTAGTTATGGGGGAGATATGTGACATATCCCATCACGAACCTTGTACTCTATTATTTGTTTGCTGTGTCTTGGTTCAGGTGAGAGAGTAGATTACGGTGCACCTGTACTGTGGGAATTAATGAAGATCCCTATTGTATTTTTGGATGAAGTCCAAGCCATCAGGTTTGTGCTGCGTGTAAGATGGGAGTGTTGACAGGGGTGTTTATAGTACCAATACAGTCTTGTGGAAGGTGCCATTTTACTACATGTAATGGTTTGTCTTGCTTTATCGATCCAACAAAGTGTTGTGTGAGAATCCGAATGAGGTGCTAAGTGTCAGTCTCGTTTATTGGTAGTTGGCAATGTTTTGCTCCATGTTACATTGGTCTTGCGATAATACAGTGATGGAATGCAGTTTTTTTTTTTGGAAAAAGCTGACCTTGTCTGATACTCGAGTCCAGATTAACTTGAACTATTTTTCTTTCTACATAAACACGCAAACCACCAACTCACTGATAATTCATTTTATTGAGTCTATTTCCCCACATAAAAGCAAAGCACCATGCACATTAACAAAGAATACAGTATTTTGCCTTGCTTAAATTTTACAGTAGCTATTCCAGATGAATGTTCATCATTTTGCAATATGATAACTAATCAAACTAGTTGTCCACAATGTTTTAAACGCTAAATCCTTGCTTGTTTCAAAAGTTGACATTTTAGACAGAGACAACCTCCATCTTAATGTGTGTATACCGTACTTATAATTCCAGTGCTCAATAATTGTCAAACGTAAATCTTGTGTCCAGATTTAATTTGGGGGAATAGAACTGCATCTTAGAACATGTTTTCAATAAGCGTCACTATTTTCAACCTTATTCATACATTTTGTTGTGATGAATAAGGTTGGCATTAACGAGTGTTTGCTTTTTGCAGTGAGTGATTTGTTTATTTAAGCAGTTTGGTGCTATTTTACCTATAAAGGATCTGGTTTGCTGGTTAAATTGGTTTGCATTCTCCTGATTGTTAACTTGACTTTCATCATGTTTAGGATGATGAAAATCATTAATCGGCTACACAGGTCAATGATGCTGGTTGAATACTTCACAAGCCATTCGTGGGTGTGGAACACTGATAACATAAACATGCTTATGGGCCAGTTGAGCCCAGAAGACAAGAAAGTAAGTACTGTACTCTATAAGTGTCATACATATATTGCCTTTTGCACTGAAATAACATCCATTGCTATATAAAATTTGATTTGATTAATTCAGGGCATCATAATATTTTTGGCGGTGAAGTAACCATACTGCTTTTGGTACCTAACCAATTGATTTGCGCAAAGCTTGTAGAATGAAAGGAAAAGCTTCATCTTCTGGAATTGAGATATCAGGGCATGGATCAGAAAATATTGAAGAGATTGCTTTATTGAATTGAATTTTCCTTATCCTGCAGTGATATACCAAAGTATGTTTGCTGCTGTTTTCCAATTCATCCTTAGGCTATATGTAAATGTTTGCTAACAGATCATCAAAACGTTCCTCTTATAATGTCCATTACCAAATGACATTAATACACATTGTGGCTGGGACAGGATCCTGTAACAGTACCCAAGGTCAACTTTGCTTCTTTCTCTCTCGTTGAATATAAAACTCATGACTATTGGAAAATAACACCAAAACATACTGATTGATACTGGTCTGCACGTCCTACCTCAAATTGCATTAATACTGTTGAGTGTTGACTGTGGGTGTAACTGTGTATCCAGGTCAAAGTCAACTGTGGATGTTGACTATAGCCCAGATGGCACAGAAAGTCGTTTGCTCTCAGCCTTCCTGTTCATAAGGCGGATCTGCAAATCTGACAACAGGATTCAGACACAGCTGAAAAGCTTGGTTCTCTGAAGGGATATTCCAGGATCTAGGACTAGTTTCAGGATTAAATTTCATGACTTCAGTCTTGGTAGCAGACGACTACATGTCCAGAGTCTGAATAGCAAAATAAATCATAAAATAGGTGATAGCGATCTTACTGTTACAAACTTTGACTCCCATCTGGTTGCCTCCAAGCTTGAACTTAAGTAACCCTATTTGTCTTGCTGCAGAATAATGTTGCTGAACCAACCAGTTTGGTTCTCTGACTCTCCTATTGCATTCTTTGATTTTTATTTACCTCTCTAAGTCACTAGTACAATTACTCAAGGAGCTGAGAGGGGGAGGCTTTAAATTGCATGCGTCATACGTGAATGTTGAATGTTCTGGCTGGTGGAGTTGCAACATGAAACGTTGGGAGCCAGACAGTTCAGCTAAACTGATACCAATATCATGTTTCGAGTGATCTGCCTTGCAACGTTCAATTAACCCAAATGCCTTTCAAGTTTTTTTTACATTTGTTAATACGGAAATACTGATCTGAAGTTTCCTGGCTCTACAGAGGTCTAGCTGTTAATATGCTTGGATAAAATATATTAATTTGTAGCTGCTACAACTTTAAATGCCAGATTTTCTGCTGAACTTTCCTTTTTGAGATTTTGCCAGTTGTACAATAATTTTTGTAACTGACTCCACGCTGTTCTAATGCTACACCAAAATGCCTCTCGCTTTCTTCTCTCTCTCACTCTCCTCTCTCTGTCTCTCTCCCCCCTTCCCCCCTCTCTCTCTATGTGCCTTTTCTTATCTCTCTCTACCTCTAACTATTTATTAATTTATATAATGACAAACAAATCTATTTGTGAGCACATGCTATAATTACAAAAATGCAATTATGTCTGTGATTCACCTGCTAACTCTGCCTTAATATTGGTGGGAAAGCGTAAGCCTTTAGCCACTTTGCCTTCAGCCTCTCCTAAAATACCTTTACCTCACCCCTTCCCTACTTTCAAATCACACCTGAAGACTTACCTATCCCTTTGACTGTGCTGCTACCTTAATCTTCAGGTATGTGCTGCACAATATTCCCTTAGGGCCAAGGGCCCGGTGTCTACCCGGTTATACTGGTATAGCCAGGTTGCAGGCCATCTAAGAGGTGCTTAGTGACAGCAGCAGCTTTTGTTTTTACAAACGTCAGGAAACACCTGATCTTTGCTAGGTGTCTTCCCACAACAGCACAGGCAGATGGAAACTCCATTATATGCATGAATTACAGTGCTAAAAGCCAACATCATATCACAATGCAATGGAAAAGCACACAGAGCCCTTCTGAGGGTTTGTTTTAAACTGAAAGCTGGGTTTTGTTTTTACGCTTGCCTTGTGTCCTGTAAAATAGATTGTAAAATTGACTCCTGAGCAGCTTCGGACCCTTGGAATTATTGAGCTATGAGCCTTTTGCACCTCTTTGCATCAGAGCCACTAAAAAGATTGGCACAGGTGTCAAGTTGATCCTTTTGTTTCAGATGTGATTTTTTTCCCAGTGCTTTGGGATGTGCTCCCCTGGGGGCTAAACCCAATCTGTGTACCAAAAAGGCAACTGTTTGCACCATAATTTTTGTGTGTTGTCCAGCAGCAAATGGATGGATAATATTGGATACAGAATATCTGATGCATACCTTTTCAACTTTACTTTGTGTTTGTTACCTGAACCTAGAAGGTGATAAACAACATGTTTGAATGCTAGCTTTCTTTGTTTTACAAGTTCTGAGGTGTTATAGTGTACTTTTCTACAGTGATTTGTTAGTGGTATAAATCATTATCTTTTCCAAGCTCATAGTAATATATTTTTAATAAGAAGTACTTAACTTGCCATGCCTTTGTATTTGAAAGTAGACCCACTCTCTAGTGAGATGCTTAATAATAACTGCATTGCCCTGTGGTAATTTAGTGAACCACACATACTTTTCAGGTAAATAAAGATGTTGAATTAATTTGTTTTGTGAAAGATGCAATTGGGAATATCCTTTAGCTGCAGTTTTGGGATGATTTTTGTTTGTATTTTGTTCTATTTTAAATGTGACTGAGTAATAGGCAAAAGAGCTGATCGATTAACATGACATTTTGATGTAGTTTGATCAAGCACCAACTAATAAAATCAGAGCATTTCATGGCACAGAAGGGAACATCCGAACACTGTGCCAGGACCTGCTCTCTGAAAGAGTAATTTATTGATTACAAATGCTACTTCAGCATAGAGGCAAAGTACAACTACTTCTTTCCGTGATGCTAATAAATTCAACTGAGGACAAATTTGTCAAAATACCATTCTGAATTAGCCTCAACTTGCATCATTTTAGCATTAAAAATAATTACTCTCTTTTTGCTGGTCTGAGCAGCCCAAAGAGCTGCCTGTAATCATTTGAATAGTGCATTGTACGATCAGAATAGTCATGTCTCAGCATTCAATTTGCTAAGCAATTGTGGGAAAGAGGTATTGCTGGTACCAGTATCCAGTCAGTGATAGACAGTGTGTGTTTGTCTTGCAGCGTCAAGCTCCAGGTCCGTGCCAAAAAATTGAGAGATTTGCTCCAAAATGGACCTGTATTTGAATCTCAAAATCCACCATTCTTCTGATAGACATGATCAGTGGTTGTTGTGCTTAACATTCTCTCTCTTGTCAGGCTGCTGAGAAAGCTCTTTCATCATTCTTGTATAATATGGACCTGAAACTCAAGGCAACATGGTTTGATTTGCAGAAATGCAGTTTTAAAGTGCAGTTTATGGAATTCCTTTTCTTGGTAAACCTGTTATGTGTGGGGATTCAACAATACTATTCTAATATGACGACTTCTTACAGTATCTTTGATGCTAATGATATTTTTGTGGTATGTGTGTTAAGGTTTTCAACTTCGATGTTAGACAGCTTCACTGGGCTGAGTATATGGAGAATTACTGCATGGGAACCAAGAAATATGTGCTAAACGAAGAACTCTCTGGGCTTCCTGCAGCCAGGAAACATCTCATCAAGTATGTTTATATGAATAACTTAGAAAGATTTGAGCCACTTTTACCGTCATGTCATTCTCTGATCATTATCTGATGTGGTTTTATTTAGTTATTATATGTGCTATAATTCTATATGTGCATTCTAACCATGTGATGCTAACCCAATTTTACAGGAAATTGACTGTTGAAAAGTTAATATTATTTAGTCTCGCTAATACATCTGATGCTGATAAACCAAAATGGTGCACAGCTTTCCTAGACTCCCACGAGTGCTTGGGCATTCAGTACAATTGCTTACTCTTTTCACTTCTCAGGTTTAACTTTGAAATTTGGCTTAAGTGTCACTGGTTTATCCTCTGCCCCAATGCTCTTGCATATTACTATTATATATAATATTTTTACAGATAGATTTTTCTGAAAAAAAAATGACCAATTGTTGGAAAGACTTGTCTGTCCCCTTGATGTGTACCTGAAACATAAACCAAACCCACTCCATTCCACTGAGCTCACAATATACCCCGACATGTCTCCTGGTTCTAGTTACTCTTCTAAGGGGAAACCAAAAATGAGGCCAATTTTGGAGGCAATTTTCTTGAATAATTGCTCCCTGACTCTGGAGTAGAGGGAACTCCAGGAGAGAATGAAGCCACCACTTCCAACATGAGTTCATTGCTAAACATCCCATTTACTCTGTTACAATAGAGCGGTCCTCACATGAAAGGATGGCAGATAACCTGCTGTGGCGCAGCATGAGGCCAGAAATATTAGTGATCTAATATAATTAGATATAATGACTGAAGTAAACTTTCTAATGCCTAGTTTTCGGTAGAATAATGTCTAAAAATAGCTATACATTGTGCAACAGATTTTGCATTATTTTGCATTTTCTCCTACGTTATGCCACGCTTTCGTATAAATGAATTGCATTCTGCATGTTAATCGTGTGCTGGATTCGAATAAGATGAGTTGTTTGTCTCACAATTCCAGGTTGCGAAACATTCGCTATACATTCAATACAATTCTGGTTGTCCTGATCTGGAGAGTTTTCATTGCAAGATCACAAATGGCACGGAACATCTGGTACTTTGTGGTCAGCTTATGCTTCAAGTTCCTGTCTTACTTCAGAGCATCTAGTACCATGAGATATTGAAGACACTGCTGGCACTCAACCTTTGTGGATAGTTGTACTGGACCTTGATAACTTTTATGTTAATGTTTTTACCTTAAAAAGAAACCTGTACCTTGTTACACTTTGTCATGTATGTAATTTGTTAGCTACCTTATGAAAATTTAAGTTGGCTGTCTAACACCGTATAAAGTACAGAAATGCACTAAAGCAAGTGTGTGTGTTTAAAAAAAATTAAAAAAAAAATCAGTTTCAGGGTTTAAAATAAGCTTTAATACTGAAGGCAGATTGACATGGAGAAATGAGTTTCAATTTTGTTTTCCATTGACTTAACTATTCAGATTTCTGTAGTCATCTCTGCAGTAGAGTTTGTGGGCGGCAGTTTACTTGTGGCGCATGTTGAGTCTGCATAGTTTTCAATTTATCTTTTGGTTACAGGTCAGGCATTCAGTTTAAACGTCTATGGTGCATTACTAGAGGAAGAAACGCCATTAAATTCACATCAAGTTTAAAGAGACTAAATATCACTGGCCATAAAAAATTCACCTTATTGGTCTGTAGTCTCCATGCATTGATTGATCTGAGTTGAAGAATAAATTCATTGTTATTTTTTTAAAAGTACCCATGTGGTGTTCGCATTAAAGTGACAATCTTAAAATTCTGCATTTTTACCATCACACATTGAAGCATGGCAGTCACTTTGTGGCAGTCAGTGGATAAATTGCTAAGAAAAGTTCTTAATGACGTTGCCTTCTACTCCAATGTTACCGTAGAAAGGACCTGTGCCATGTAATATTTAAAATTTTTTTTAAGAATGTCACAGATTTAATCCAAGCAGGTTTAACTGAATGTCTGAATTCAACAAATAGAAACTAGTAATGTCGTTTGCCTTTTTTTTCCAAAAGCCTTTTAATTTAGCATCTTAGATTTATGTGGAAAGCAAAAGGTACTTACGTTACCTGTGGGTAAACATTCCTCGAAGAGAAATGAGACTAGTGAATGCAAATGTATTAATGTACTACACTCTCTGTGGACATGTATTAATAGTTGAATTTTGATAAAATTAGGAAATTAACTTACTAATGGTTTTGCCTTGACCTGGGGCTATCATATTGAGGTATCAGAATGTGCCTGACTTCACTATATTTTAGGTTGCTATGCTGAAGATTTTTTTTAAAAAGAGATATGAAAATTGCTTACTGGCCTCTCAGAATTACTGGCATTTTCCATTTGATTGTTACAAGTGGGATGCTGGCATTGTTGCTTTTGGCACAAAGGTTGAATGAGTCGATTATATTTTAAAATTATGCTGCAGCCTCCTTTAAAACATGCGCTATGAAGAACAGTTTTATTTTTGTGGCCTCACAATCAGTGAGATGTCATGTCTCACTGTACCAATAGCTTACATGGGACCTCCCATTGCTGTACTGTTGGCTACCACTTCGCCTCTACCACACGTAGATTAAAATGACCATTAAAAATCATCAACAAAAATTTTTTAAACACCATGGCCGCTGATCAACATCGGTCCACACCTTTTTTGATGTAAACTGTCCTCGGAGCTGGTGTGATTAGAGGTTCTCACAACTGTTGACTTGATTCATCGGCTGCTAACTTGGTTAACTGCTTGAATGACATTTGCATCTTTACAAGAATCTATTTTAACCGAAGGCAAGTTGAGGGCAAGAGTGTAAAAGAAGCCAGGATAATATATATATTACATGTATATATAATTATATTGGCTGGCTTCATTCAGTGTGCAGTACTGTGTACCTACATAACATTTAAGTTACCGTTTGTCAAACATTCTTATTGTCAGCTTTTTTTTTGTTGAGTTTTCAGTGTAGTTATAATTCATACACCATCCTATTAGTCATGAAAGAGTGCTCTTTGCTTCATAAAGTAATCAAATTAGTAGTTTGGCAGCTAAACTACAGTGATTGTTATTGCTGCAAATGTTTTCCATCAGTTGCCCTGCCTGCTCTGTCTTGTGTGAGGAGTGTCTGGGTTATTATCTAAGCCAAACGTGTGTAAAATCCTTTGTAAAAAGCCCCCTTCGTCTCAGAACGTTGCTACTCTTGTACCCATTTGTTCACAGTATCTTAAACAACGTGACAGGATGGTTACAAAGAAAACCTGTTTGAGATTTTAATTCAAATTTCTGTAATTCAACAAAAAGTTTCACCGATAAACGTATCAGTTGAAGTTTGAGCAACTGAGATTCAAGCCTTACTTTGTGATGGCATTGAACGCCAGCAGAAATAACTGAAAACTGCACAAAATGGTGATTTTATAAAGTAAGCCGTGCAAATACTTTTCACTTTTGTTAGCTGGGATTTGGAGAAACCCTGTGCTCATATCAAATTCTCAACTTTTTTAATAGCAGATTACTTGAGAGGGAATTATTGAGGTGTTTTGCAGGAATCCTTCCTGACTGTAGTTGGTTGGTTGGATAGTGCAGTAAGTGGAACTTCCTGCTATGGGACTGGGTGCGCTAAAATGGCATAGGTTGTTATGCTATTAACAATGGTTGTAAAATAACTTCAATGTGTATTGTGAGGCTGCCTTATCAAACAATGTTACACTTTTTAGTGGATGTTTCTACAAAGGACAATAAATGACATTTGTAATTGAAATGGCTAATATTTATTGGTTTTCAGTCATTGTTACCAGTAAGGCATAATCTGGGACAAAATTTGCTTGATTTTAAGGAAATAATTTTCTGTATACTCCTGACTTTTTAAAAAAAAAAACTTTTTTCATCCTGAAAGCAATGTTAAATGCAAGCCACTCTCCAATGGCAACATTCATATTTTTTACACTGTTTGTATGAAAAATGAACAAGTGTCAGTGTCACAGTTTGAAGTACAAATAGTGATTTGTGAATGGAAAATTAAATGGGTGCCTTTGAGAACCAAAATATGCTGTATTTATTTAAATAAAATGACATATTTATGCTTTTCCCTCCCCCACATTGTGGAACCCATGCTATGCTGCCTTTTCAATATCTTGCACATCATCCAATGGCTAATATTTCACTGTACAGCAAAGCTACAAGAATGTTGTGAATATTCAATGGTTCATGTTATCTGGTTGGAGCAGAACTGGTCATCCTGTATGGAAAAAGATGAATGTTAAATATAGATTTGAAAAGTTACTCAAATAATAATTCTAGCACAAATTGCATGGCAACAGAGTCAAATGAACTAACTTGCAATGCCAAACTGGCATGGGCCAAATCCTGACCTACTGGCTGGATGCATGGTTTATCTGGTTTCCAAACGTGCATGGAAAATGCACGTGATTGTCTATGTGATGTTTAATTCTATTGATCGTTGGAACGGTTTCATAATACTCCGAATGTGCAGTAGGGAGACGTGTAAATAAAAAGGACAATAAGCGTGAAGCAGGAAAATTTCAACGGGTGAATTGGCTACTTTACTATTGCTTTGGTTAAGCTGTGATGAAACGTACTTGAACAAAGTTTCAAGAAATGCTTTTTGCTCTATGTTAAAACAATCCCAGGTGTAGTTCCTCACCTTTTACAGTGGTTTTCTCTTTTGCATATGCAGCCAATAAGGTTAACGATGAACCCACTTATGTTGTGCAGAAGTCCTACAGGGCAGGAAATAAATATTTAGTTTGCATTAAAACGTGCATATTTAAATGGTCCTCATTTGTTCAACTTCCACATAGCAGTAATTTCCTCCACTCACAGAGAGGCAAAGGGTAAGGAAATTTTGCGGGAGATCAAGTAATAATCTTGCTAAGCTTTAGCATTCATAGACTTGCTTTGATAAAGGCCTTCAGTTATGTTAACCCCTTGTTTAGCAGCAACAAGCGTATCAAGTTTCAGTATATAACAACATGGATATATATAACGCCCTCCACGCCGGTCGGGGTCCCAGAGCGCTTTACAGTAACGGATCCCGGGGCCGAGCCAGGGGGAGGGGGGGGAAAGTGACCAATGGCGCGGTCGAAAAGAAAGGTCTTCAGCAGAGACCTGAAAATGGGAAGGGAGGGAACGAGATGAAAGGAGTGAGGAAGGCAGTTCCAGAGCCTCGGGGCATCATGGCTGAAGGCACGGCCGCCGGAGTGGAGCGGAGGACTATATATATATATATATACTGGTATTTCTGGCTATGATTTTGTAGCTATTGTGCATTTGCGATGGATTTTAAGTTGAGTTTTATTTTGGGCTGATCCAAACCTGAGGGGATTTTATTTCACTCTGTTCCTGCAGTGCTTGGTGATGTACTGTGATCTGTAGTGGCAGCGCCTTAACAGACAGTTGCACAGTTGTCTTCAGGCATTTGACTGAGACCTTACCTGTTCATCGACCCAAACAGTGGATTCTCTAGTAGTTTATTTAGTGTCTGCCTTTACCTGCCGTAGAGAAGATTCCACCAATTATGCCACAAAGTCGAATGAGGAGTTGGCGGGTGGACATTCCTTCTTCAGAGATGATGACCTTCAGAGGGCTGATATCATACTTTAAAAAGATGCCTGGTATTCCATGACCCTTTTTCATCTCGGTTAGTGTTTGTTCCTGAAATTAAATTGTTCCTCAAACATTAAACAACCAATTTAAGCCGCAGAGTAACTGTTCAGCGTTTTTCAAAACGTGCTTCCTGCAGGGGGAGAGGAAGCGAGACTGACCGTGTATGGCATAACAGCACACATTTTTAAAAAAACATCTCATTCGGGCGCTTTCCTTACGTTTAGTGTAGGCTAACAAATTGAACGGGGCATGCAAACATAAGCAAATAGGTATGCTGCTTGGTTTTGAGCCACTGGTAAGGAAGAAGAGCCAATTTTGAGAGATTCAGTGAAAATGATCACAAATTACACCACTATTTGTAAACCAGGTAAAATCTCAGTGTGGGGTTGAAAGATAAGAATCTTCTAATTGAACATGATATTTGTAAGGTGTATACAAGATGAGACTTGCTTGATTTGAAGGTAAACTCAAGCCACTTGAACATTTCACTGAATATTTCACTGAATATGTGAAACAATCCAATGTGTAATGTCCTGACGTGGGGTGACTGCAACAACTACTTGCAGTTCTATTGCACCTTTCACATGGAACACGTTAGTGCACCTTCCACCCTTGTAGAAGGAAGTACATTTTTTTAAAACAAAATGACCAGTCCAAGCCAATTCTGATGCTTTCATGGCACATTCTGATGTATTGAACTGAGGGGCATTAGAACTGGTCATCTTTGCAATAATTTAGCAGACATAAACTGGGTCAGAAATCAATCTTTCAGCCTGCTGAAAGGAATATCGCTTTAGTGTAAAAAAGGGTTCCTTTGATATCAATCCCTAGCGCATCTGGACTTTTGATTAATATTTTATTTGGAAAGATATAGTAACACCAAGCTATCCACTGTCAATTTCCGGAGAGTTCATTAACTTTTTATGCCATTAGAACTGTACACATTACTAAATATAGTAACGATTAAGTACGTGGCATTTTTCTGGTGGTTTCCCTGTTATTTGGTGGATTTCCTGGAAGGTCGTGTAAGTAATTCCAAGCCATGAACAAGTGTCACAAAAAATAAGTGACTTTGGCCAAAAGTAGAGGCTGCTACAACAACAACCACAACAAAATTATATTTACATAGCGCCTTTCACGTAGCACTAATGACCAGAAGACAAACAGCCCCATGGCAACACACACAGGACTTCACAATCAGACGACTTGTACGACAACAGATACACAACAGGATAGTCAGTTTGTAGTCAGAGAATCTGGAAATGACGTAAAGGTTAAGGATTGGTTTGGGAGGTATTTGATTATCAAATTCAGGACTGCCATTGTATTAGGGATGAAATTATAAAAGTGTTTGCTTCCTTACCTTTTCTGTGACGGAATACTGATGAGTACTGGTAGAGAAACTATAGGTATTTACTTCAGTTGGCACGAGCACAAGGAAGTATTGGAACATATGTAGATCTGCAACATAACAACATTACACAACACTTAACAATTTGCATTTATGCAGACCTCTTTGTGGAGGATAATGTATCGGAGCGATTTACAGACATAGGGTCAGATGCCAAGCATGGGAACGAGGGAATTGGTGAATCGGGCAGAATTATCTTTCAAGGCCAATGATAGAAATACTAAATTTCTACTAATATCAAGGGCAGCTCCAGTGTGACCGCTGGGACCGTTTTAGTGAGTTTTTTCCCTAATTGGTGTAATTATTGGGAGTTACGTTTCTGAGGTTAGATGCAATTTCTAAGATCAGTGTTTATTTTCGAGGCAAACAAAGGGCTCTGCTCTGAAGTGAAACATGGTCTCTCTGGGGTTGAAGGGGCTTTGAGGAGACACCATATCACAAAGCCGGGCAGGTCTTCTACTCTCCCAGACAAAATTTGGGAAAATTGCGTGCTGCAGAGTTAGCACCATTAATTGGCTGCTATATTATAATTTTAAAACCTGTTACTCCATGTGTTGAGATAAGTGGAGCACCAGCACCACTTTCTTCCACCTCCAACGCATCACCCGTCTCTGCCAATACCTCTCTCCAAAAGCCGCTGAAATCCTGATCCATGCCTTTGTCACCTCTTGGCTGGACTAGTCTCACGCCCTCCTCGCCGGCCTCTCCTCCACTACCATCCATAACATCCAGATTATACAAAACTCTGCTGCCCGTGATCTCACCCGCACCAAACTCCGCTCCCCGATCCCCCCAGTCCTGGCCAGACTGCACTGGCTGCCTATCCCAGAGAGGATCCACTTCAAGATCCTCATCCTTGTCTTCAAATCCCTCCACTCCTCTGCACCCCCCGACTTCTCTGACCTCCTCTCTCCTCAAAACAGTATCTGTTGCCTTCGTTCCTCTGGGTCTGGCCTCCTACTTGTCCCCCGAGTCCTCCGCTCCACCCTTGGCGGCCGTGCCTTCAGCCACTATGCCCCGAGGGTCTGGAACTCCCTTCCTCACTCCCTTCTCTTCGCCCCCTCTCTATTTCTAAGTCTCTACTGAAGACCTTTTTGACTGCGCCTTTGGTCACCTTCCTTCCCCCTCCGCCCGGGTCGGCCCCGGGATCCGTTACTGTGAAGCGCTCTGAGATGCCGTCCGGCGTGGAGGGCACTATATAAACCCAAGTTGTTGTTGATGTTGTTGTTGTGTACGAATGCATTTTCTCTGTTGACTTACTTGATTCAGTTATTTTCACACTACCATCTAGTGGATTGATTAACCCGGGGCTAGACACTCCAAATGAGAAATCATCGATTCGATGGGAGAAATTATAGACTGTAAAAGGAAGAAATTGTTTTAATAATACGCAGTTTAGCTTTTTTTCCCCAACTGCACTGAACTCTCATTACCCCAAACTTCATATATAAAAATGCCAGGGACAAACATGTACAGAAAATAGTACCTTTGGGATTCCTTACAGCAATCACGTGTGCATGGCCAATGGGAAGCTCATACGACCTGCAACAGTATGAAATAATATAATAATCCTTGCATTTGACAAAGAATGTACAGCATGGAAACAGGCCACTCAGCCCACCTACGTGTCGGTGTTAATGCCCTACATGATTCTCCCACCTACCTCCTTACTCCCTCTCAGACACTTCTATTCCCCTCTCCCTCGTGTGAAGGTCTAAGCTTCCTCTTGAATCCATCTACACTGTCTGAAACCACCGCTGCAGGCATTGAGTTCCACAATCTCACTACACTGTTCCTCCTAAATTCTCTTTCAGATCCCCTGTCACTCTCTGCTGGTGTCCCCTGGTTACCGACTTCAGTTTATTTAGGCTTTTATCATTTTAAACATGTACCACACTTAAGAAAAATACAAAACGACAATGAAGTCAAAAGTTAAAAGATGCTGTAGTTTGTAACGAAGGTCATTGTTACAGTCAACAACCATATCGGTTCATAAAGAATATTCCTTCATTGTAATCTACTGTGGACCTGTACTTTGTGTTGTGTCTAAGTTACTAATACATGGGTTACTGAGGCGGAAGAGCTGTCTGGCATATTTGCCTGATAATTACTTACTGAAAATTAAAGGCCTTTTCCTCCCTCCCCACCTTTAAAGCCCACCTTTTCGGCCGTGATTTAGGCCACTTTCCCCAATAAGCTCTGAAGAAAAGTGGGGATTTAATGGTCTTATGTTCTGATCATGTTGTGAGCAATGTCAGTTCCCTGTGATGTGGTCAGTGGGGATATCCTCTTACAACAGGATGTTATCAGACATCAATTGACCCTCAATATAATTAAATTGACAATTAAGGGCTTTGTTTAAATGCGAGGGAATTGATTTCCGCCAATACCAATTTGCTAGGCCGGACAAGGGAACGCTGAGTAAGTGTGGAGACTGGTGCCACTAACTTTCCAGACAGAACATGGAAGTTTCCTGCTACTTTGTTCACGTAGATTGAACCATACACTCTGCACGCATTGGGAGGTTCTGTGGAGTTGACATCTCTGAGGGAAAAGGAAGAGAGTTAACACTTGTTTTACAGGTCACGTAATTTGAGTTGAATTCTTTGACAAAGATGATTAAAAAAGAAGCTGAATCCTTGCATTTCATACGGTGCCTCTTTCCCAAGCTCTTCACAGGATTCACTGTAAAGTGTAGCAGTGAGTGCATTGTGCAGGTGTACGTCGTGGCACCCAGTTTGCACAGCAACGTCCCTAAAGCCTGCCTACTGCGAAGTTCAGGCTGGGAATACTCAGGGCGTCAAGCTAAGGTGCAAATGAATCTTCACGTTAGCGCTGTCTTAGTTTTACTGTCAACACATTTGCATCAGAGCAATACCAGGTTTATATTGCAAAACCTCTACAGAGCTATCCAGTTCACTATTGTAATTCTTTGGCTGAAAAACGGCTCAGACACAAACTGACAAAATGTAGGTGAATCCCCAGGAGGGTTAGTGATCCTTTCTCTCCACGTGATAGACTGCAGGTAATTAGACAAAAATGAACATAAGTCTTGGGGAAATGCTTAGACAATGGATCCTTTTAGAGGTCTGTTACTGGGGGACTTTCTTGCTCTCAGTGCAATGTCTCACATTTCACGATTTTCTTAACAATCTTGCAAATTTCACGAAAAATAATGAGAAACTAAGAGAAATTAATTCTTTTCTTTTTTAAAAAAAAGCGTCTTAGCCATAATTAGAATCACTTTGGTCACCTGATGTCTCCGTGACCAGGTGGAATGTTAAAGATCTCGCAGCGCTATTCGAAATGAGAAAAGCCAGTTGTTAATCATTCACTTTACGGCTGTTTGTGGGGCACCTCTGTGGCTCAAATTTGGCTGCTGCATTCGTCTTCTAAATTCACAGTCCCTACACTTTACAGTAAATCCTGTGAAGCGCTTCGATGTATCTTGACGACGTGATAAGGTGCTGTATCAAAGGCAAGGATTCATATTCTAATGTCAAAGAGAACCCTGATATAAAGTTTCACATGGATTTCCTCGGAGCCTTTGTTTTGCGATTTTCTTCAAATGATGACTTTATGAGATAATCCAGCAGGTTATGTTCTTCCTGTAGCTTTTCATGAATGTCCTGACGAGTCCTGCAGTTTAGCAAAAAGGTCCTTATATAAATGGGAAAGGCTCACATATGAATTGGAAGGTTTTGCTACTCACCGATCGGGAACAGTTTTTGTCAAGACCTCTGGGACATTTTCCCGTCGTGAGAGATGCTCTATATACGTGTAAATTGTACCAACTATTGTAACTTTTGAATCTTACCCGTACCAGTCTTTCTCCTCAGGTGTGAGTTCGAATTGCGTCTAAATATGTGAAAATAAAATCGGTTTATTTAAACAACAAAAAANCGGGAGCTGGTTTGTTTGCTTGAAATTCATGAGCGCAAGAACAAGTTGCATGTACGTAGCTGGCACCCTTCACACTGGTCATGTCTCAGAGCAAAGATAAGCCGGCAAATGTGCCACCGGCAATCGTACAGAGAGGGGGACTATCTTATTCAATGCTCCATTCCATACAGGAAACCACAAAGCACAGGAAAACAGGAGTTACTGCAGTCGTTGAAGGAAGGAAACGTCCTTGTACTCAAGACTGAGGTGAGGCACATAGATATTTGTTAGGTCAGGGTATCAAGGGATATGAGGCAAGGGCGGCTAATTGGAGTTGAGGCAGAGACCAGCCGTGATCTTATAGAATGGCGGAACAGGCTCGAGTCACTGAATGGCCTCTTCCTGTTGCTATGGTTCTATGTTTATCGCACAGAAATTTACTGAAATTCACATCCACCCACTCACTACATGTCAACAGGGTGTTAGAGGTTGCAAACCACAGCTTCTGGTTTCCTGCCTTACAAAGACCTTAAAGTTAAACCCAAAAACAAGAAGCTACATTTACTTCTAACTCTTGATCGCTTTCTCATGCACTGTCTGAGTGAAGGTCAGACCAGAAACTCTTGAGATAAAATCAGCTAAAAAATAATCAAGTTGCTAAACCTTACAGGCTCATAGTGCAGATCCTCTGAATCTTCCACTACTGTGTCTGAGAGATCAAGGATGTCTGCTCCTATATCTTTTAAGACAAAAAAGAGAAAAACACAAATTCCATACTGGGGATTAAGTGCGGTTAATTTCTCGCTAAAAGTTAGGTTTCAGTTCTTGTTATAAGTAATGTTTCAGATCATTGCCTGTTATTGCATAAAACTCTGAATGGATTTATTGTCTCAATCTTTTCAAGTCGTTTTTTGGGGGGCGGGTGGGGGCATTTGCTTTATAAATAATAATAATAATAATCCTTGCATTTGATATATCGCCTTACCACATCATTGAGACGTCTCAAAGCGCTTCACAGAACATATTATAAAATATAGTGACTTCACTGCGAGGAGATGCTGGATTTCCTTGAATCCAAAATCAAGGAAATCCGCTCTGTGGTCACTCCCCCTCCAACTTCCACCCACCCCTCACCCCTTCCCTCCCACACTCCGACTCCCACCCACCCCCCACCCCTTCCCTCCCACACTCCGACTCCTACCCATCCTTCCCTACACACCTTCGAACCCGTTTCCCCACCCTCTGTCACCGAACTCATCCTGTCCCTGAAACCCACCACCTGCTCCCTTGATCCCATCCCCACTCCACTCCTTATCTCCCAGCTCCACCTCCTTGCCCCACTTATCACAGACATCGTCAACCTGTCCCTCTCCTGTGGCTCTGTTCCCATTCCCCTAAAAACTGCCACCATCACTCCCACTTTGAAAAAANCCCTCCCTTGATGCATCGCAGCTATCAATCTCCGGCCCATCTCCAGCCTCCCCTTCCTGTCCAAGGTCCTGGAACGAGTTGTCGCCTCCCAGCTGCGCTCTTTCCACTTCACCCATTCATTATTTGAACCCCTTCAGTCGGGTTTCCGTGCTGCCCATAGCACAGAAACTGCCCTGGTCAAGGTCACCAATGACATCCTGACCATCTGTGACCAGGGCTCCCTCTGCCTCCTCGTCCTCCTCGACCTATCGGCAGCATTCGATACAGTCGACCACGCTATCCTCCTCCACCGCTTGTCCTCCACCTCAACCTTCAAGGCCCTGTCCTTGAGTGGTTTAGGTCGTACCTCTCCCACCGTCTTCATTTTGTTTTCACAAACGGCTTTTCCTCCACCGCCTGCACTGTCTCGTGCGGTGTCCCTCAGGGCTCTGTTCTCGGTCCCCTCCTCTTCACCCTCTATATGCTCCCCCTGTGGTAACATCATCCGCAGACATGGGGTTAACTTCCACATGTATGCGGATGACACCCAACTCTACCTTTCCTCCTCTACCCTCAACTCCACAACCCCCGATGTCCTGACAGCTGTCTGTCCGACATCGAGTCCTGGACTTTCTTCAGCTCAGCGTGCGCAAAACTGAGGCCCTCCTGATTGGCTCACGTCAGCGCCTCCGCACCTCAAGCGCTGACAGCATCAGCATCCAAGGCTGCACTCTCCACCTCTCAAAGCCATCAGGAACCTCGGGGTTCTGTTCGACCCTGAGCTGTCCTTTCTCCCTCACATCCGCACCACAACTGGCACCGCCTTCCATCACCTCCGGAACATCGCCAGACTACGGCACTACCTCACCCCTCACACGGCTGAAACTCTGGTCCACGCCTCTATCACCTCAAGGCTGGACTACGGGAACTCTCTCCTCGCCGGCCTTCCCGGCTCTCCCTCCACACTGCAGGTCATTCAGAACTCTGCAGCTCGTGTACTGTCCCGCACCAGATACCGCGACCACATCACTCCCACCCTCACCCTCGCCCTCACCCTCACCCCCACCCTCGCTCGCCTCCACTGGCTCCCCATCCCCCAGAGGATCGAATTCAAGATCCTCATCCTCACCTACAAGGCCATTCGCGGCCTCGCTCCCTCCTACCTCTCCGACCTACTCTCCCCCTACCTACCTGCCCGTACCCTCCGTTCCTCTGGCTCCGCTCTGCTCTACATCCCCCGCCCCAACCGCCCTACCATCGGTGGCCTTCAGCCTCTCAGCCCCGAGGCTCTTGAACTCTATCCCCCAGTGCCTTCGCCGCCTCCTCCCTTTCCTCCTTCAAGGTCGGTCTCAAGACCTTTCTCTTTGACTGTGCCTTCAGCTCCCCTCTCGACTCTCTACCCCCTCCTCGCTCCCTCCCTTCCCTCCCCTCACCCTGACCATTTCCCCCCAATGCTCGGGTCCCGACCCAATTGTACAGCGCCTTGGGACATCCTCCCGAAGTGAAAGGCGCTCTGTAAATGGAATCTTGTTGTTGTATGTTTGTAGGGCAAAACCCGGCAGCTAAATGCGCACAGCAGCGTCCCCACAAAGAGTCGTGGGATTGAGTGACCACATTTTTGGGAGATATTGTGCAGTCCTGTAGCTCAGTGGTTAAAGCACTCGCTTTGCAAGTGAGACACCTGGGTTCAATTCCAGGCAGGTCAGGGCGAAACCTTGGGCAAGTTTCCTTACTCCACACAGAGCCTAATAATAATCCCTCCAAAACAAAACAATCATTTTCAATCCACGACTGTTTGTGGGACGCTGCTGTGCGCAATTGGCTGCCGCGTTTCGCCCACAAATATACAAACATACAGTCCAGAGGACGTGAAAAGCGCTATATCAAATGCGAGGATTTTTATTATTCTAATCTCTTTGCCGGCCGCTGTCTGTGGTATGTTTGACATGTCCCACTAGGTGGCTCCCAGGAGCACGGCAACGTCGATCATCTCCCATGCGGGGAATCCACCCCTCGAAAACAATTAAAGATCCGGTTGACATTGACCACAACAACAGCAACAACAACTACTTGCATTAATATAGCACCGTTCACGTGGGGGAGAATCTCAGAGCACTATATCAATGGTCAGCTGGACATCTCATTATATTTTCCCTAGACATAGAGAAGCAATTAATATTAATAATAATAATCCTTGTATTTGGTATATTCAGCGCCTTTCATGTCAGGAGGATTTCTCAAAGCGCTTCACAGGATTTACCTGTAACTTGTCGTGACTGTATTTTGCAGACAAATACATTTAGTGTGTTGAGAAACAATCAGTTACTTACAGTCACATTTCATGGCCACTGTGAGATCAATGTTTATTTGAAGTTTACTGCAATACAACAAACAAAAACAATCTTATAGAATAAAAACTAAAAATTGCAAACTTTGTTAATAATAATAATAATCCTTGTATTTGATATAGCGCCTTATCATATCTTCGAGACGTCCCAAAGAGCTTTGCAGGTTATACTTTAAAACGCGTAACATGAATGGGCCAGGAATTGGCCGAGGGGAACCTCGGAACACCTGGGATGCCAGGCGGTCTGTCCTTAATCACCCCCCTGTGCTTTGGAGACATACATTGTTTGGGAGGGAATCCAGGGAGGGCTTGTTCCTCGCATCCAATACGTCACTTTGCTTGTGAATTATTCCCCTTGAGAATGTTTTGTGAAGCGGATGCACTTACCTCTGAATACTCGTGTCGACCACATAGTTGTACTTAATCCAACTGTTACAATAATATAACGATTCTCCAATTGTCAAGATGGCGATGAGCACAAACACGAGGAGAGAAACTGCAACAACATTATTATTATTATTATTATTACTAAAAACAATTTCATATGATTTTCACAGTGAACTGACTGGGGTTGGGGGGGGGGATGGGAGGGGATGGGGGGGATGGGAGGGGATGGGGGGGGGGATGTGGGGGGGATGGGAGGGGATGGGGGGGGGATGGGGGGGGATGGGAGGGGATGGGAGGGGATGGGGTGGGGGAGAGGAAGGTGTTGCAGTACAGAAGGGAAGGTCAGTCACCTGTACCCCCAGTGGCAGTGGTTTCCACACAGACTTCAGGCACTTTGGGGAAGATGTCCAACCCTTTGATGACCCCCAGTGATGCTCTTCTGCCGAATCGCCTCCTCATTCTGGTGGGATTTTGTGAAGCCGCTGAATTCCAGTCCACAAACACAGACACTCAGGGACTCACTCCCACTGAGAGCAGAACCTTCTCCTTCACAGGGCATCACCTGGAAACTGCAGCCTCGGGTCAGGTCACAGAGAGAGAGAGAGAGACCGATCTCCAAAGGTTACAGATGTTCTTCTCTCGGAACCTGAGCCTTTGGTTACAGCGCTGTGCTGTTTGGTGTTTCCGTGTTGGGAATCCGGGATAACAGGATATGAACCGCACTATCAGGGAACACCCGCACTGAAGGGTTGGGTTCACTGATGAGATTGGACATCAAAGGGGGACTCCGACCCTCTATCGTGGGCTACAAACTCCAATACTGTTATATACAAAGTCCTGATCCCGACAGCTCACCAGCAACTGTCTGAAATAAACTAATTACTCTTTAAAATATCAAGTCTCGTACTTATGGAGTACAGACACTGTGATTTCCTATGAATGAATGAATTAATGAATGAATGAATTAAATAATAATAATATTAATAATAATGCTAATAATCCCTGCATTAGATAATTATTTAGGGAGGACAAGTTTGCAGGGCTATGGGGAGAGCTGGGGGGTGGGGTGGGGGGGGGTGGGGGGGGGGGGGGGGGGGGGGGGGTGGTGGGGGGAGGGATTGAATTGGAAAAGCTCCTTTCACACCTCAGGTTTTTTCTACCCCAGAATCAAAATAAGAAAGTGAGACAGACGGTTTGAATTTACCAGAATTCTGTATCCTCTTATTTAAGAATAGTAACATTTATACCTAATCAGTCTCCCAGCTTCTTGGTGGAAGGAATTCCTTTTACTTGTAGAACGGCAACTGATGTATTGCCGTCAAACAATCAATGAGCTTTGTGTTGTAATTTAAAGTCGACCATCAACTGACCTGTCACACATAAATGTGCCCAAACACTCTGTGGGAGAACGAGTGTGGAAGCACAGTCCTCTCCCGTATTTTATACACGAGGGACAAGGCTGTGTCTGTTACAGTCGGAGCAGCGTCAGCCTGAGGTGTGACAAACACAGGTCGGTTTTAATGCAGCAAACACCAGGTGTCTTGGCTTCCAGAGGGAAAAGTACACACAGCGTCCAAGTAACTGTGTGAGGGTAACAGCACCTTCTGGGTTGAGCTGCGTGTCAGTAATAATAATAATCCTTGAATTCGATACAGCGCCTCATCACGTCTTCGCAACGTCTCAAAGCGCTTCACAGAATATGCTGTAAAGTGAATTGACTGTGTATTTTGTGGGTGAATCCCGGCAGCCAATTGCGCACAGCAGCGTCCCACAAGCAGTCGTGGATTGAAGTGACCAATTTACTATTGTTTTTTTTTCTGGAGGGATTATTATCAGGCGTGTGGAATAAGGAAACTTGCCCAAGGTTTCGCCCTGAGCTGCCGGGAATCAAACCCAGGTCTCTCGCTTGCGAGGCGAGAGCTCTAACCACCGAGCTGCAGGATTCCACAGTAAAGTGGTTATTTAGGAGGAGATCAACGTGACTTAGACTATGTTTTCCTCATATAATGAATGACACAAGCAGCTCCTTCATGACTTGTGGCAACGGTGACTTTTATTCTGAATAAAAGTATTCACTGATCCCTGAGGAAGAGATGATCAAAAGGTTTTATACGAGTGTTAGCTGCGGAGATACAAAACATGGCATTGTGCAGAGCCATCTCAATAGCTTTGCTCACCGCAAACTCAGCCCTGTGGGAGACTGAGCAAACACACTAATGTTACAAAGATGGAAAAATGATGCTCAGACATTTCTCTCCTGTTAATCTCCCTCTTTCTCCCTCTCTCTCTCTTTCTCTCTCTCCCTTAATATCACATTTTCTTCTGCATTTTGTTGGGATCATAATAATAATAATAATCCTGGCATTTGATATAGCGCTTTTCATGTCTTCGAGGTGTCTCTAAGCGCTTCACAAAATAGACTGTAAAGTGAATTGACTGTATATTTCTGGGCGAAATGCAGCAGCCAATTGCGCACAGCAGCGTCTCCACAAACAGTCGGGGATTGAAAATGAACAAATTATTATTGTTTTTTTTCTTGAGGGATTATCATCAGGTGTGTGGAGTAAAGAAACTTGCCCAAGCTTTTGCCCTGACCTGCCGGGAATCAAACCCAGGTCTCTCGTTTGTGAGGCAGGTGCTCTAACCACTGAACTACAGGACTCCATATGATCTGTTGATACCATTGGCATTCATTTCAAAATCACCTGTTTTTNGGGGTCAGGCGGGGGTTCTGACACATGTGGAAACCCATCACCGTACTTAAGAGCCATCACCATCGGGGCCCTGGCTTGTGGCATTTTACAGGGCGCTTAAATTGCCGAAACTGACAAAGAAAATGACGGAAAGAAACGTAAAATACGTTACATTTTGCTTCAAAGACGCAAGGCTATTTAAGAAGGGAATCCAGAGCCCGTTTGTCAGTGTAGCCGCTGGGTGTTTGCGCAAATCTTACTGCAACGAGCGCTGAACGAATCACTCAGGGTTAACCACCACAGCAACCAAGCTATCAACTCAGTGAGCAACTCTGCTTTCCTCAAAAGCAACACACGTCCCTCCCACCCACTCCCCTTGATCCTATTTGAACACATTCCAGTGTAGCTCCCTGCCACCCACATTCTGTGCCACGGAAGCTGTGTGTCTGTTGGTTAAACAGTAACAGACGTGAGTCCTTTCTCATTGTCTCCCTGATTGGAGTGCAGGCAAGTTAGTGAGGGAGTTGAGTAGCCGTTCCTGTGCTGCTTTACGCAACTTGTGGCTCCGTCTCTGCCGCCCAGCCCCGCGGGAGCCAAGCAAAGATGCGTGCCATCTCCATCAATCTCTGCCTCGTCGCTCTAGTATTTTGCTGCTGTTGGCATTACGTTCGTTCCCTGCCGCTGGCCAGCCAGAAAGGTAAGCGAGGAGTAGGTGCCTTCATAGAGATAAATAATAATAATAATTATAATAATGTTGAGACATCTGAAAGCGCTTCACAGGATACACTGTAAAGTGTGGTGACTAATGAATAAAGAAATAAATAATAAATACACGTAAGTCTTGTGTGTCAGAACACACAGGTTTGCCTGTGCTCTTGACTCTCATTCAACAGATTGTGAGGGTCTAAGTCCCATGTCGGAGGGGGGAATGGGGTTCTGAGCTTGCTGTCTAGGCTGACCCCCCCGCCCCCGCCCCCCCCCCCGCTCCCGGCTGTGCTGGGGGGAGCACTGGGCAGTCGGAGCTGCCGTCCTTGGGATGAGATGTTAATCTGAGGTCCCGTCTACCTGTTCAGGTGAATGGCAAAGATCCCGTGAATTGATGCGATGCCACAAATTATAAACTGGAAGGAAGGATGGAAGGAAGGAGCCAAGAGGGAATTTACATGTCTGTACGTTTTTGTTTCCTTTCAGCTCTCAAGTGTGGCGTTCGTCAGGAAGGAGACGGGTTTCCATATTGGTTCAGTTTCTGGAGTCGCATCGTTGGGGGGCAGAAATCAGGGGCCGGTACTCATCCCTGGCAGGTACGGGACAACAATAACAACAACAATAACATGCATTTATACATTTAGGGGTCAAATATATTTAAACATAGATGAGTGAACAAGACAGAGCTCTCTTCATTGAGTCAAACACTTTCCTCTTGTCAATCAGACCCTTTACTTTGCTAACGATCATAAAGACCTTTCACTCACTGTCAACGGGGACCAATTTGTAAAGGAAAGATGGAGAGTGGTGTTCCTGACCCTCCCCAGGGGTGAAGTATCTCATTGCTGGCCAAGTCCGAGGCACTTTCTGGCTGATTGCATTGACAAGTACAGAGTGTGAGGAAGGTCTTCAGGCAGAACATCCCTGAAGGGTGGGGCAGTGGGCAGGGAGTGAGTGGGGGGCAGGTGGGTGTCAAAGTCAGGATGGCTCTTCACTCTGAAGGATTTTATAGCTTGAGATCAAGTAAATACATACATCGCTTAGCAATTGAGATCCTTTAATGCACTTCAATAACATGGTAACACGTGGATAATGCACTATTTAGCCGTTTCGCCCACAAACTACGCAGTCACTCCACTTTACAGTGTATCCTGTGAAGATGTGATACAACTCTATATCAAAATGCAAGGATTATTATCATTCTTATTATTTAAGTAGGATTAATTGTCAATGGGATTTTTTTGGGGGGTTTAGGTGTCTTTGAAACGGGGCAAGACACATTTCTGTGGAGGAACAATCATTGCGGAAAAGTGGGTCCTGACGGCTGCTCATTGCATCAGGGACAGGTACTGAGTCACATCCCAGGTTTACCTTTTGTCCTCCTTCTTCAGGCAGCAACTGCAGCTTTGTGCTGGATGTGAATGGTATGCAAGAGATGGAGATTGCCGTGATGTTCTGTGTGAATGTTCCTGTACAGGATGACTATCTCATTACCTCGATCGCCGTCACTGAAGCACAAATGACGTTCAAAGCCGGTTTACTGCAGTTAGTCAGCAATCGATTTAGTCGTTCGGGTAGGTGGGAGGCGTGGAATTCTCGGTTTGCTTTGGCGACTCTTAGTCTACGTGATGGGTTTTCGCGTGTGTCAGACACCTGGCTGACCAAAAAAAAATGTAGTCGTTACTCAGCCTATGAAGCTGTCTTTCTCTTGGCAGCCAACTTCCAAATTAAGTCTGAATTTAGGACTTTCCACAATTCCGCGCGACCTTACATTTTAAGATCTCTCGATAGAAATATATCCCGTTGGGTTTTAGTGGATTGCTAATCAGGGATTAATCTGTGAAGCCGTGAACAGCAAACAGAGAACCTTTCCCCTTCAACAACACAAGGCAGTCAACCCGTTGTTCTCCGCTCGTTCCCTTCTTGTTGACACCAGGAACATTTTGTCCGTGCTGAAGGTGACGGCTGGTGAGCACAATCTGCAGGACTGGGAGAAAGAAGAGCAAACACTGAGGGTGAAGCGGATCATAACCCACCCCAGCTTCAGGCCAGGCAAACACCCCGATTATGACATGGCTCTGCTGGAACTCAACGGCAGCTTCACCTTCGGTAATTTCTACTTAGAAACATGGGGTGAAATTCCACTCAGATTTAACCAAAGTGCAGTCCTGTAGCTCAGTGGTTAGAACGCTCGCTTCGCAAGCGAGAGGACATGGGTTCGATTCCCGGGTCGGGGCGAAACGTATGGCAGTTTCCTTACTCCACACACACGCCCCTGTTTACCAGCAGTCAGTAGGAACCCAGTTGTTAGTCGATTGGCAGATTGCTTTTCCGAGTGTAATAATCCCTTCAAAACAATAAATAGATTTAAAATATAATAATAACTTTGTCACTCAACCCACGACTGTTTGTGGGGATGCTGTTGCGCGCAATTGGCTGCCGCGTTTCGCCCACAAAACACGCAGTCACTACACTTTACAGTGCCTCTTTTGAAGCATTTTGAGACGTCTCGAAGTCATCTTAAGGTGCTATATTGCTGTAAATGCAAGGATTATTATTATTGTTGTTGTAACGCTGACTGGCAGTGCTTTCTGATCGCAGGTAAGAGCGTGTATCCAGCTTGTCTTCCCAATGATGATGATAACTTTGCCTCAGGCGCCATCTGCATCGCCACTGGGTGGGGACGGTTAGCAGAGAGTAAGTGTCACATTATATTGAAAAGAATTACATTATATTGAAAAGAATTGCTATCCCCAACCAATTACAGCAAAAACACATTAAGAAAATGGATGCTGGCCAGTGTTCACGGTGTTTATCACATTGTTCTGATGTACATTGCAATCAAAGTCTCATTTTCCCACACACTGACAACCAGTCCTCAACTTATAACCACTGCTCCTCAATAAGCTGTAAACCTTCTTTGCACAGTTTTCTCTTTTCTAAAACAAATTCTGCACTTAAAAAAAATCACTTTGAGACTTCTCAAGATCGAGGGCGTTATATCAAGCACAAAGGATTATTATTACTATTATTGTTATTAACAATTTGTAAAAAAATGCCGTACATTTATATTTCTTTGTCAAGGTGGAAGGTTGTCTAATATCCTGCAAGAAGTTGAGCTGCCGATCCTGGATCCTAAAACCTGTTTGCAAGTGTTACAGTCAGTGATGAAAAGGTACAAGGGAACCACTCTGTTATGTGCTGGATTTCCAGATGGACAGAGAGATGCCTGTGAGGTAAGGGAATCCCTATAATAATCTGGTCCTTCAATCCATGACTGTTTGTGGGACGCTCACTACTGTGGCTGCCGCGTTTCACCCACAAAAAATACACTCAATTTACTTTACAGTATATTCTGTGAAGCGCTTTGAGGTGTGAGAGGTGCTATTCAAAATGTAATTTGTTCTCCTTGATCCTGAAGGGTCCCAATAGGTTTTAATTTCCAATTTACTTCAACTTACTGGGTTCTACAGTTGAATGTTTGGATCTGCGTTGATATAAAAGACAGACCTGGAGTCTGTCCAGAATCCACATCCACAGAATGAGCTGTGTTTCCAGGCAATGGAACCATCAATCCAACAATGCGAGTGACATGAGTTTCCATAACACTCGCGTGACTCAAGCCGTAATCCAAAATGTAAACTACAAAATACCACCGGCAAAGTCAAAGCAATTGGCTGCCGTGTTTCACACACAAAATAAACAATCACGACACTTTACAGTGTATCCTGTGAGACGTCTCGACGGCGTGATAAGGTGTTATATTAAGTGCAAGGATTCTTATTATTATAAGAGGACAACTTGCTGTTTGAGATTGGGTGAATGATTCTGAAGTGGAAAAAATAATAGACAATTATCATTTTTACTGTTAGTGACCAGGAATTGTTCTGTTCAAAGGCACTGAGCTGGAAAATGTGCAGGGCTATGGGTTAAGGTAAGAGTGGGGGAGTGGGACTGGTTGAGTAGCTCTTTCAAAGAGCCGGTACAGGCACAATGGGCCGAATGGTCTCCTTCTGTGCTGTAAGATTCTATGAGCTGGAAATCAGAGGTTACGAAAGCCCATCGCAGTTAAACTGAAGTGTTGGACAAAGCTTCCAACCTGAAGCTCGTTATGTTTTTATGTGGGTTACTCATTGTTGTGTCCTGTTGCAGAACCGTAAGATCCCTTTAACGGTCTCACAGGGCTGCAGTTAAACTGTTGATGCGTGTGGTTGCAGGGTGACTCAGGAGGGCCCCTGATGTGCAAACGTGAAGGAGGTTCCTGGACCGTGGCTGGGGTCACGTCGTGGGGGATGGGCTGTGGCCGCAGCTGGAAGGACAACAACAACAAATGGCCGAGCCTGCGGGGGACTCCAGGAATTTTTATTAACGTGAAGCTCTTGCACTCGTGGATTCAGAAAACCGTGCACAATGGCAAGTAAATGCATGTTTCTGCCGCGCAGACGCACTCTCGCCAATAAAATTGCAAATAAAACTCAATGAGCCACTTTGTTTTGATTGAAAGCGACATTTTACTGTGAGAGTGAGGACAGTGAATGATGTTTGCCTATTGCCCAGGACAATCTGTGTGCTTTATTCTTGTCCTTTACCTTGTTTTTCCATTGGAATAAATACTGCTGGGATTCCGCAGTGTGGCCACTTTAATTGAATGGCTATGCCAACGGGGGAGCAGGTTTCTCTTTGACCATCTCCTCCGCACAGAATTGGTATCAATGTTTTGTTTCTGCACGGTGGATCTTAATGTGTTAGTCAAGTTCTGTTGATCAGCCAGGGCTGGCTGTGCTGTCATCAGGGGTCAGGGAGTCATCCCACTCAACTCCTGTTAACCCGACAAGCCAAAGCCCTAACAGTTCGGGTGGTCCTAGCTGGACAAGCAGCAGGAAAGCTTGCCAGACAACCGGGTTACTGAACCCTCTCGCCCAGCCAGTGTTCTGTTTGCCTCTATTGTATCTTGCAGGCAAACTAGTGAACCATTACATGTTCCCCTCTATGCTATACATGTGAACAGAAGTATCATAAATACCGTTATATAGTTCTAATTTACCTAAACAGTACATAACTAAAGTACTTTTTTCTGTTGCAGTTTTACAGGGAAACCAAAAGACCATTTTAAATGGTATGTTCACAAGGCACAAGTTGGTGCAAAAAATGGTTACTGCTGAGAAGGTCTGTTACTAAGATACAAGAAGTCTGTGTGTGGGTAGTTAGCTTGGTTAGCTTTTTATCATAGCTTTATCAAACCATAGCTCTATGGTTAGCTTTTTATATATCATTTGGTGAATGAATCCACCTTTAAACCAAACAAGTCCACCTTTGCCAGATTCTATTATTTCCTGGTGTAACTGCAGTGTTACTGCAAAACATATCCGTTGATGATTACATAATTGGGCATGTAATTAGACAATCATACACGGACGAGCCAGGCTGACATTTCAGCTGGGTAACAAGATCACAAGATTGGTTTGGACAAAGAAGGCCCTTTGGTCCATCTGATCTCATCGCCCCCAGAATATCATCCACCATCCCAACCATTCCCCCCCATCACAGCATCAAGCTGCTCTCTAAATGAGTCCAGTTTTCTGGCCTCAACCACCTTTCCTGGCCCCACCTGTTCCAGTCATTCATTAACCTCTGAAGAAAGAGGAACACGCTGGTAACTCAGACCTATGTCCTCTTCTTCTCCTGTCGTGTTGCATCGTAAATTATTGATCTAGATGGAGTTTTTCAGTCCCACTTAAAATTTTATAGACTTCTAATAGTTCCCCTCTGAGTTGTCTTCTCTCAAGATTGAAGAGCCCCTGGCGTGTTTAATCATAGCTCATAGCAAAGACGTGACAAGAGGTAACCAAGTCGTTCGTTGTGAAATGATGGTGCCTCGTGATGGCTGCTTTCTCTTTCTGATAGAAACGACATTGTGCAGTGCTAACGATGGCACGATGACTGGCAGCGAAGGAAGCATTGATTACCCAGAGAGCCCAGATCAATACTATGAAAACAATGAGTAAGTACACAGGAACATTCAAACCACACTCCCTCACATGCAATAACACAACTGTACACTATACAAGGTTCATTTTCTTGTTTGGGTCATTTAATCCCAAATTTATGCTCTTTCCCCCCAAAAAAAATCAGACTCATCGGGTGCACATCTAATTTACTCTCTGGCTCTTTCTCTTCAAAGTTTTCTTTGATTTCAAAATCAGGATTTGTATGTGGATTATTTATGTCCCACAAGAAAAGCACATTTTACTGGAGTTTACGCAGTTTGATGTAGAAGCGGGAATGTTCTGTGAAAACGACTATGTGGGTGTGTACGCTGACCGAGACACGTTGATTGGTGAGTAACCCTTTGAACAACAGCCTGCAGAGATATGAATTGGGATTAATATTTAGCCAGATATTTAACCCTGTGAATGGCAGATTCAATGCAGACTTTATCCATCAGCTTCAACCCAGGAAAATCTTAACAAGTCGGGAATTGCTCTCTGCCAAATAAATAGCAATTGCTGTCAAATTGAAATCGATGAATCATACTGTTATTAATATTTATTAATCATGTCGTATGTTGAAACGATTGGTTTGCACCTGTTTAGTTCTTTGTTATCAGCTTCTGTACTGACTGATCTATTCTGGTTCCAGGTAAATTCTGTGGCTCGGTTCCTCCCTCGCCATTACTTATTGACTCTCATCGAGTGACGCTGAAATTCGTATCTGACTTCAGTGATTTTAGAACTGGCTTCTCAGTAAAGTACACAGCGGTGGAGGCCAGATCACTGAAAGGTAGTCTTCACTCATTGATCTCTGTTACGTTGAGCTCACAGGCTGAAGGTCCTCCGCAGTCCTGGGAGAGCACTGCCTTGTCACAAGTGCAAATCCTTTCATGTGGACATTAAACATCCTGTGGCTCTACTCGTAGTGACTGTGTATTTAGGAAGCTAAACCCCATGCCATCGTTAGGATATTATTATGTATTATTATTATTGTTACTGTATAACATTTCCCTTCACTCAAACCTGTGTCACGTGTTTTGTTCTCAGGGTCTGGCTGTGGGTCACTCGCTATGCTGTCAAGGCAAGGGATGATCCAAAGTATGAAGTTTCCACAACAGTACAGCAGTAACACCCAATGTCAGTGGTTGATTCAAGCTCCAGAAAACCATGTGATTAAGGTACTCAACATATCCAACTGCTGTGCGCAATTGGTTGCCATGTTTCGCCCACAAAACATACAGTCAATTCACTGTTAATTAATTAAATTACAGTCTAGTCTGTGAAGCGCTTTGAGACGTCTATATCAAATGCACAGATTATTATTATTATTCTGCAAGGTAAGTACACACCATGCAACTCTCGCTCTCCTCCGTTAATCCCAGTCTTTCTTTGCAGCTGGAGTTTGAAGACTTTGAAGTGGAGCCGTCCACAGGCTGTTCTTACGATTCATTGACAGTATACGATAACCTGGCGCAAAATAATCAAACAGGTATCAGAGAGCAAACACACAGAGGTCTCCAACACAGGAGGATCTTAACATCTGTCCGCCAATTCCAGCTCAGCGTCTGTCTGCCTGTGAACAACATGAAACAAAGCTAAACTGGCAAATCCCTTATTCAAGCAGACGCCTCTCACTTGCGAGGCGAGTGCTGTAACCACCGAGCTACAGGACTCCACATTAATAATAAATTAAATATTAATTTATAGGGCAAAAATGTTTCTTTATCTTGCCTGATCTGTGATATATTGCCCCCCCCCCATACCTGCTGGCACTGGAGTGCAGTCGTTCTGCAATAATTCTGCGATTATTATAATAAATGCCAATATTTATTTATTTTGTTTAAATGAAGTGACCCAGTCCGAGTGGAATAAAGGGATGGGCTGGAGGGATCACATTGTTGTTGGTTTCAGTGGTTGCTTGTTCTTGGACTGTTTCCAGTTGAGATGTGTGGACTGAGCCTTCCACCCCCTGTCCTCAGCCGTGGCGATGCGCTGATAATTCGGTTCATCTCAGATGATTCTCAGGCCATGAGGGGATTCCGAGCTGCCTTCTCCTTCATCAGTGTATCAGGTCGGTCATTCACTCTTTATCAAGTTCGTAACCGGTGTATTTTTCACCCCAACATGTAATGCAGGATGAGATACGTTTAGGCTTATGTCAGGTGAATCTCTTGAGTGCGTCGCCCCTCCCTTCAAGACCCATCTCAAGACCCTCCTATTCGACCGTACTTTCGATCACCCTGCTTACCCCCCACCCCCTCACACCACCCTCGAACCTCCTCAATCCTGATCACCAGCTCGGGTCTGAAACACTGACTGTCCAGCGCCTTGGGACGTCTTCCAGACGTGAAAGACGCTTTACACATGTAACTTTGTTGTTGTTGTGTTTGGGGAATGCTACTCTCACATTTGGCTTACGGTATAAGGAGTGCTGAGATAGCTTATAGCAGCTACTGCCTTTGGGTTTTCATCTCAAGAAGTCCTTCCAGGACATCACTCTGGATCTGAGGAGATTCACTGTGTTTATTGGATGGACGGTTTTCCAATGTGCTATCACTTCTGTTATTCTATAACATTATTCATAATTTTGAGAGAAGCTGGTAAGTAGCATTTCCTCTCTCTCTCTCTCTCTCTCGAAGACGCAGGTCACTGGTTAATCTTATGAACATTATTTGCGTGTTTTGTAGATCTCTTTCTGGGACATCAGCTGACTGCGGTGGCCATACCTACTGAACAATCCCCCTATCCGGTTCCTCTGGGTAAGTCAACTGTCTGAGCCGTTTTTGCCCTCTCTAGATCCCAACTGAGCAAAGGCACATCATACAAAACCTCATCCCGATGGTAAACCAGAGAGACTAACAACTGAGTGATTGGGGACCATTTAAGTGACTGAGAAGAACTGTAGTGACAGGATGAGAAGTGTAATCAAGTTGCAAAGGCTAGGATTGTCGTTATAATAAACGGGGAGGGAGGGAAATGTGTTTTTTCATTTAGTGCCGAGTCCTCTGTAACTACCCAATGTCTCGTGCCTACGGTCACCTCCCCCACCCCCCCCCCCCCCACCCCACCAGCTCAGTGTTGTGCTCCGACAGGTGCTCTAGGATTTGGTGCTGGAGTTCCAGAGAGTGGAGGCAGAGACATTATATCCATAAAAAGCACTGTTGTTGTTGTTGTTGTTGTTTCAAAACATTAAAGTTGTTGTTGTTGTTGTGGTCATCTCTTGATGCTGAGCAGATGTCTGCGGAGCCCCTCCGCTCTCACCCAGATTCGCCCTCAATAACGTGGTAGAGCCAGAAGATGCCGTCCCCCATTCCTGGCCCTGGCAGGTCAGCCTGGGTCTGGCCAGTGAGCACGTGTGTGGAGGAGCGATTGTTGCCCCAGTCTGGATCCTCACCTCTGCTCAGTGCTTTTACGAAAGGTAAAATTGCATTAAAACAGCGGGTGGAAAGCTTGAATTTTTCTTAATTACAAGTCAGTGTTTTACGGCAACTCCCCACTGGGTGGGAGATACAGTGAAATTCTGTTAACTGAACATCTTTTTTTCGCACTTTTGAGCCTGAAATGTAACAGAAATATAGAGGAGAAATGTTGCCTTCCTTTGATGTAATGACACCCTGTGAGTTTCTCTGGTGAGGAGCAGCGATGAAGAGTCAATACATGAAGGGGAGGAGAGCGCGTTAAGCAAGAGATCAGTGGCAAGGCTGATTATTGGTCCTTGTGTTTGTAGGGAACAGTTTATTAACTTGTGGACAGTCATCGCTGGTGACCATGACATTGACACTGTAAACCTGGAACAACAGGTAATGATCAACAACGGCAGCCCCCTCCCCACACCCCCACTCGGTACAGTGCCGAGCCCTCTCTCCAAATTTAAAGCGTTTCGCCCACAAAATATACAGTCAATTCACTTTACAGTATATTCTGTGAAGCGCTTTGAGACGTCTCGAAGACAGGATAAAACGCTGTATCAAGTGCAAGGATTATTATTATTATTAAAGATCGATCCTGTGCCTGTCAGCACTAATGTGACATTGGAAACCCCTCTTTGCACAATCTCTTGTGTTGATCCTTGTGTTGAAGCTAATGCTTATTACGAATGATTGCACCGCAGTTTTGCTCCTGTTGCTTCACTAACATCCAAACCCTTTGATTTCTTTAAACCCTTGGATGGCTCTCCCAGGCAGGCTTAGAGATGACAATGTGTGATTCAGATTGACCTTCGCTTGTTGGTCGTAAAACCATTGAGCTGTTAACCTATGTTTTTTTTGGAAATAAAAGGAAAGCTTTATAAAACAGATCCTCATCCATCCACGTTACAACAGCACCACACAGGATTATGACGTTGCCTTGATTCAACTTCAGAAGCCTTTGCAATACAATGACTATGTCCGCCCGGCTTGCCTACCAGAAGCAACACAAGATCTTGAGCTGCCCAGCCTCTGTGTGGTGACAGGATGGGGGCAACTGTACAAAGGTACGTCTGTCCAACACGTCCCTGCAATGAACGGAGGAAATGGAAAGCAAGTATTTCCCGCCACTACTCTTTCCTTCTTCCCGAATTATTTACAAATGTAGTTATTACTGGGGAGGATGTCAGATTGGAAGCCTTTCTGCATTATTTTATTTTATTTTTTAAAACTTTACGATGGGGACAATACAGAAGAACAAGAGGACGCAGGTTTAGAGTAGAAAAAGGGCAAATTCGGAGAGACGTCAGGAAGTTGTTCTTTACTCCATAATGATGAACAGGTGGCCAGTAAGCAGTGGTTGAGGCCAGGACCCTGGGACTCATTTAAACAGCAGCTTGAGGCTGTAGTGGGGGCATGGGTGGGTTGGGGGGGGGGGGTGTATTCTGGAAGGATGAGATCGGATGGGCCGAAGGGACTTCTGCATCCAAATGGATCTTCTTATCTTATGATATGAGACCATTGTACTGTTGAGGTGTGCTTAAAGCGCCCCCTAGTGGCCACAGGTACAAATCTGATATTAAGTGTGGGTGGTTTGGGGGGGAATTAAGGTCATTTGGAAATGTCTTCAGGAGAGGAAGGGGACAGGAGAAAAATTGAAAAGAGGTAATCCACCTCACGTTCCTGTGTTTATTATTATTATTATTATCATCATTATTGTTTAAATAGATGGTCCTTTGCGGCCAAAACTTCAGCAACTGCAAGTGCCAGTTCTGGGCTCCGTGCAATGTCACGAGTACTACACATCTCACCCTGGCGGGATCACAGGGAGGATGTTCTGTGGAGGTTTTCCTGTCGAGGGGAGAGAGGAGACATGTTGGGTAAGCACAGAAAAGAGAAGGGAGTTGTCTCCTGCTGTCCTGGCCGGCAGGCGTGTGGTGTCACTTATGGATATAATGTCTCCGCCTCCATTCTCTGGAACTCCATCACCCTCCTTCTCACTCCCTCCCTTGCCTCTTGTGAGTCAAGATGGCTTTCGACCGCACTTGGTGGTCATTGACCTCCACAACCTACCTCAGCTCCCACCCCCCAGCTCAGGGGTCAAGTTGGGATTGCTAAGAGCCTCGGGAAGTGGTCCCGACGTGACGAGCGCTGTAGACATGTGAATCATAGAATCATAGAATCGTACAGCACAGAAGGAGGCCATTCTGCCCATGGTGTCTGTGCTGGCTCTTTGAAAAGAAGCTCCTTGAAAATCTACTTTGCAATTGAAGTTTCTTATTGGTTTTCCCCAGGGCGATGTGGGCGGCCCCCTGGTTTGTCCGTTTGGAAGCTCAGGAATTTACACTCTCTACGGCATTGCCAGCTGGGGCTGGGGCTGGGGCTGTGGCAGAGCAGACTTTCCAAGTGTCTACACCAATGTCTCCGCTGTGGTTGACTGGGTCAGTGAGTGGCTGCAGGGTAAGTTCCTGTTATTCTGCAAGCCACACTTTATAGTAAAGAAAAATCTCCCAAAAGGTTTCACTTTTAGTATTTTTTCAGGAGAAACGTTACCATATCACATTTGTGTTTTGCATTTTGTCCACATGCCTTCTTTCTGTGTTCTCGTTTGCCCCCTACACCCCCCACACCTCCCCCCCCACACACAGCTAGCGAACATGAGGATCAAGCACAAAGCATCGCAGAAGTCTCCACTGTTTCTCCTGGGTCTGGGCCGAGCCCAACCACATTCACAGAAATTCAACACTTACAACTGATGGAACCCACCCCCCCGAGTGTGTCCCAGGTTTGTCTATCGTTTGCTTTGTGCGATTTTAATACGCCACTGGGTTATATTGACGTCAGTGTAAGTTTTCTGTTGTTTTGAAAAGAAACTTTAGTGAAAACCGGGTTCAAATAGAAAGAGTTTATAAGACTTTGGTCCTCCCTTCTGTGGCTATAACGACACATGCCAACAATGGCCAGGATGGGGTTGTGCTGGTGATCAGAAACATGATGATGATTGTTCTTCCCGGTAGTGTCTGGGGTGAGGAATCGCACAGTGACGAGTGTTTCAGATAGTTCTGTTGACGAGGTTCATTTCTCCGCTGGCTGTAAAGACGTGATATTAATGGCCCGAGAGGGACAGATCCGCTCCCCTGGGTTTCCTGGCAGCTCTCCCGACGATGATCAGAGGTAATTACTGAAACAAGGTGATCCGGACTGTTTTACACCAGTTTTCCTTCTGAATCGTGTGTGTGTGTGTGTGTGTGTGTGTGAGAGGCTGAGTGACATTATCCTGTCTCTGATCTTCTCCTCCCCCCTCCTCTGCTCCCCCACCACCTCTGTCCCCATTCCCCACTCGCTCGGTTAATGAGGGGTTTCTGCACGTCCCTCACTCCCCTCCCCTCCTCCCTCGGTGACCAAGCCTTCAGTTACTTTGCCCCTAACCTCTGGAGCTCCCTCCCTCGCTCCCTGTGTGTGGGCGGTGGGGGATGTTGGTCGGGGGTGGGAGGGAGATACATAATGTGTATACCAGCACACACAGAATCGTCCCCATCACGATAATTTTCAAGTGATTTTTTTGTTCAATTGTTTCTCAGTTGCTTGTGGAGGATTATTGCACCAAAGGACAAAATTATCCAATTGAATTTCAAAGCATTTGACATCAGGACAGAGAGCGAAAGTTGCCTGGACTCCATTACGGTGTATGATGGAATAACCGTGGGCCGACACTTGAAAGGTATGAATTCTTTCAGGTAAACTTTAGGTTACGTTAGTGAGTAGGTCTTAAACAAAACTTACTGAAAACCGGCTTCAAATACAAAGGCTTTTTGAGACGATGGCCTTGAATCATTGTTCATGGTTATATTATTATTAAATGATTATTATTAAAATATTATTATATTATTCTTTAAAAATGATAGATTAATCCTTAATTCTGATAACTGTTATTAAGGTGTGTGGTGTCACTTCCTGTGTGCTACAAGCGCGCATAATAATATTAATAAGAATAATAATCCTTGCATTTGATATAGTGTTTTATCACATCTTCGGGATGTCTCAAAGCGCTTCACAGGATGTACTGTAAACTGAACTGGCTGTGTACTGTGTGGGCAAAAATATTACAGTGAATTAATTGAATAAAGGCTTCGGCAAGCTCTCTGGGATGCCAACTTGTGTGAGCAACACTACGTAAATGCAAGTTGTTGTTGATGATGATGTCACTGCACATTCCACTGATATATTTTTTTCCAGCTAAATTCTGTGGGATGGCAGCGCCTTGTACTATCTGGTCCAGTGGCCCAGCACTCACTGTGCAATTCACATCCGCTTCAAACGGCTCAGCAAGTAGCTTCTGGCTGCTTTACAGTAATCACGACTCCAAAGATAAACGCCTACTTCTCGAATAAATCAATCGTCCTGTGCACAACACAGCACTCGGTGTGCACACGTCACTGTGTACCACGCTCTGCCTGATGGAACCGTATCCTATTTTGATGCTCAACGTATTTTTTGACCATGTCTTGAGGAACAGTAGTAGATGAATTTCAGACGTATTTGCTAAGCGTTATGCAATCTGAAAACACAAGTAAACTTTCTCTGTGGTTCTTAATGGCATTGTACCTTCACCATTGACTTTTGATAGAAAGACTGACTCCTGCACCACAACATTGGCTCCCGTTGCAGGATGGCAGTGTTGAACGGAACTCTTCAAACAGAATCACTTGATTTTCCATCATTGGGCTCTTTTCAAACCATTAAATCATTGCCATAGGAAGCTTACCCAACCCACTCAACCACAATTTCAGCGCAAGCACCAGGATTACACAGAGAATAATTAACGACTGGGATGGGGGTTGCCAGAAGGGCCAGGACATTGGCATTAATTTATGGAGCAGCTCGATGCTGTGATGAGGAACAGTGAGGCGAGTATTCTGGAAGCATGAGATCAACTGAGTGGAAGGTGCTTCATCATCTAAACAGATGTGTGTGTGTGTGTGCGTAGGGGGAAATATTTAGATATCTTGTTGAAAACAAACTAGGGGCATATATATGTAGCCAACTAATATAAATACACTCAAGTCAAGACATTGTATTAAATGCCAAACACATTTAACAATTTATCGCTACGTTGCTGGTATGGCAACATTGAAAAAATACACTTTTCCTTGTGTTTTTAAACAAATCTTAAAACAAATCTTTGTTGTAGTTTGACAGACTTTATTTTGACCATGTAAAAAGAAACAATAACATTTATTTATATCTATTGTTTCTAAATCTGTCTCATCCTCTCGTATATTCTTTTCAATGTGGATGGCGTCCACTTTGCTTGGTTTCTCAATGTAACATCTGAAGATCCTTGATTCCTAACCCATGATATATATATTAGATGTTTATGTGAACATGAGTCATGGCTTTGTAGCAGCAATGGGATAGGTTTAAGTTCAAATATAATTTGTACTTTAAAACTAAAAATCAGTAAATTAAGTGGGAAATTGTCTGATAAAACACTGATAGATTTTTGTATAACAACAACTGATTCTATTGGCCCTTCAGGGAAAGGAAACCCACTGTCCTTACCCGAACTAGAACACGTCAGTTCTTAAAATGGATTTAAAGTGGTAGAGATGATTGTTTCTTCTCCCTCAATATAAACAGTTTATATATATATTCTAACTTATATAATATATACAGTATGTATATGTGTGTGTATGACACTAGTTTATATATGTGCATGTATTCAAAATAGCCTAAGGTATATCGAACATTTTCATTATTTGGTTGACATCTGTAAACTTTTAAATCGTTCTACATGAGGATGTTTAACAGCAGAATACATACTACTGAATCTATATTGTACACATACACTGAAAACTACAAACCGTTCAATAAAGAGGAGAATATGAAGGAGCACAGTTGCAAAAGCTTTGTATAACATTGTGACTAGAGTCCTGTAGCTCAGTGGTTACAGCACTCGCCTCGCAAGCGAGAGGACCTGCGTTTAATTCCCAAGCAGGGTGAAATATTGGGCAAGTTTCCTTACTCCACACCTCGGTTTACCGAGCAGTAAGTAGGAACCTGGTTGTCAGTCTATTGGTGGATTGCTTTTCTGGGGGCAATAATCCCTTAAAACAAAATTTAAGAAAAAAAATAATTTATCACTTAATCCACGACTGTTTGTGGGGACGCTGCTGTGCACAATTGGCTGCCGCGTTTTGCCCACAAATATACAGTCAATTCACTTTACAGTATATTCTGTAAGCTTTGAGACGTCTCGAAGGCGTGATAAGGCAACAGATCAAATATAAGGATTATTATTATTATCATCTCTGGGTGTTTTCATTATTTGATTCTGGCAACTCACTGAACATTAGCTGTTATAAGGTTGAAATTTCTGGAATACTGAAGTTACCGCTCTGATCTTACAGTGGCCTTCGGGAGAATTGTTTCCATTTGTACTTTGGCCTCATTCCCCTGAAGCCAGACCCCAGCCAATATAGCAGGCTGGCAACACTACACTAACCAGGGCTTTTTTTGAGGACAAAATGCGTTGCTTTCCACCCGGATATTGACCAAAACAGACCTAAGAATAACAAACACTTGTGGTGACGGTGTGATCGAGTTACCTAATGAATCCTTTAAAGTAAACTTGCCAAGGTTGCCAGGCGTGGCAGATTGCCTGGCGAGGCAATACTACCCCTTTAAGAGAGGAATGACTTTGACTTGTGAAAATGTCTGCCCGATCTCGTGATTACGCCGGTTGACTTTGCAGTTCAATAAAACCAAGACTCTTAACCTCTTTTAACATGCGGCTGTGGCTACAAACTACAGTGAGTTCTGTATGTCTGTGGGAATGGGGATGCACTTTGCCCTGATGTTAGTAAGTGCACATTCATGGAGATCATTTGGCCTTTTGCCAATCCAATAACCTGACCAGCGCTAACCAATACATTGCCATGTGACAACAGTGGTTCGCAAGGTAACTATCAATGTTATGCCTCTTATTATCTTAGTTATGGAATGTTTAGTAATGTGTCCCCAATGCCATGCACTCCAGGTGAGGTGATCATCACCACATGGGATGCATTTGCAAAGGGTCGCAAATTTCACCCCCGATGTATGTAAAGTGCGATGGGTGGAGAGTACAGATAAGCTAGACAGCAATTACTTGCTAAAATATTCATGTCGTGTTTCAATATGTTGGTGACCGCAAGGAGTGCAGATCTGTTTGCGTTGGGGTAACTGTTGGGAGTTCAACCAGCTAAAACCACATAGCTCGCCATCAACTGCTGTCTGGTAAGCTTTCCCCGCTGCTTGTCCTGTTAGGTATATTTTGGTTAACAACTGTAAACTTTTAAATCGTTCTTCATGAGGCTGTATAACAATCAGGGCTTTGGTTTGCAGGGTTAGCAGGAGCTCAATGGGTTGACTCCCTGCCCCTGTGACTGGGATCAGCTCACAGTCCCAGCCATTGAGTGTGGACATCACTATTACATGCACATCTCCTCTTCTCCAGTTGGAGCACTCGGAGGGCTGGTGAGCAACTGCAGGGCTCAGGGAGGAGGGGAGGAGAAGGGGGTGGATTGAAGCTCTGTGTGTGGAGAGGGAGAGAGTGTGTCCAGAAAAAAACAGCAGGAAAGGCAGAGCAGAGGGGGGGTGACAGACAGCGACCAGGACAGAACAGCAGAGCTGCACCAACTCACACACACAATGGAACAACTGGGCTTGGTAAGTGCTGTCTGTCTGTCTGTCTGTCTCTACTCCTCTCTGTCTCTGTCTCTCACTCCTCTCTGTCTCTGTCTCCTCTCTGTCTCTGTCTCTCACTCCTCTCTGTCTCTCACTCCTCTCTGTCTCTCACTCCTCTCTGTCTCTGTCTCTCACTCCTCTCTGTCTCTGTCTCTCACTCCTCCCTTTGTCTCTGACTCTGTGTCTGTCTCACACTCCTCTCTTTGTCTCACACTCTTCTCTCTCTCTGTCTCATGCTTCTCAGACTCTGGAAACCCCTTTCCAACCGGGTAACCAGCAAACTCTGGAGGTAATTTACAGATTGCCACAACATATAGCAGCTCCTGATCGAAGCATTTTCATTTGGAGGTATATGTGGCAAAAAAATCATGAATATTTCTGTTTAAAACAATGCACACATCGCTTGCTTGAATTTAAAATCAGTTTAAGTGTAGAACAATTAAATAACCTCCTTTCGTGGTGTATTAAAGATAGGAAAGTCCCCCCATCCCACCCCTCCCCACACTATATTTCATCTCATTTTGTCAAGATTGTTGTTGCTTGTAGGTTTAACACCATCTTCAGTGAAATAATGTCATGTCAGGTGAGGGGCTGCTACCAACCTCTTACCTTAAATATCCCAACTCAACATCCCTGCCTTCTGCCTTCACACTCAAAAAAAGGTTTGTTATTGTTCAACCTGTTACAGACAATTCCTATTCAACAGGTGCACAAGTCTGTGTGTGTAGGTTTGGGAGTGTCTGTGAGTGGGGGTTTGAGGGGGTGTCTGTCTGTGTGTGGGGGGGTTGGGGGGGGTGTCTGTGTGTGTGTTTGGGTTGGGGGGCGGGTGTCGGTGTGTGTGTTTGGGTTGGGGGGGGTGTCGGTGTGTGTGTACACCCAACATTATATTTGTTATTTCAATGGATCAATCTGCACTTTGTACAGTCCAGGGCAAAGGAAGATAACAACAGTGAATTATTTCAACACCAGCTAATAGAAAGTTTCATTACTCTTAAGACACCGGCCAACCAGAAGCTAGAGATTGGGAAAGGCCGAGTGTTAGTGTTCACAGAAAGGCAATGGTTGTAATTCTTTTTGAAAAACATTCTGTTTTAGCGGGTTGTCAACAGTGCCGAAGGCAGTGGACACTTTGACGTCTTGGGACGTCCTCCTGACGTGAAAGGTGCTTTAGCAATGTCATCTGTTGTTGTTGTTTGACGGCTGCGTACAATACAGAGACAACTTATTTTATGGGACCTGCTACAGCTGTTAGTGTCCAGATGTTCTGTAACTCTCTCTCTCTCTCCTGTTTTTTTTTCAGGACCTGCCCATTTTCATAGGACTGATAGTGGTTGCTGTCACAGTGCTGATATTCACCTTGAAAGCCTTGGGTGTTGGAAGCTCTAGCCCCAAAGCCCCAGTCACTCTCCTGAGCCCCGACGTAAAATACCCACTGAAGCTCATCGAGAAAGAGGTCATTATTATTATTATTATAAAAATACTTGGTGAAAAAATATCAACCTCTTGCAAAACAGTAGCTATTTTACAAAGCTCAAATATATTAAGAAAAGTAACATTCGTTCATATGTAAAGTGTCAGTGTAAGTGGTCCGGTTGACCCATCGCTAAAAAACATTCAGAAATTACCTCTACAGAATGAGTTGAACCGTAACAACATAATAATAAAAAATAATAATCGTTGCATTTGATATAGCCTCTTATCACGTCTTCAAGACATCTCAAAGCGCTTCACAGGATACACTGTAAAGTGAATTAATAATAATAATCATTTAATTCAAGTGAAACATTCACTAAACCGTAGATGTAGAGCAAACCCTGTGAAGTGCCCTAGAGATGTCTTCTCGATGTATGAAAGACACTCTCACCCCTGCCTTTATTATTATAATTATTTACTGAATCACATCATTCTGAACCAAACTTGTGCTTGTTTTAACAACCTGTTCAAAGTACGGCTGGAAAAGTGCGGTTGAGGAAAAGCGTAACCATTTCTGTCTGATTAAACTCACAGGAAATAAGTCATGATACCAAGAGATTTCGCTTTGCCTTGCCTTCTTCGAGACACATTCTTGGTCTACCTACAGGTAAACATTTGCTGCAATGGGAATATTTTTGGGGGGGTGGGGGGAATCCAGCCATGTTTATTTTAACCCACTGACCCACACTATTGTACAAGCACTGATGACTGGGGAATGTAATCATTTTATTAGCAGGTCTACATTTTATGAATCCAAAACCAACACGTTATAATGGGAAGGGGGAGGGGAGAGGAGTTACCCTGTAAACAGTGTTTGCTGTCCCAATTTAGATTGTTCATTTGCTTTAGAAAAATAAGCCACTGGAGATCTTTCAGGATAAAATAATTTTCACAGAGTCTATTCTGTATTCTAACTCATGCATCATTACTGCTTGTTCCCCCCCGCCTCCCCGCCCAGGTCAACACGTATATCTGTCCACTAAGATTAATGGAAATTTAGTCATTCGAGCCTATACACCCGTGTCCAGCGACGAAGACAGAGGTTTTGTGGAACTTGTTGTGAAGGTAAAATAACGCAAAAATCTACAATAACAAGAATAATCCTTGCATTTGATTTAACTCCTTATCACATCATTGAGACATCTCAAAGTAGTCTGTTTTAGAGGCTGTTTCCTAACTAGTCTGTGGAGATATTTATTGTCCATGAATGTCAGGTTTTAAGACAGCTATAGTTGCCTTTAATAACAATCTAGTGGCTCCTCCTCAAAGATGATCTCTCAGCCTTGCTGAATGCGGGTCCAAGGTCTTGACGCTGATTCCTCTGCAACGCTAGACTTTATGCTGTTGATGCCCCACATTACCAAAACTCTCAACACAATATTGTCTCCTGTTTCCCCCCCCCCCCAGATATACTACAAAAATGTTCACCCCAAATTTCCTGAAGGAGGAAAAATGTCGCAGTATCTGGACAGTCTGAAGATTCAAGATGCCATAGACTTCAGGGGACCAAACGGGCTGCTTGTCTACAAGGGCAAAGGTAACAGTGCAAACCCGCCGAGAGCATCATTTGTTTGGTTTACGTTTATCTGCTCCTCGAGACGTCAATGTGTTTATTGTGACCAACTGTTAAGAATCAGACAGATTTACTACATCGTCATGTACCTCACTCCTCTGCTCAGCTAACTCAGGTCCACTATACACCATCATCCTTCATTCACCAATGCCTCTAACCTCTGGAACTCTCTGCCTCTATCACCCTTTCTCTCTCTCTCTCTCTCTCTCTCTCTCCGTCTCTGTCTTTAAATCCCACCTTGAAACCTATCACTTCAACAATGCCGGGAGTCCCCTCCTCCTTGTTCCTTGCTCAGTGCCCAATCTTTCCAGAGCGAAAGGTGCTGTATCAATGCAAGTTGTTGTTAATTCTGTTGATAGGCTCTGCAGTGCTAACAGGTCATGTGGAGTCCTGTAGCTCAGTGGTTAGAGCACTCGCTTTGCAAGTGAGAGACCTGAGTTCAATTCCAGGCAGAGGGCGAAACCTCGGGCAAGTTTCCTTACTCCACACAGAGCCTAATAATAATCCCTCCAAAACCAAAAACAATAATAAATTGGTCATTTTTAATCTACGACTGTTTGTGGGACATTGCTGTGTGCAATTGGCTGCCGCGTTCGCCCAAAAATATACAGTCAATTCACTTTACAGTGTGTTCTGTGAAGCGCTTTGGGACGTCCTTCCGACGTGAAAAGCGCTATATCAAATGCAAGGATTATTATTATTATTATGTGTGGATGTCTATTTGAGAGCTTTTTAAAGGAGAGCAAGGCGAGCACAAGGAGCTAAAGGTATTAGAGGATGAGGGGGAAGGAACAGGGGAGTAGGATTGGGATGGACAGCTTCTTGAAGGAGTTGACACCAATCTCCTGTGTGGTACATTTAGTTTATCGGGGACATCTTGTACTTTCAGGGATATGACACTGAGTGAATCAAAAGCACACTCTGTAATAACCTTGATTGCGTTTAGCCTTTTCAACTCCTTCGGTTTCTAGCGAAGAAAGATTGCTGGTTTGTGTTTCAATGAGAAACTTTTTTTTAAATGAATGTAACATGATTGTAAGAAATGTTATCTCTCTCCCCCCCCCCCCCCACCCCCACTCTCCAGTTTGAAGCTCGACTGAGAATTTTCAGTGTCAAGTCCTCAGGGACTTTATCGGTTTGAGGGATGCTATATAAATGCAAGTTATTGTTGTTGTTTCCACCAAATAAAGGCTGTGTTTTCCTCCAGGTAACTTTGCTATCAAACCGGACAAAAAGTCTGAGCCGAAAATCAGATTTGCAAGGAATCTGGGAATGATTGCTGGTGGGACCGGTAAGGATGACGTCTTAGCAAATTGAATAAAAAGAGGGATCAGGAAGCACTTCCCCAAATTGTTGTTTAATTTTACTGGAATAATGGAATTTTTATTCACAACCAACCACACAACAATTATCTTCAAAAAGAGCTTGAAGGGATTCACTCACTGTCAAAGTGTAGTGATTGTTTTTTTTTGTAAAAGTGATGTATTTCATGGCCAAATTTTTGTGGCACTGTATGACATTGGGCCAACACACATGAAGACTGCAAAATATACAGTCATTTCGCTTTACAGTGTATTCTGTGAAGCGCTTTGAGACGTGATCGGGCGCTGTATCAAATGTGAGGATTATTATTATTATTATAAACAATTCGAAAGGTTAACGCATCCTCCTCCCCCTGTGATGTAGGTATCACTCCAATGTTGCAGTTGATCCGTCACATTGTCAAGGATCCTGAAGACGACACCAAGTGCTTTCTTCTGTTTGCCAATCAGGTGGGTCCAGAGGCAGCGGGTTACTGGCCTGGGTTTCATGACATTGAGACTCGACTGTGCAAACGCACTGCTTGTCGGCCTCCCCAACTCTTCCCTCCACAGGCTGCCGATCACCCAGAACTCTGGTGTCCTCTCCCGCACCAGGCTCCGCGACCTTATCACCCCCATCCTCACCCAACTCCACTGGCTTCCCATCACACAGAGAATACAGTTCAAGATGGTCCTCACTTTCAAAGCCCTCCACGGTCTTGCTCCCCCTGATCTCTGTGACCTCTTAATCCCCTACCATCCTGTTCACTCCCTCCGCTCAGTGGGCTCCAGTCTACTTCACGTCCCCCGCCTCGCTCGCTCCACTATCGGCGGGCGGGCCTTCTGCATTCTGCCCCCACCCTCTGGAACGCCATCCCACATTCCCTCTGTCTCGCCCCCTGCCTCACCACCTTCAAGAACCACCTCAAGATCCTCCTCTTCAACCATGCTTTCGATCTCCCTGCTTCCCCCCTCCTCCCTCCCCCGCCCTGACCCCCAGCTCGCGTCCATAACTCTGTCTTTCCAGCGCCCTGGGACGTCCTCCCGACGTGAAAGGCGCTTTATAAATGTAATTTTGTTGTTGTTGTTGGGTTTAATGTCTCTTAAGAGATCTCAAACCGGGCCATCCTGTAGCATGTTAAGGTCCCTTTCTCTTCAGAGGCTGCACAGATCAATGTAAACTTGAGCGCTCCGAGACTCTAGTTGCAAGTTGTTGTATTTGTATTGCGTTGTATTAATCGTTCACTTTCTTAGACCGAAAAGGACATTCTCCTCCGAGCAGAGCTGGAAGGTGTCGCTGAGGAATATCCCGATCAGTTCAGGTTTTGGTATACGCTGGACAGACCCACACAAGGTACGGCTCAACATCACCGAGACCCGGGGACATTATAGACTTTCACTCGATATTTGAGATGACTTGATGTGATAAGGAGCTGAAGCAAATGCGAGGGGTTTTATTATTATTATTATTATGATTATTGTTGATTCGCTCTGTCTTTCAGGCTGGAAGTACAGCTCTGGCTTCATTGATGCCGATATGATCACAAAGCACCTACCAGCTCCCGGGGAAGACTCGATGGTTGTCATGTGTGGCCCTCCACCCATGATACAGTTTGCCTGCAGCCCCAGCCTAGACACGCTGGCCTACTCCCAAGACAGCAGATTTGCATATTAACCTATAGTTCTTTTTTTTAATAAAATTACATATCGTATCATTGTCAGCGTGATGTGAATGCAGTCAAATAAACCCCTGCCTGAGGGTTACGTTTTTACAGCCATCGACTTTGCGGTTTCTTCGCTTTACTGCTGTTTGCAGGGACTTTGGCTGCCACGTTCCACTGCCAAACACACAGTCACTACACTTGACATGAAACACCCTGTGAAGCGTTTTGAGCCACACTGCTGGCGTGAAAGGGGCAGCACCAAAATACAACAATTATTATTACCAGCAGCAGACATCATTTCTTTATAATTATAATTATTATAATGCATTTCACAGGATTTTTGGTGTAATAATAATATAAGAATTTGATTTCCTGTCTAAACACGTCATTGAGATTTTGTATCGAAGAGCTTCACAGAATATATTGTAAAGTCAATTGACTGTATTTTGTGGGTGAAACTCGGCGGCCAATTGTGCAGAGCAGCGTCCCACAAACAGTCATGGATTGAGTGACCAATATTTGGGGGTTGGGGGCAGAAAGCGATGCACCAATCGACTTAACAGCCAGGTTCCTACTTACTGATGGATAAACTGAGGTGGGAATGGAACCCAGGTCTAATTGCCTGAGAGGTGAGGACGCTAATCACTCGGTACTAGTCTTTAAATAATTCCAACTCGTGTGTAATTTTGGAACATTATTTACATCCGCATCACAACCCTCTCACACATCACACATACACTTAAGGTGTATATAGGTGTGGGGCAGCGAACAGGAGGCTCTTGTTGGAAGTCTGTTGCCTTAAACAACAGCTGGAAGGTAAATCATTTCTCAGAGGGTCGTTGCTACCTGCAATGAAGGAATCTTTACAAATCCCATTTATTCATTTATTTGTTTTTAAAACGTCCTGATAAAACAGCTCTCCCGCGACAAAACTCATCTCGTGTACAGAACAAGCTGAAGTACGTTTCACTGACATTGGTTTCCTTTTTGAAAAAATGATGGACTTTGCTTGCCTGACCGATGCCCCCACTCCCACCCCGAACCTGTACGTTCACCAAGGTTGTGAGGCCCAGTGGCTGCCGCTAGAGGGAAACAAAGGGTTTTTGATTAATGTGACAGATGGGATCAGCCCCTGTGAGCCAGGCAGGCAACAAACTACATTTATAAAGCGCCTTCACATCGGGAGGCGGAGGCAACGTTCTCGAAAAACGTTCTTGGGTTTGTAGGAATTTCCGATGTGTACAAAACAGCATTCGTTGTTTGCAGGTGGAACTATATTACAGGTATTACCAACACTGGAACTAAACTAAGCCCAAATCAAACAGCCAGGAGCCATTAACAGCAGGAGTCCGCACACGCAATAGATTGGCCTCACCTGCAGCTGAAATTTGTATTACAATTAGCCTCTACCATTCGGGTCTCGACACCCAGGATTTCTCATCTTCTCAGCCTTAAGTCACAAAAATTAAAGTCAATGCAGAATTTTGGAAAGAAATCGCAGATTGCACCTTAATTTAGAAGGTAGTTTTCTTCTGGTTTGTTGTCAATAAATGTACTATTTGATTGGGACATGTATTTTGATAAAGCTTTTAATTCTGGGGACTTAGTTCCTGTTGCAGAAAGATTGAAAGCAGCGTTCAGGAGGAACTTCTTCACCCAGAGCTTCATGTCCCCTGGCCAGATCCCCGCACCCCAACACCACCAGCGCCATGGGATTATTACATGACGGAGAGTTGAGTAAACAGTCTAAGTGTGATCCTTGATTAGAAATTACAATCTGACCCATTATAACCCTTGTAGACTGAAAGAAATACAGAGGCTGTTATTTCGGTTAAAGACCTTGTTCACACCAGAGGCACAAGGGAGCTTTCAGAAACTATCTGGGGAGTAAAACCTGATAACCTTTACCCACATTCGTCAAGTGAAGATATGTCAGAAAATATCACGCCATCGGAGCCCTATAGGAGCAACCATCAAGCATTTAAACCCAACCCACGAAAGAGTAAAAATCCAGACCACCTTTGTGCATTGAAACTTCCCTCCCAAGCTCTGGCGCGGTTTATTGAGTAAACTTCACACAGATGGGCTTCAACTCGTCTGCCTCATTTCCTCTCTGAAGAACCATCTCCAGGATCTTCTCCAGACTGATGAAGATCTTGGTTTTCCTGATGTTGTCCTCTAGTGAGCGGCTGTCGATCACCTCCTGGCCGTCCTCTGTCGCTGTGTGGAAGCTGTTGCTCAGGACCCCGTAGATGTTCTTGGGGTCATCCTGATAGCCGAAGAAGAGAAAGAGTCCGTAACAGTCGCTGCCGATGGAGGAGCAGAACTTGATCATTTTCTCGGGCTTGGTTTCGAGGGTGGACTCGGCCTGGGCTACCTGCATGGTCTCGGTGATGGCCCAGGACTCGTCCTCCTCCGGCTCCTTGCTCTCCAGGTGAACGACCTGAACGACGATCTGCAGCTTGGGATTATTGGAAGATAAATCATGAACAGCCCAAACCCAGTCGGCTCCCAGCAGCACAGCCTGCTCCGAAGTCATCTTGGTGCAGCTGATGACCCCGGGCAGCTTGGCCTGGATGCTGCGGTTAATGTAGGACATCAGAAAAATGTCATTCAATATGGAGCTGTTGATTTTGAGTTTGGACTCGGGGTCGCTGAACCCAATGTACTCTTTGGTTCTCTGTGAGGCAAAGACGAGGCTTTGGCAAAACTGCTGGACAAAGTTTGGTTTCTCCTGTTTCTTCAGGAATTCCCTCAGAATGTTGGCCGTCATTTTTTTTGTTTGATCAGCTTCGTTCCCCACCGAATTCCCTCCGCTTTAAACAACGCTTTCCTGAAACACACAGAGAGAGAGAGAGAGAGAGAGAGAGGGGGAGGGAGGGAGGAAAAAAAACATGAACCCATCAACAACACAAGCCGTCTAGAAAGGAAGATTCTGGGGACAGCTCACAGAGAACGGTGGGAGGTTTAACGTAACACCAAGCACCAGAAGACATTCTCTCCTCTCAACGTTTAATGATCAAAATGAGGCCCAAGTTAAACACAATGGAGAAAACGCTGCTACAGATTCCAGATGGCACAATTGTAATCCAAAAGAATAAACCAAGGTTTCACTCCACTTTGTGCTTCACTGGAGAGTCGGACATCATGGCCGAAAGCACAGTCAAAGGGGAAGGTCTTCAGACACAAAAAAAAAGTGGGAAAAACTCCCTTCTCTTTGCTTTAAAGTTGGACATGTTATTAATGGCCTGCGTTGGTTTTGATCTGAAAATTTGAAAAGTCGATAGGCTGGTTTCACAGCCCCCTCTGTCCTTCTCCTCCTCCCCGCCCCCACCACCCCAAACAAATCCTGATCCACCCTAAATTGCAGGAGACAAGGACAGATCAGACTGGTCTGGTTTAGCCTGTAAATGAACACAATTACCAATATAAAAACAACGCACCTTCTTGAAAACAATGCATCAAATGAACTTTTCACTGAAAATTTTCACTGAAATCTTTCACTGAACAACCTGCGAAGGATTGCATCTTACAATCTTACACACGCGTAGTGCAGTGAGCACCGTAACCTAACCTTAATCACCACAGTAATTTCCATCTTTGGCTCTCCGTTCTAGGAAGGATGTGCCAGTGATGCATCCAACCCTTTAGAGTAACAATTTCCTTTTAAACTTACAGATCGTGGTTTCTTCCGAAACACGTCCTCGGTGGATCTCAGTTGCTTCTCACATCAAATCGCTTCCCAGAACAATACTCATATCCAACCAAGCGAGGATGGGGCGCGTTTAGTCTCTAGCTTTGCATGTTCGCCGGTCCACTCCGCTAAACAAATTCCACCTCACGTGTAGTCCCTCAAATGGTATTTTGCCTTTCAAATGCTAGTGTTACTGTTGTGGCCTAGGTGGGGCCATTGCTTTACGAGTGCAAATAAAGATGCAAAATGATCGCAAACCGAATTTGTCAGGCAGGTTTAAAATACACACACACAGAGCGATCGGAGCCTGTAATAAAGCCGCAAGGCAAAGGGAGGCTGGACATTTACACTAATGGGACCACCCACCCTTCCTTCCTCAAGGGGCAAGCTTTGCTAGGTCTCATCTGGCTTATCTGATTCAGGCCTGTGAGTCAGTGGTAGTCTCAGATCACAAGATCGCAAGATGAGTTTGGATGAAAAAGGTCCTTCGGCCCATCCATGAAGACCACTCACCCGACTCTCTTCCCATCACAGCATCAAGAAAGTCAACACCACCTTCCCACCCTCTCTCTCTCCCTCCCTCCCTCCCTCCTTCCCACTGTCCGATCAGGGCAAGGCTCTGATGTTTTAACACTGAAGAAAAAACACACAGTGCAGCTAGTTTAATGTTGGTGGCAGACACAATTTAAAAAAAGCCTAAGAACAAGAAATCAATACCGAAAAATGTTTCTATGGTGACGCATCTCAGAAAGAATGTGGGTCTTTATGGCATCTTTAGTTTAAACAGAATTCGCTTTGGGTAAAACCATAGGAATCCATTTATAAAAATCTCCAAGAAATAATAATTGTTTCCAACCTTGAGGTCACTTAGACATTTTTCTGCTTTGGAACGGAAATTACCAGCAATAGAATGACATTAGATTTTGTACACAACATATTAAAAACAAACTCTTAATCAATTACTGAGCTCCACGATCACAGATGGACAAGAAAACAACAGCTTTTTTTTGTATGGATTAATGTGCAATCAGTACGAAAGAGTCATTGAAAGGTTTACTCTTTAAATAAATGTTAATAAGAATAAAAATAATCCTCGCATCAAACATAGCTGTCTCATCACGTCGTCGGAACATCTCAGAGCGCTTCACAGGATTTCCGACTGTGAAATGAAGTGACTGTGTGTTTGCAGGATTTCCCTTGGAGCCTATCTTCACTTTGCAAAGCTCCTGCATTGTTACTGCATTTGTTGGAGAAGCCAGAGAGCAGAGGTGCAAGCAATGAGTCCTGGACAAATGGGTTAATGCCACATGTTGCCTTCAGTCGTAGACAGTGATTTGAGCCAATAATCCTTCAATAGGTCATCTCGAGTCAACCGGCTCTGAAAGCAAGAGCAATGGGCACATGTAATAACAATGAACATCTGCTTAGCAATGCACCAGCTCTGGGGCATGCCTCCCCAGTCACCCCTCACACAGTAACATTTAGTGTAAGCCAAGTGATGACGTGCTGCTATGTTGGTGGGTTCAGTGTCTTTTAAAAAGCTTGCATTCAACATCTTTAAGCATCTGCAGAATTTATTTGCAAAATTATTTCCTAATGGGGACAACAAATATTGCCAACACACACATACACACACAGAACATTTTCTAATTCTTAGCATTCTCGTATTAACTTTGTGCTTCAGTGTTAAAAGGATTAATTGAACAGTGTCCACGTGAACTGAGTCATGTGAGGATCCAATAATAATGACCAAATGCCAGATTTACTTACCATTTCCCACTGAAGGCCAGAATATTTTCCAGTGAAATAACAATAATCTTTGCATTTCATATAGTGCTTTATCACATCTTCTAGATGTTCAGGTGTGAACAGAAAGCCCTGTACTCACAGTTAGATTGTTGATACTCTCTGACAAAGCTCCAATCTGCTGCACTGCCCTCTCCGAATCCTCCATCTGTAAAAAGACAAGCATCGGCCTCGTCAAACCTCACACGCCTGCAGCACAGATCCCAAACCAAAAGCAGCCGCTGCCTTGCGTACCCCTGAGCTATCTCTCAGTCCTGCTCAATGTCACATCTCCCCAGAAGCAGCCGCTCAGCCAAGCAAATTGCTCTCAGCAGACTTATTTGTTCCTATCACCAATTCTTGCCGGGCTTTACCACAGCACGGATTTATTGCACCAAAAATATTTAGTTGCACGAGAACTCTTGAATAAGCGTTACAAAGTGTGATCCTGTAACATTCAGACTATTTGCACTGTAATTCAGAAACATCTCCAGGTTGGAAAAAAAAGTTTCTCACAAGACAAATTTACATTTTTATCAAGCCTTTCACTTCGGGAGGACATCCCAAGGTGATTGAATGGTTATTTTATTAACTTTATTTCCTGCTCGATATGTGGCTCCAAACTTCAGTTGATAAGGCACTGATCGAGTTATATCCAGTTCACAAACCCTGCTCTGTTCGGAGCAGGGAATATTTCCTGATCTGATCTCCGGGAGGTTGTCAGCCAACTCTTTAGGAATGTGAGGTCACTTGTTCCAATTGAGAAGGAAGTGAGCTGCAATCTGCCAAGTGGACAGCGATTCAGAATGCTCAAAACTAAACCGTGTGAAAGGACTAAAAATACTGCAAGAATCATTTGCGTGCGTGGTGGGGGGAATAAGAGTTGGGTTCAAACAATATAACTTTCTAACTCAGTGACTGTGTTTCGTGGGCAATAACCGCTTTGATAACCAAAATTTTGTACTATGTATGAAATGCTAAATTATCCATTAGGGAATTAGTTAATAAGCGCTTCGAGGCATCTCAACAATGTGATAAAAGCGCAATATCAAATGCAAGGGTTATATTATGAATCGTATTAAAAGCTGCTTTACAATTCAAAACACTGCCTGGAATCTATTACCTACGCCTACATTTTATTATTTTATTCTTTCAGTAGTGTGTGGGTGTGTGTAACCCAAATACTAGACCAAAGTTGAGAGTTACTATATTTTAGTTGACTTCAAAACCTTACATTTGATATAGTGCATTATCACATCGTCAAGACATCTCAAAGAGTTTCACAGGATATACTGTAAAGTGCAGTGACTGTATTTTGTGTATTTTATATAATTTGAAAATAATTGACAATTATATATACAAAACATTTTCTGGCCAATTTACCAATCCCAAACTCTTAAGGAAAATCACACGTTTTTTTATTCAGTGAAAACTTTTTTATTCATAATTTTTGTAAAAACAACTTAAGACAGATCTTACCTGTTCCTTATTAAAAAGTTTTTTTTTAACTGAAGTGTAAATAATATTTCAATTCTCCCCCCACTCCCACGAAGGTACCAGTTATGTACATTTTGCTAAAAAATAATGACGTCAGTTTCTTTTTTTAAAAAAAACGAAGAGCAACGATTGGGGCTACTTGACACTTAGCGTAACTTACTTTAAGAACACACCACTCAATGGACTTGCGTTGCTCTTCATGTGCAATTGTTAGATGGTGGGTGAGTGGGGGGCGGGAGGCGAGGGGGGGGAGGAAGAGAAGTACCAGCACAAAGACTGGCATTAATCTTTGGAATTCAATGTCACAGGTAACGGCACAATGGGAACCGGTTTCAGAGAGAGACTTCTCCTATTCGGGTTCCGTGCCTCAAAACTGAATCAGGATTCAGTTCAAGTAGGTTTCAAAGAAATGGAAAGGTGTACAGAGTCTCTGTTTCAAAAGAAATATATACGAACAGTACAAAGCAGAGAAGAAGCAAATTCTGTAAGCTTTCCATTGACGCACTGAACTAGCCCTTTAACAACAATCGCAGTTTGGACTGAAGTTTTTGTAGATGACTTTGTCTGTTTCCCCTTTTTTTTAAAAAAACGCAGAAAATATCACCTCTGCTTCACAGAAATAAAACCTTACTGTAGGTCAGTTAAGAATCACCAATAATAAACAGAATGAACAGAAAGTAATAAAAAAACAAAACGGCACATGGATTATGAATTATAGTTCAAGATTAATAGTGGAATACAGAGGGTACAAGATGTATAAATATGTAGCACCCAATTATGAACTGGTGGCTAATTCTACCATATTGGAAACTTACATTTCTCTTTCAATAAAATAGCTATGTGTTATTTCTCCGTCGACACATAGCATGTCCCAATTTCACATCACTGTATTTAGTGTCATTTTTCAAAAGCGTGCGTCATCTCAAATACAGAATTATAAATATAAAACATACCGTGCAAATATTAAAACATTTTTCTTTCTTTCTGTACAGACCTCAATTTGACTCCTCATTTATATTCTGAAAACCATCATTGTTATACTGGGTCCAAAAATATAGATCTATATATATTTCTGTTGATTTTGTACAAAGAGAAGACTCAGCAACGATTAACATTTAGAGTGAAATGGAAATGGGTTGGAAAAGGAGAGGGTTACATCTGCACCACAATAAAACTTTGCATTGCTCTTTACATCTCGACAAAGTATCGACAGTTGAAATGGCAGGGTTTTTAGTTGACCTCAAGGTGATGGAAAAGTTCAATGCAGGTTTGGTATTTAATACGGGTTATGTTTTGTGAAAGTATTATGATGTCCTCTTGCGGTCTTCCAGAATGCCATTAGTACGTTAGTACGTCCTTAATGAACACAGCTGTCCCATGCTTCAGAATGCCATGTGAATGTAGAGTTATTTACAAGCCTGATCTCCTAGGGCTTGTGTGGATGAAGGTGATCAGCTTTTATTGCCCACCTGCTCCAGCTTGTTCAGCTCTCTGTCCACTACAGCCTTTTTGCCTCTGTACCCCGCGTAGCTCTTCTGAGAACCGTTCGATGTCACGTGAATCGTGTCCAAGGGACAAATATAATCCGTGCACTCATCCAGCTTCTTTTTTCTTAGATTTCCGAAATGTGAAAACCCAAGTTTCTTTGGCTAGAAATGATGATTGAAAAGAAACACAAAAGATGAATATTATTCATAAATGATAGTTATATTTGATATAGCGCCTTTCATGTCGGGAGGACGTCTCAAAGCGCTAAGCGGGATCTACTGTAAAGTGTAGTGGGGGTTTTTTGTAGACGAACGTGGAAGCCAATTTGTGGCAGGCAATGTACCATCAACAGCCATGAGGTGAATGAGGGAAGATTGTTGGTCAGGACTCCAGGAAACACTCCCTTCTCTTTTCAAGTTGTACCTAGGGATCTTAAGCATCCATCTTTAGATATGACAGAAAAGTCTACTTGCAACAGTGAAGGTGCCTCTTCTGTCCAACTACTGTACCAATACACCGCGTGTGTTTCCTGTACCTACCCTGACTTTGGCTGTGGTGTTCAGTGGTGTGTAACTGCTCGACTCCAGTATCTCCCTCTTTTCATGCTGAGCTTCTGGTCCAATTAACAGGTTAAAGTGAGTGGTGAGGTGGCGACGCAACAAGGTTTTCTGAGGGGGGATATTCAGGAGCAGAGCCAAGGTTTCGGAATTAAAGCGAGGCTCTAATACCTATAGCAGAAAAAGAGCAGAAAAAATAGTTAATAATAAATGAGTCTTTGCATTTGTTAATATCTTCCTGAACAGGCAGGCGGAACCAAGGTTTTACATCTCATTCAAAGGATGGTACCTCCAACAAAGCAGCGTTCTCTCTCCCCCCACTGTCCACCTAGACTGCGAGTTCAAAGTGTTAACTTAGGGCTTCAAGCCACAACCTTCTATATAATAATAATAATAATAATAATAATAATAATCCTTGCATTTGATATAGCGCTTTTCACGTCGGAGGACGTCCCAAGCGCTTCACAGAACACACTGTAAAGTGAATTGACTGTATATTTGTGGGCGAACGCGGCAGCCAATTGCGCACAGCAATGTCCCACAAACAGTCGTAGATTAAAATGACCAATTATTATTTTTTTTTGGAGGATTATTATTACTCTGTGTGGAGTAAGGAAACTGCCAAGGTTTCGCCCTCTGCCTGGAATTGAACTCAGGTCTCTCACTTGCAAAGCGAGTGCTCTAACCACTGAGCTACAGGACTCCACCTCTGACTCAGAGGTGAGTGTGCGACCAACAGAGACAAGCTGACACCTGGCTAAGTGGCTAAGGTGGACTTCATTCACATTAGTGAATGACTTTAAGTGAAACATCGTGAATAATGATGACTTATGTAGCTGCAGAAATATTCTAAACCTTTGAGATCTCCTTGAACAAGACATATTTATTCTATTTGAATTCTATTTAGTGTTGGATCCCCAACCACTACTGTGCGATGTTCCTATCCCATCCGTACTTACAGCAAGTCCTCCATGTACCCCACTCCCCCGAAGGTTAGGGGCGTACTCAGCTAGATCCACTGACCGTAGCCACTCCATTACCCGGTGGTTTGACCACTGGGCCACATCGGAAGGGGAGACTTTGCTCTGATTGGAAAGAAAACAAGCTCATCATGACTTTAGTCGTCTCATTGTAATTCATCTCAACATAAGAAGGTGAATTTAATATACCCTGTAACTTTCTAACAACTTCATAATAAATATATGTGCAAATACATATTAATATGATTTTGTTTACTCTGTTCCCCCCACACCACCATTCTGTACATCTCAAAGATTTCAAGCCACCCTTGTTTCGTGCACCATCATCAACCGTCCATCCAAACTCCCAGACACCTTCTAAATGTAAAGCTAATTAATCTGGTTCAAGGCCCATCCAACAGGTATAAACAGAGAATCTTCACCTCGTCAGCAGGCCTGCGCCTCAGACAGTTGGGGTTGAACTTGTTGACGTGCAGTACGTGGATGGCACACTTGATGCTCAGGTGATGGAGCTGACTGGTGACTTTCAAAAACAAGAGGTCGTTCTGAAAAGACAGTGGTAATGGATTAGAAGCTCGCTCATGTTGCTCAGACGTTAGTAACCAGAGGCCACGGAATTGAGCTTGAATATGCTAATCTGAATGGAGTTTGATCTCCCCTTATATTTGCTGGCACCTGTTCCTCTCTCTTTCTCTCCCCGGGCCCTCCACAAACATGGGTGTGGGTCTGTGTAATTATTATCTGAATTTCAGTCCATCATTGCTGGGTACTTAGAATCATAGAATCATAGAATGATAGAATCATACAGCACAAAAAAAGGCCTTTCGGCCCATCGAGTCTGTGCCGGCTCTTTGAATAGAGCAATTAATGTCAGTCCCACTTCCCAGCCCTTTCTCCATAACCCTGCAGACCCGTCCTCCTCTTGTATCCAAAGATATTAGCTTTATTACCCACATCCTCTGATGTATGTAACATGTAGATTTAGCAGAATCAAAACAGCTACCTGTAACTCTCATTGGATACCAGCACATCAAGTGGGACATCATTACTCAACACAGCACTCGCAGTACATCAAGTCTGCACCATCACGTACAACAGCGAATACCAGATCCTGAGCAAATTCCTGGATTTCTTGCTCCAATTTAGAGTTGAGTTGAGTCGAGCAGAGTGTTAAAAATTTCAAACAACAAAAATGTTTCACAAAATAATGTTCGCCGGCCAGATGCCTTACCACAGTTAGATACTGGAGCATCCGTCCATCCACTCGGGCTTCATTGAACTGGTCCTTGTATTGAGGTAAGCCAATGTCATCCAGCCAGCCTGCACAGCACAACACAACAACACACAAGGCAATAAGGAAGGAAGACTTTGAAGGGACCAGATCCTCCAAGCAATGCTACAGCTTTTTGTTTTGCACTGATCCATTCATCCTCTGATCACGCAATTTGAGAGAGGGACTAGAGGGACAGGTAAACTGGACCAACTCTCTATAATAAGCCTCGCATTTGATACAGTGCCCTTCACATTGGGAGGACGTCTCAAGGCGCTTCACAGAATATACTATCAGCGCTTTGGGACATCCTCCCAATGTAAAAGGCACTCTATAAATGTAATTTTGTTGTTGTTGTACTGTAAAGTGTAGTGACTGTGTAGTTTGGAGTGCTTCACAAGGGTGAGGTCGGATGCTGAACACGAAATGTGGTGACAACAGGATAGTTGAACAGATTTTTTCATATAGGTGGGATTTAAAGACTGATGAAGAGACCGGGGGGTTAAGGTTCCAGAGATTAGAATGTGGAAGCTCGGCTGCCAACGGTGGCATTCAAGGGCCAGGGATACACACAGCCGGCCTGAGTTGGCCAATCAAAGGGGGTGAGCAGCAGAGTGGTGTAGGAGAAGGTGGCAGAGATAAAGAGGTGGCGGGCGTGGAGGGATTTATGGGCGGACCTTGCATTCGATCCGTTGGGAGACAGGATACAGGAATTAATTCACATTGCTCTCCTCTACATCTCAGAATATCATGGATTCAGTTGCGATGTGACAGTACAGACGGCCCTTTGTGCCGGTTCAGTCAGATACAACACTTCAGTTTGAGCTCAGACTCAGTACAAGGCAGCATTTATCATCAGTTCACAGTACGTACGCGTTACCCAGATGTGGTCCAGCTTTCCTGGGTTCTCGTCCTGTTTGGTACCAATTGTCTTCTGGACCAGCTGGATCTTCTTCCTATGTAGTGAGTGTTTGATTCCCAACTCCTGCCATGACAAGGAAACCCAGTCACACAGCGCTCAGTCTCACACACTGTAACAGCGCACTTAACAACTGCCAACAAACCCAAGCTAGAAATGCTAGCATTGGATTGATCGCCAAAGCTTTGTGTAGGGGGAGTGGGATTGATTTGTGACACTGAGTTTGACCTTTGGCACATTTGGAAATTCGGCAATGGCTTCCTTTTCTACTCTCGCTTATTACTCAATTCTTGGGCTAATTTTACTGGCTGACCCAAACCTTCATTAAGCAGCAGCGGAGGGAATACAAGATGAGGAAGGAAAATAAAGTGGGTAGAAATAGAGATCTGTGGAGCTTCTCACAGGTGGGGGGAGAAATCGCCCCCTGTAAAATTGCCCGAAAAGCCAACAAAATTTATGTTAATAAACATCATGAATGTCACGTCTAGCATTTGATGAGCACGTCACACTTATATAGCTTCAAGCTGTACGGCATGTCGGAGCGCTCAGTCTAACGCCACCCTTCTGTCCTGCCGCGAGCGAGAGAGGACGTGGTGACCTTGTACCTTCTCCAGTTCCTGAGGCGTTGCCGATAACAGGGTCTGTCCAGAGGTGACCCACTGCCTGGCCAGGGCGGCATACTGGCCAAGCCCACAGTCCTGTAGCCAACTGCACACCTGCTCAGTGGTCCACTGGGCAAAGGGCACTTTAGGGTCACTGAAAGGCAAATAGAATTGGACGTTCTTTAGCTGTCGGCACCAACACAATAATCTCTTTTGTGTATTTAATATCAGGACTTGCTGCTTTTTGCTTGAAATGATTAAACCATTATTGCTATTATGATGATTATTATTATTAACTAGTTTTCTTATTGTTGTTATTAATTGTTCTCACCCTTTGTAACCCGAGGTGTCTGTAGATCGTGCCAGGCAGGGCCCAGCGGTGGCTCGAAGCCCACCTCTCCTGAACTCTGTGGGTCCCTCTTCCTCCTCAGCAAGTGTAGACGAATGAGTTCTCCTGATTCTGGGGTGAAAGTTGGGTAAAAAGAAATTAAGTTTATCTTGCACCAAAGACCACCACAGGAATACTTAGCAGGAGAAGACAAATCTACAGCTACGATGCACAAACACATCAATTTATGATGCTGGTTTGGGTACGGAAGAGATCTTGGGTCACAGTAATCCAACACGTTTGTGTCCCTCAAAGACTTCTACACCCATTCGGTTCACTGCTCTGTTAATACTTAATTTCTCAATGAACTTCATCCACAGATCAGTCTTGGGAAGAGATGAAACTCCTCACTCCCTACTCGTCCGACTGTTAAAGAAAACAAAATGCGGTTATCTTATGCAGTTCAAAGTAACTCACTTTCCCAGGAACTTCTTCAGACCTTTAGTATTCTTCCTGTTTTCTGGTAAAGCTGCCGGGAAATGATCTGTCTCGGTCGTCGTGGACATTGGTGACAGTTCAGGTGAACTAAACGTGGAGTCAACACTGCGCTCAGTCTCTCCTAAAGATTAACAGATTGAATGAATGAAATAGAGACCTTTAGCTCCCAGGTACTGTAAGCAGGAGAACAGTAGATAGATATACTGAGTACAGAAATATATATATATGTTTTTATATAGAAACAGCTCAGCTGTTAAGATCATTCGTGACCAGCTCATTCCTGGCTCTTCACTTCCATGCTTTATTGGATAAATTGAATTGATTTCTCAGATAATCAGCTCGTGCTTTAGTTTTACTTCATCATTTTCCAAAGCAGCAGCTTCATTTGATACCCACAAACCGTTGACCCATTTAATCCAAAAAGATTTCTCTTCCTTCACTTATTGATGTGATTTTGCTTTCAACACGTGGTCCAAATAAATAATAATCCTTTTATTTTATAGTGTGTGTTTCACGTCGTGAGGACATCTCAAGGCAATTCACAGGATTTACTGTCAGGTGAAGTGACTGTGTACTTTGTAGGCAAACGATGCAGCCCATCTATGCACAGCAATGCCTCACAAGGGAATGAATGACCAATTTTAGGTGGTAGATTGTTGGCTTGGACAATGGGAGAAACATCCTTGTCTTTTCCAATAGCGTCATGGAATTTTTTCACCCTAATCAGGCACAGACCGGACCCGATTTTTACGTCTCATCCGACAATACAGCGCTCACCCCCATCCAACCCCTCTCTAGCACTGCATGGGAACATCAGCCAAGTGAGCTCAGTCAGTAGTCTCGACGTGGGGCTTGAACCCACAATCGTCTGAGCCCACCGAACCAAGGCTGAGGAGACCCGCACACTCCCTCCAGCAAGGATTAAGGGTTTACGTAGTACTATACCTAAAGCTGGAGCGCTGGCACTCCGGATGCGATCTTCAGCCATTCCGAAAAGCAGTAAAGCCCGTGTGAAGAGGCAAAGGAGGAAGAATTCCAGCAGGAAGATAGAATTAAAGATGGCAAAACAAACGTAAGCAGCACAACCCATGCACTAACCCAGCAAGGTGAAGCCAACGATAATCACAAGGGAAAGTTCGGAATTCAAGTAGAGTAAAAGCCGAGAGAGGGTTAGTCGGGTGCCAAGGACGTCCGCCTAACTTGCTGGCTGTGCTAACCATGTGCAATTACGTGTGTAAAGAGGAAATTACAGGTTTGAATCTCGGTCTGCACTAAGCAGCAACCCTGAACAAATCAGTAAGTTGGGTGAGTGAGAGCTTTTTGATCTAATATTCTGTTGACAGACCAATTTGTACAATGATTTACACAGAACATTCTGATTTTCTCTAAACCCTAAAACTTAACATGCAACTTGAGATTCAGATCCCTTGACCTGGGGCAACAGCCCAAGTCCGACAAATATTCATTTGTCATATTTTAATGCATTTTCAATGGCAAATTATCTCCAACGACCAATAGAATCATCAGCTTGGAGTGGACAGCATTAGAGAGAGACGCAGTGCTCATACTCAAACTACTTCCCCTGGATAGAGAAAAACGTTAAGACAAAAGTACAATTTAGTGCCGTAATACTTTTACATTTTCGTGTTACGAAAGGACTTTGGATCAAAAAACAGCATCGAACGATCAACATGAGATTAAAGGTAAAGCCGGCTGGGTACATACTGAGGTTAGGAATGCTGTTGTCCCAGTCCTCGGTCACAGCTGTCATTGTATTCTGCACAGGAGATGCCAAGTGTCTCTGCAGACTGTGTTCAGCATCTCTGTGGTGGTTAGACTGTGAGAGCTTTCCTGGTAAGGTTTGGTACTTGTTGTTGTCCAGGTAAGCTTTGCTCTGATGAGAGAGGGGGAGGGAGGAAGTGGAAAGTAGGGCAAGAAAATTAGTATTAAAGGCTGACTAAACGTTTGTACAAAAAAAACTGAAGCCGCTACGATTATGCTGACGTGCAGCAGTGATGGTGGCAGGAACCCAACAGATTGGAAGTTGACTTTTATATTTAATATAACAATTATGGCACCGGTTGGAGGTTTAAACTCAGGCTGGTCTGCCTTCTCCCTGTGTTTTGGATATTTTGGTGGGTGAATGTCAGTGTCCAACGCACAACTGTGATTCCCCCCCAACTCTCAGAGCACTGGCTCTCTAAACCCATTTGCTTTTCTTATGGCTTTCCTTGGTGCATCCTCAAATAATGTTCTGGGTTTACTTTGTCAATCCCATTCAAAGTTACATACACCTCAATAAGGGCCCCTCACAGACATCTCTTCTCAAAGCTGAAGAGCCCCCACGCTTACAAAGACATTTTTATTCAGAACGTACAATGTTCAGACTCGGATACTACAGGAAGAGTGTGGAGTTGGTTAGAGGTTAAAACAAGTGAAAGTTAATACCTCTGTCTGTATGGGTTCTTTTGATTCCCAGGCTGAATCCTGTTGAATTGCGGGAATGGATAAGAGAACGTACAACCAGCACAGATCAGCAGGGGGAGATGGAGGGCGGAAATTAATATTGACATGATGTTAGTACACAAAACTATCCACACAACAGAGCAATAAGACAATGCAAATGACATCAATTATTGCAAAACATTCTAAGATTGAGGTTAAAGACAACACTTAGTGGGGTTGGGTGGTGATGGTGGGGGTTTCAGATATTTACAGCGCAGACGTATGCCATTCGGGTCATGGCGTCTGCTCTAGGCCGGTCAATTTGATTGGAGGTTTGAACAAAAATGTCACCTGGTTCTCCTTCAGGGCAATGTGGAACTAACTTTCCAATGTCATCAACTATCCAGTAAGTCTAACCTTTTCAACCCTCTCACTTGTTAATTCCTCCAGACTGGATGACATTTGTCTCTGCTGTAACCTGTAAAATTAAGAGCAGATAGTGTAAGACACACAACAACCAACTCTCTTAAATCATTAGCTAATAATGTTTTTGTTACCTAAAAGATGCTGTGGAATAATAAAGCAAAATATTGACCTTGGTTACTTTATTTACAGATTTACTTTTCCCTCCACTCACCAGTGTCTGTTTGAAGGTTTGTCTCCATATGGAGAAAGGTTCTTTTCAGGATCAAGTTGGACGTTTCTAAAATTTAGAAAAAAAGACACAGAAATTGAATCTAGCATTGAGGAGACGGGTCAACCACTCTGCCCCCACCCTCTGGAACTCCATCCCGCAGTCCCTCTGCCTCATCCCCTCTCTTGCCTGCTTTAAGACCCATTTCAAGATCCTCCTCTTCAACTGTGCCTTTGATCACCTTCCATCTCCCCTCGCCCTCCACCCTCTCCGATCCTGAGCTGCAGCTCGGGTCTGAAACACTGATTGTACAGTGCCTGGGGACGTCCTCCTGACGTGAAGGCACTATACAAATGTAAGCTTGTTTTTGTTGAATCCAAGAGGTTGGAACTATTACTTAGTAGTGATGTGTGCAAGAGACTGCCAGGATGGTGGAAGGCAAACCCGGATGGACCTTGGTCTTCTTTCGTCTAACAAATTCTCATGTTCTTATGTTCAATCACACGGTCCTACTGTGTACAGTCAGGATAACAGTTTAAGCAATTAGTTTGTATCAAAGGATCAAACGGCAATTGATCTACTACCCAAACCTACAGAGAAGCAGTCAGAGACTAATTGTTTTTCCATACATTTGCCTCTTGTTTATTAGATTAACTGTGACAACATTAGTGACCGGCTGCTCTTTATTAGCATTAAGGAACAGCCCGATGGTGCACTGTTTGTGTGAGTTGCTTTTGATGAGTTCACTGCAGGCTCATTTATTCAGAACCCCAAATGGACAATTTCATTTGCAGATCTTACCTCGTTTCAAATTCGACCGGTGACGTCAGTCTGTCTACAGATGGTGAGGGAATGGGAGGCGAGATCTGTATCAGGAATGGAAGAGATTGTTGCAGAACATTTGCGAAAACTCTGGAAGTATATTTGTGATCACTAACTATTTCAAAGCCGTTTCAGGCATCCATACCTCTGATCTCGCTGCTTCCGAGTGTGTAGTATTGGTGGGCGATCGAACCATTGAGCACATACTCAGCTCCTCTTCACTGCTTCCTAATGGTCTTCTATCAGAAGGGCCTGAAAGAAGGTTTTAAGATGTTAACGGATCCTTTAAAAACCAACTGTCGAGCAGAGACACAAACTGCTAATCAATGCTAGTCAGATATTAAAATAAATTCTATAAATTCACATCTTCTAGTTTAGATTTTTCCAACTCAATCCACTGTCAAATCGTATTTGGTAAAAATCAAATACTGAAATACCTTTTACAGCCGATTGATGACAGAAAGATTATGGGGGTCGGGGTGGGGGAAAGATTATGGGGGTCGGATGTCCTCCCGATATGAAAAGTGCTTTTATCAATGTAAATTTGCATTATATAGATTAGTGATAGATTGTGACCTTGTCCCAAATGCCCACTATTTACACTATAATCCCTTTAATGATTTCTTCAAAATTCATTTTGGTTTTGCATGTTTACCAGCCACTTACCTTGAGCCATTAGCACCATCTGCTTCATCATTTTGTACTGGTTCAGCAATCGACTCAACTCCTCTATCCGTCGGTCCTGCCATAGAATAAAATCAGCTTTAACATAAAAACATTCCCGGGGAATTTCTTAATGAACGAGAGCAACAGTTATTGTATTTACTAAAATATCCCTTCAGTATCGCATTCTGTGCAAGAGAATTTACTTAGGTTTCTGTTACAGGGGAACCCGGTTATACTGTGCTGGTCGGTGAATAGTCAGTGGCATCCGGTTTATGCTTCTGTATTCACTGCAGGTCGGAAGCCAAAATGGTTGACCTCCGGGGTAATAGGCTGCCGTGAAGTGACTTCAAGAAGTCACGTCAGCAGTGATCTGATGACCTGGAAGTTGGCCATTTTGCCTTCTCACACCTTAGCCTGCGTTTTGAAACGCACGGAGTCAAAACACCAATTTCAGGATTTCTCTTGGTTAAGTAAAAGTTCGGGTTCCACACCCCAATTTTGCTGTAAATAAATAATGGGGTTCTGTTGTACAACCCAATGTATAATGATACTATCTTAAAGGTTAGTTGGATTTGATCCGCAATAACAAATATTTAACCCAAGATCTCATAATACATATTAACTGCTGCCTTTGCTTGTTGGTGCTTTGAGCTGCACAAGTTAATACATATTCACCATTGACTTTCAGAGTCAATCCCCTGGTGTACGCGGGGTAAGGACAAACCTATTCCTGCTCACCTTTTCTTCGTTTGCAGCTAGCAAGGAATCCAATCCGACCTTTAATCTTTGAACCTCTTGATCTGGAAAATAAACATTAAGTTTGGCATCACTCGGCCAAAAGACACTATTTTAATGGAATTATAAATTTAAAAGGTTGCATTTGTGAAAACAGCCGGATGTGCTGAGTTCAAGAAGAAATGGTAAAAAGTGTCTCAAAGCACTTCACAAGATTTTTACTGTGAAGTGTGAGACTGTGCATTAGTAGGTGATCACAACAGCCAATTTGTGCAGAATAGCGACCCACGAACAGACAGTAAGGAAATGAATGACCAATTTTTATCTGTGAAATCATTGGTAACCACACTGGGAAAAACTTCCTGCTCCCTTTTTCCGAAAGGTACCATGGGATCCTTAACATCCACCTAAACAGGTAGACGGGACCTTGGGTTTGATATCCCGTCTGAAAGAGAGGATCTCTAATAATGCAGCACTTTTCCAGCCCAGATTGTGAGTACAAAGCCCTAATGTTGAACCCACAACCTTCTGACTCAGAGGCGAGAGTGCTCCCGACTGAGCCTGGCTGATTTGCAAGAACCTGCTATTTTGCTCACTTCAGCATAAATCACCATCGTACAGTGTTTTGCATTGATACGATTATGCCGACAGGTCAGTGAGCTACAGGCTAGTCACCTAACGCAGATGGAGCGCACAGAACATAACACTATCCAATCCTACGGTGCAGGTCTGGCAAGCGGTAAAATTAACGCTGCTGCCGAGCTGAAAGGAGCAAAGTGGAAAAGCAATAGTATTGAGCACAAAGTTGCAAAGTGAACATAAATAAATACACAGGGAACAAAGCGACATTCTGTTTAAATAAAAGCATGGCGTTTTGCCCAATGGACGTGTCAGTTTCAACAAGCAACCGAGCAGGTTTGGTAAGAGCTTATAATATTGGTTCAAAGCGAATTTCCCCCCAGAGCTATATCCCAATGCAAAAATGCTGGACTGAAACTGTTGCTCTGCAATTTGGTCAGGGGCTTCTCTTGGTGAAAATAGTCTCGTTTTATTCCGACCAGCTCTTTGAACGACCATTTTATGCCCCATAACAGACAAGTGGATACGGTTCCTCTTCCTGCTCCCCCACTCCGTCTCCCCCGCTCCCCTCCAACATCTCCCCTTCCCCTGTTAACAACTGTAGAGCCAAGAGCACCCACAAAATATAGGAGGTCGGAGTGTCAAATCTGCACTTTGACTCGCTTGCCCTTAAACTTTGATCCATGTGCACCCAAGAAAGAAAAAAAACTATCAAAACGTGGCCAATACTAAAGCCCAGACATCGTGCTGGTTTGATTTTGTCTTTTTTTAAAAAGTGACTGTTAAATGTTTTTTTCAGGCTGACGTAGATTTAAGTAAATAAACCTTGAAGGACAAAGAGGCAGTGTGTGTCCAAAAAAGATTTCTACATAATTCTGTTTGCTTTGCCGTCCTCCCAATGTGAAAAGTGCTGTATAAATGGGTGTATTGTATTGTAATGCTTATTTTGAGCCTTTAGCTGATGAAACACCAACACTACTGTGAAGTGCTCTGAGACGCCGTCCGGCGTGGAGGGCGCTATATAAATCCAAATTGTTAATGCAAGTGGATGAAGCAAGATTCATGTTCTCAAAAAGGGGGGCGGGGGGGGAGGTGACTCAATGGAATTGCTCACCAATTAATAACATTAATAATAATCCTCACATTTGATACAGTGCCTTTCATGTCAGGAGAACGCTTCACAAGGTTTCACTGTAAAGTGCAGTGCCTGCAGGTGAGAAGCACCTGATATCCAGGAAAAGCACAACAGACACACAGCAGGAAGAAGTCGGGCAGTTCAGCAGCTCGAGGGTGTGAGCCAGGAAAACAGTGCGTGGAATGTTGTGGCATTTCCTCTGAGACGCTCTCACTAAAACAGCTCCAAAAGAGCTGGACTTTGTTTTTAAGCTGGGAGTCTAGTGAGACATGGCTAGTAATACACTGTGAAGTGAATTGACTGTACATCTTGTGGGCGAAACACAGCAACCAATTGGTTTGAAATGGGTCTAACTCCATAAAGAAATGCCCAAACTAAGTGGATCTGCCTAATAGACTGAACATGTACATCTATCTCCCCGCTTAAGTCTTTCTCCCAGTTTGAGGCCTGCAGAGAGTACGTGAGATTTAGAAACAGCATCATCACAGCTGGTCCTGTAGATACAGATTTGGTCATGTCTTTGGCCTGTGTACGGTTTAGTCAATCAGTCAGACTCACACACACTCACACACATCGTCAGTCAGCTGGGCAGCTCTGAACTGTAACTAGTGTCTGTGTGTCTGCTTGCACTGACTGAACTTACCACTGCCAAAGGCAGAAAGCAAGCCTCACGGAGGGGAACGTTATTAGGTTTGAATGTTTGGATTCTCTGCTCAGATATTTAAGGGCAATAGCAGAACATTATCTTAAAAAAAAACAGTAAAAATGATTCCTTTGTCCCTGTGAGTTGAGTTGCTTTAGGAAGTCAAAATAGTACAACCAAGTTTTCAAAGCCACATTCACGCTGCAAAACAGAATATCACTGTGCGGAATTAACTCGAAGGTCCTGCCCGGGTGTGGATAATTTTGTTCCGATTCCCGGTGCTGCTAAGCCCAAGATAAATTAGAGCCATATTTTCAAGCCAGTGTCATCTAAGTAAAGGCAGCAGGAACTGGCAAACAAACCACTTAAAAGGGTATTTTTGTTTTGGGGAGGGGGGGGGGGAGGTTGGGGGTTGCTCTGGGTCACAAAACAGAGACATGCTTCTCAAATTTCAATGTGTTCAGCATATTTGCATTGGATTACCGGAGTTACCTGCCTGCCAGCTGTTTGCTTGATGAAAGTTCAACACAGACGTGCGAAGCCACCGAGCAGCGAATGAGCGAATGACGTATACGCAGCACAAAGCCCCCCGCTCACCCATCACCAACCTCCCACCCTACAAACAGTCCATGAAAGCTTACGTTTTTCTTTCAGCTTTCTCCTATACATGTCCTCTATGACGCCACAGGTGGACAGTGCGAGGAGAGGAAAGGTTATGTAAAAGTAGGCGAAAAAAAAGCAAAAAATAATTAGATTTTGAACTTTCAAATACAATACAATATACATTTATGCAGCGACTGTCACTTCAGGAGGACATCTCAATTCCCTCTTGCCGGGCGCTCGAGCCGGGCGGAGGGAGAGGGAAGATGACTAAAAGTGTGATCAAAGAAATACGTTTCGAGATGGGTTTTGAAAGAGGAAGGAAAATAAAATGACTGCTCAAATTGCATTGATAGTCATTGATTCCTCTTTAAGTGCATCATTTGCTTTGCGTAGTTCCAGCTCGCGCATATACATCGCACACAGCGCGCACACGCACACAGCGCGCACACGCACACAGCGCGCACACGCATACAGCGCGCTCACGCACACAGCGCGCTCACACACACAGCGCGCACACATGATTCCAGAGCCACAATTTTGTGCAATGTTTTTTTTTAAAAAAGTACTGTAGGTCCTAATATCCAAAGGGGAGAGTGGTGGAGAGGAAGGGAATCAAAACTCGGGCTTCCCATTCCTCATCACTATCCAGTGGCAGCTCTTGGGAACCTCCCTGTGTTGTGCTCGGGCCGAGTCTACTCTTGTGCCTTAACTGCTGTGCAGATACAGCCACAGTTAACGTCTCGCACAAACGAAAGGCTCAAACTGTGGTGCTAAGCGGGTAGCTCAGGCTACTCTTACCTCTGTCGGACCCGTCACTCTGTACGGAAGCTCTTGAAGACAGCTGGCTCTGTAGTCGTTCAATTTCCATATCTTTACTGAGCAGCTGCTCCTGGAGCTCTGTGATTTCAGCCTGCGGAATGGGAAAAGTCAACATCAACAGCTATTGAGTGGCAGCCACACGCGGAGCCATTTCACTCTGTAAGCGGGATGATTAATTATCATTCGGACACGTTATCATTGAGCCCTGGAACACAACAGGGCTTGTCATGTGAAAGGTTATCGTGCCACAGAGCAGTCTCCAATCTGAACCATCGGAAGGCAAGGATGGGAAAAGAGAACATGCTTTAGGTTTGGATTCATGGCAATGACATCACTTGAACAGTGGACTGAAAAATAAGGACATTATGACTTGGAGCAAGACTTGAAGGGATGATGGCAGTGAGGAGGGGAGAGGAGAAAGAAGTGAGAGATAAAAGCTGTGCACTTGACAAGAGTGTGAGAACAAGGAGAGTAGGAGAGAAAACAAGAGTAAAGAAGGGAAGAAATCTTTCTTATTTAAATGAGGGATCAGAATTAAAGAGAAGTTAACGAGTAGGAAGGGAAGCTGTAGAACCATGTAGCTTGGTCTATGATGGCTCCTCGCTGGATGGGATGTGTGAACACATGCGGGGCTGAAATTGCAGTTTGGTTCCAATGAGCAATGCTCAGTTTGGTCGACCCACTTTGTTAAGTTCTTTAGGTCAATTCTCGTGCAATAGATGCCAAACTAGAGCAGGAATCTCAGCAATTTAACAAGTATCATCAAGAAGCATTAAAGCAAGAGGAGTCGACTTGTCTTTCAGCATCCAAAGACTCCCGCCATACCCATACAATGGAGATAAGACTATCGTTCCTACATTGACAAACAATGGAACTTCAACTCCACACTGGTCTTATTGTTAACGGTGACAACAGCAGCAAAAACAAAAACAAGATCATTTATAAGCTTAGTCAGGACGTAGGCTGCACGTGGGTCATGACGGGGGGGAATGGCAGGGGGGGGGGGGGGGGGGGGGGGGGGGGGGGGGGCTGAAGGCCGTCAAAGAGAGCAAACTAGCATTTATGTAGTGCCCTTCACGTCGGACAGCGTCTCAAAGTGCTTATGACCACCAGTGAAGCTTTAAGCTGCCCCTAGTATATTACCTTTTGCCCTAAACTGACCATTGGGGACCCTGGTGCTTACTTGCACCATGACTGAAAACTCACTGCATCTGCACGGGGCTGAGAAGGGAATTGTGAAGCCACTTGTCCCAAAAGTGACACAGATTGAGTTGCCAAGTGTTGATGCATTCAGTACAGTTCTGTTATGGCCTCCACATGACTGTAGGATCATTTGATATGTCCAGTGAGTCGAGGAATGCAGTCTCTCTAATTCCTGCCAGGACACTTGCTGTGTTGCTACTCGTCAGCTGTGAAAGCAGTAATTAATTCCAGCGCCACTTCCTGTATTTAATGGCTCCTTGCACTGAATATGGGTTTGAAGCAGCAACTGGGATGCAAGTGAAGCTAAACCGGGGAAACATTCCCGTTCGGACTTTGCGAATGGCTTTGTGGCCACAGCCTATGATGAACAGATTTCTTCTTCACGCTTTATAGGAAAATGCAGAGTGAACGCAGAGCCAGGATCGTTCGGGCTGAAGGGGTTCATAGAATCATAGGAATATTACAGCACAGAAGGAGACCATTTGGCCCATCGTGCCTGTGCCGGCTTTTTGAAAGAGCTACTCAACCAGTCCCACTCCCCCCGCTCTTTCGCCATTGCCTTGCCTAAGGTTTCGCCTGCCCGGGAATTGAACCTGGGTCCTCTCCATTACCCCACAGGACTAAAAGCAACATAACGTCCCTCACTCTCTGGTTATTGCCAAAGATTACCGTGAACACAGATTAACACACAGACGAGTGCTGAGATATCAAAGAGCACCTGAGTGGCTGGCCATTTCTTCTCCCACTGATGCTTCTCTATTTGCATCTGTGCGACTGTGTGTTTCAGTCGAGACAGCTTGGCCATTAAGGACTGGTAATAGAGGTGGAGGGAGCAAGAAAGAGAAAGCTAGAAGAAAAGAAAGCCAGAGTAACAGCTCGAGAGAAACAGTGAAAACATAGCATCCAGTGCTCCACCAAAGACCTAAATGGTTGCTGTCCTGCCTTGTAAGCCCCGCATTCTCAACACGTACACAGCAGCTATTCAACCTGCTAAGAAAAAAAAGAGTAGGCAGGGAAACAGAGAAACGTTAGAAATTAATTAGAAGGTTATGCTTGACTGTGTGGGGTATTTCATGCTGAGACAGTCACTGTCCACGTTGGTTTATTTTTTAGGGTCAGTCTAAAGTGTGTCCGACATGTGCGGAAACCCACAGATGTGCGTAAGAGTAACTTTGAAAGGAGTGTTTAAAAAAAACAAAAAATTCAACTGTTTATTAAGACGGAGCAGTGAACATGGCATTCATCCTCCCAGCCACCCACTTCACATCTCCCTTGCCCTGATCTGCTCCAAGTTTCTTCTCAAATGCTGGACTCTCTAAAACAAGTCATCAATAAAGTAAATCCAGACCCTGCTGGAATTCCTACTCTGGGATGGGATAAGATAGTCACAGCACAGCCATCAATTGTATTTCCCGCCAGAACCCGGGTGGATGAATGAACGGCAGGTGCGTTTACCTTAGTTGTTTTCAGTTTCTTCTCGTATTGATTTTTTTCGTTCTCCAGTTCTTCCACTTTGCACTTCAAGCTGCGTAACTCCAGAAGCAAACCCTGAAACATCGAGAGAGAGAGAGAAAGAGAGAGACATGTGAAGTGGAAAAGTCTTCAACTCACTGAAGAATCTGAACAATCCCTCAAAACACTTCAGTTTCGGAGGTGAGTGTGTGACCGGCTGAGCCAGGCTGACACCATGTTTTCCACTGAATCAAGTTTACGCACTGTCCTGACAGGACAGAATGTTTATATCAGCCGGCTTTAAAGTGCGGCAATTTCAAGTGGGAATTCTTATGAAGGAAATCAGCATTGTACTGTTTCTCCCTCTCACCCAAGATTCCTGCTGTACAATGTACATTTCCCTTCCTTTAACCCTCACCCCCGATCTTCCCAGTAATACCAGGTTGTGCTGAGGATGAGGAAGAGTAGAAGCAGTGACATAGTGCAATGTAGAAACCGGGTTGTGCGGATCTCAACTTGACAGTCACGTTTACATTTAAACACCAGAACTCTCTGGTTCAGTGAAACCTCTCCAAACTGCAGTCAGACATCGCTGACGGGCCGGCTGCAGTATAAACATGCCTAGTTTTATTTATGGGAACTGTAAATATTTTTGCGCTGAAACTACAGCTCCACATGATGACGGCCGTCAGCCAACCAGCCTGGGATCAACCGGCTATCCTGCCCCTCGTTCACTCGCTCAGCAAAAGCCCTCAGTTAGGCCTGGAAGACGACAGTGAGCTCAAGCATTTGATCAAAGTCCAAGCTGGTGTTTTGGCTCATTCGGCCAAAAGGAGAAGACAAAGAGACCATTTGTTGTCTGTGCGCTGATGTACAGCAGGCAGAGAGGCTCGGGTTAAATCCTGACACTGCTCAATAGTAATGTTGGCCAGCAACACAAGTGAGGGAGCTCCAGGAGAGTCCCTGGCTCCTGGCCTGAGCTGTCACAAATGTCTCCAGAACTTTACGCACACGACCACTTAAACCGAAGCTGACTGCACACCGTGGCAACCAGCCACTGTGACTGGTGTCCGTGCACATCGCATGTCAGTCCTGATATTGAACCAAAAACCTCCTTCCTTCCTTCTCACTGATCGATTCTAAACCGTGTGTCACCACAGTTTTCCTTTTCATAAAACAGGGTAAGCGAGTACTTTTTTCAAGGTGTCATTGGCCAGGCTCAGTCCATGGGGCTCTCTCCCGAGTTAGAAGGTTGTGGGTTCAAGCCCCACGTCGGGACTTTTAAACTCACATAGTCTAGGCTGCGGGTGGGGGGGTATTGTCAGAGGTGCCGTCATTCAGATTAAGTTAATCGGAGGTCCTACCTGGATTTTTGGGGGATTTGATGTCGCGCCTGTCACATCAGGAGGATGTTTCAATGCAGGACATACCATAAGGTGCAGTGACTGCATTTTGTAGGCGAAGGTGGCAGCCAATTGTGCACAGCCAACAAACAGCCGTGAAGTGAAGTCATCATTATTTACAATGGTGAATGTTTTATAATAAAATGTGACTATTCCTGATCAACCAACCTCATTCTTCAGACTTTTCTCTTCACATTCCTCTTGATCTTTCTCGATCCCCGCCAACTTAATCTTAAGGTTGGAGACTTCTGCCATTAGGTCCAGTTTCTGGCTCTCAAGTGCCGTTCTGCTAATCAACTCCTTAAAACCAAAACGTGTAGAGAGAGAGAGAGAGAGAGAGTTATGGCAATATTTCAACTTTTATCTCATTATGTTCGGTTTGAAAAGGTCTCCAGAGATTTGTTATCAAGAAAAAAAATGTTTCAAAATCCCAATGCTGATTACAGAGTTAGTATTCATTCCCCAGATAACATCGCAATCTCACTGCCCCAGTTGAGCAGCTTGTGCTTTTGCTCTATAGGCGATGAGGGAATCACCAATCGACTGTCCCTACTGAGAAGCTTCAGTGTAGGAGAAAGCAGAAGTATTTTTAGAAGCTAATTGTCAAGAAGTTTTTTTTTGCTCCAACAACGGCTATGCGTCTGACAACTAACCGAAATTTGCAAGTGAAATATTGAGAGCGCCAGCCAGAGCTGGAATTTGAATGTACACAAATACCAGGCGAAGCAGTTCAACCCAAAGCTGAAGAGTCAGCAAAGGGGGTAAAAGGCGCAGGGAAAAAGGTCAAAATACGACAAGTTCAAGTATGAGAACAAGTCTTTGTGAAGCGAGAGAGAAAAATCAGCCACTGACACACAATTAACTAGCATGTTACACCACTAAACCACAATTCACATTAATACAGCGCCTTTCATGTCAGGAGGAAGTCTCAAAGCGTCTTATACAGCTGACTGTACACCCGAGCTGGAGGGAGGAGAAAGGCCACTGAAACTGATATCTCAAAATGTCTCATAGCATTTACTGTAAAGTGTAGCCAGTGTATTTTGTGCGCGAACGTTAGCAGCAGATTTATGAACAGCAATGTCCCACAAACACAAACAACCATGAAGTGAATGACAGATTTTATCTGGGGGATTGTTGGCCAGGACACATGTTAGAAAATCCCTTCTCTTTTCAAATTGGGATCTTTAATGCCCATCTGAACAGAACAGGACCTCAGTTTAACATCTCATCTGAAGGAAGGCACCTCCAACAGTGCACAAGCATGTTATCAACGCCCCCCACACACACTCTATGTCCTTCAATTCCTCTTCTCAGTCTCCAAACCTTTCAATTTTCTCAAGCGTTGACCTAATTCCCTTTGAAATGTGGTTATGAACTCGGCCTCAACAGCCCTAATGTGTTCCACACTCAACAATCACGTGGAAAAAGAATTCTAACCTCCCTCTTTGTACCCGTCACAGCCCAGACTCCACCTCTCGATAATCCTCGATTGATACCATTAGGACATGGGTTGAGGTCCGTGTGCAATTGCAATGTGGGACAAATAGTTCAGGGGAAGTTTTCTGCAACCTGACACAGCCCCCACCCCTTCAACAAATGGAAACTGATCAGCTCCAGTTGGGATCTGACATCCGACATCGAGACACATCCTATATTCGACCCGCAAAGGAGAATATGAGACACTTGACAGAGATTACGTGGCAATGAGTCAACTGATTGAAGTGTTTTGGTTTGGATGCTGCCCATTTGCAAAGGTAGGTACCAAAACAACAGCAAGTCAGTGGCCACTGTAAACCAAACACATGCTTCAGATCCTTAGTTTACATCCCTGTACACAGTACACTTTGTGAGTGAGATTGGATAGGCAAAGATTAGGAACAATTCAAGAGTTTATTGTGTACAGCAATTTCAGCCCACATTTCCCTCCAACTTCAAAGGAAATGTCCCACTTCCAGGCCATGGTTTGTGATTGTGCGCTCGCTCGATTGGGAAAGTCAATAACGATACGACTAAAAGATGAAGGCATTGAGCTATGGGAATTGTTTGATCTCTAACAGCTTGGACTCTAATGGGATACTTTTGCCATTTAAGCGTGCAGTCCGTAAGTTATTTAAAACTACATCAAAACCAATTGTGCCCAAGGCTGTACTAATGGGTGATATCTGCTAGCTTTCTCCACCTAGACATGCCAAAAGCTTTACTCCCAGACTGACCTTGAAAGGCTCCACTGCACAGTTAAGAGTTTGAACAGCACGACAGCTTTACACTCACAGCTGATCGATGCCCAGTGGTACACACAGGACATCACAAAGCAAAGGCGTTGGGTATGGCTTCATTTCTAAAGAGGGGCCGTGTAAATAACTGCACCCGGCTGTTTAGACTGAATGAAATTGTGCAGGACTATTTGTGAACCGTAAGTTGCAGCCAATAAAGTTCACGGCTTGATCAGAACAGAGTCAAAGCCAAAGTAAACAGGAAATTTGGCTTCACGTTCAGAACAAGTCAGCAAATTGCAAAGTATCTGATTGAAACGTCACTCTCCGGCGATAAATGCGAAACGCAGGAGTTCATTGACCTGACAGTAACTGTGTTAATTGTTTCAATTGTCTGCTCTCCTGAAGGTGTTCGGCTCTTTCCCTGCGTTTGCGGTTTGGGTCCCGCAGGCACTGGTAGCCTTGCCCATTAGCCTCAACAAAGGCAACAAACCACAGGGGCTGACTGAGCTGAGTCCTACCCAGATCTCAAGTCCTGTAGCTCAGTAGTTAGAGCACTCGCCTCACAAGAGAAAGATCTGGATTTGGTTCCCGGGTCAGGGCGAAATGCTGGGCAAGGTTCCTTACTCCAGACACCTCTGTTTACCCAGCAGTAAATAGGAACCCGGTTGATAGTCGATTGGCGGATTGCTTTTCCGGGATAATAATCCCTTCAAAAAAATAATAAAATAAATAATAATAACCTGGTCGCTTAATCCACGACTGCGTGTGGGACGCTGCTGTGCACAATTGGCTGCCGCGTTTCGCCCACAAAATATACAGTCAATTCACTTTACAGTCACTGGGGGATGGTTGTTTTTTTAGTATGCTATTAGTTGAGTTGTGCTATTAAGACAAGTTCCGCTCAGACCCTCTACATCTGCCAGGCTGTTTCACGTCATTTTTATTTTAAAAAAAGAGCCTGGGAAATGCACGATTTATAGTTTAAAAATAAGTAATGTTCCCCCAAATTCTTAAGAATTCCCCAAACTCCCAACTAACTAGCGATTAGCAATAATCATTTTAACTCTTCGCAGATGTCTCCAAAATCTTAAAATTTTCAAATGGTTTAACTGAAAATTTATACCCGGAATTTGTGTGTGTTTTTATTTACATATAATATATATATATATATTGTAAAAACATGGACCTAGGCTGCAAGGCCCCAACGTGTGTGTTCTGTATAACACGAGACGAGGCACGTCCCAGACAGGCACAAACAAGTTCAGAAGAGTTTTCAGAAGGTGACAGCCTGCTCAGTCACCAACAAACAGAAAAGATGGAGGTGCAGGGCTTATGCAAGAATATTTCACACTCTCCCTTATAAGAAACATGCCACAAAATGCAAGCACATACAATATGCTTTGTATTGCAGCGCTCTGGAACCTGCCTGGCGTGAGAGGTGCTATATAACTGCAAGTCGTTGTTGTTATTATTTATTTCTTGCATTTGATGTAGCGACCTTCACACCAGGAGGACGTCTCAAAGCGCTTCACGTGATGTCCTGCAACGTGTAGTGATAGTATTCTGTAGGTCAATGCAGCGGCAGCTGATTTGAGCACAGCAACGTCCCACAGACACCCACAAAGTGATTGACCCATTTTATTTGGGGGCTTTGTCGGCCGGGGCAGCGGGAGAAACTGCCCTTCTCTTTTCACACAGCGTTGTGGGATCTTTAAAGTCCTCCCTGAACAAAAGCCGCCCTGTGAATGCTTTCCTGTGGCCAGATTTGTCGCCACAGTTTCAATTTCAATATAAATTATAACCATTAGGGAACATTTACGAGCCTGCGCATTTACATACATTCCATAGCTTTTTATGGTGGGTGAGAGATTTAGTATTATGATAGGGTGAGAAAAGGAGGGATTTGGTGCATTTCTAAAGTGGGGCGAGGTGGGGGAGGAATAAGAGGTTTTATGCCCTGCTAAAATATATGAGCTTTGGATAGCATACAGAGCACTTTTATTATGGACCGAGCGTTTATCAAGCCCTTGGGAAAGGGCTTGATAAGGGCAACTTGGCCAGGATGGGGTTAAATCTATTGATTGACAAGAGTCCACCCATCTACAGGGGGCTCAACCTCCCCAATATTCCTTTCACCTGGCAACAATTCACAGACACGGCTCCCAGAGACTGATAGCACCCACCCTGGCTCCACTGTGTCACTGGAGGCTGATGGGGGGAAACACAATAACATGCTTGACCCATGTCTTTAAATAACTGCAGTGACCAACAGTTAAACCAAGGTCTTCCAAACAGGATTTATAGAAGACCACGATGTGATCTCTCCTCCTCCATCCCTGCTCACACTATAATAAAAACATAACGCACGATGCATTATTCCTGGGGCCAAATCTAAAAGCCGCAACATGTCCAATTCCAGGAGTGTTTATTTACACTCAGGCCTCCCGTGGGAAAGAGAACTACAAATGCCCTTTCACTTACTTTCTCTGCACAGCAGGCTCGCTCACGACTGGGGAAAAGGAATGCTGCCGAGCCAACTTAAAGTGACACATGTCCACTTCTGAACGCGGACTAAACCCACGTCACTAAAGGGATGTTATAGGAAAGTCAAGTTTTATTACAGTAATGGAAGGGGACACTAGCTTTAATTCACTAGCCAGTCTCTCACTCAAACCCTCGACTGTTCAGCGCCTTGGGACGTCCTTCTCATGTGAAAGGCGTGAATCTCTAAGAGCACCTGCCAATCCAGCCAGGCTGGTACTCTACAGCACAGGCAATTCACCAGCAAATCCTGTGAGTCGCTTTGAGACGGGCTCCTGATATCAATCGCAAGGTATTATCATCAAGACATACCTCTTCAACACGCTTTCGGTCATCAATCCCCTCCTCCTCCTCCCCCTCAGCTCCCACCCTCAGCTCGGATGCCCAGCCAACTGTGTCCAGCGCTTTGGGATGTTCCCTCAGACGCGAAAGGCGCTGCATAAATGCAAATTGGCGTCGTGTTGGATCGTATTAGCCAGAGATATCGCTGCCAGTGAAGAACCCGAACATAACTAGCGAGCGAGGCAGTCGGTCACTTTGTGCATCTTGCTTAAACCGAATTATTTCTTAGCAATGTCACTGAAAATTCAAGTACAGCACTAACAAGGGTGGGGTGCGGTGTGGATGTGGGTGGGGGTGAGAGAGAGAGCAGTGAATCTTGTCACTTGCCTGCTGTAGCATTTCCTCAGTTGAGTTCAGCTTTAGCTGGTGTTCCTCCAGACAGGCCTCCAGGTCCCTGATCTTCTCTCCCTGCGCTTCCACCTGATCTGTCAGAACGCTCACCTGGCATTACACAGGGCAGAGAGAAAAGCGTTCACACACAAACACGCACACAAACCCACACACGACACCACGAGCAGGAATCCTGGCCCTGCCTCCAATCTGGCTGATAGTTTTAAAAAAAAATCAAATAATCCTTCCGCATTTGGATTTTTGTGCTTGGGTTGGTTATTTGCAGTCGGCAACGCCCCCTTGTTATGAGGCTTTAATGCCCGTGACGTTCAAAGTTACAGAGCAATGATGTTACACTTCTGATCCGAGTCAAGATAGAAATTGTGATTTTTTTAGTATAAAGAAAGAGGAACAAAAATTGACTCACATTCCCCCCTCACCGCTCACACACACTCACCGTGAACCAATTATTTGACTTGTAACTAATTTGTGACGAGTTGCGAAATGCCGGTGGAGGAGGTTTTTGGAACTGGGTGCAGGAATGTTGAGGGAAGACAGGGACGAGCTCACACTCAGCTCACTCAGAACATGCACTCCAGGGCTGACTGGGAGTCGAGCGAGCTGCTACTTGAAACAGGAACACAAGCTGCACCCAAGCATTGACAGATATCAGGGCCTCTCGCCAGCCACTGACACTGTACTGCAGGGTGAGCAATGTAATCAATACTTCACCTGAATGGCTGTAAAGTGCAGCGGTTCTATGTTTTAAGCTCCGAGACACTGTCCGTATAGCGTGAAGGGCCCTGTATAAATGCAAGTAGGTGACTGTGGGCAGCTAATTGCTCACGCAGTGACCCACAAACAGCCACGAAGGGAGTGAATGATTTTAATCTGGGGGTGAAGGAGGGGGGGGGGGGGCAGCGGAGGGAGAGAAATAATATACACTGGAGAGGAACAATCCATAGTGAGGTGTAACATACGGATTGGGCTACTAGCACAGCCCGGATTACAGTGCATTCATTAACCAGAACACCCCACCTGTAGCACGAGAGACTCCTTGTCACTTTCCAACCGCGTCAGTCGGTCTTGATAGCTTTCATTGTTCACTGTGGCACGGCGATTACCCTGAAATTAATGATAACAATAATAATAATAATAACAATAATAACAATAATAATAATAACAACAATAATAACAATAATAATAGAGGTGAAAAATAATCACATTTGCCAAACAAAGACGGCCACAATATTTGGGCCTCTTGTCCGCAGGGACCTTCTCCCTGCAAATAAATGTCACTGAGCTGGGAAGGGGGAGAAGTGGTCGTGCTGGGGGTAACCAGCAACTGGAACAAGTTGTCAGGAAGGGTCATTGAGGCCAGGACCCTGGGATGTGTTTAAAAAGAGACCATACCAATTCTGTGACGCGATAACGGTAAAGGTGGGTGTTCTGGATGGATGAGATCCAGAGCGCACACCCTACCACAAGAGACAAAAANGAGAGCAAGTGACAAGAGAAAGAGAACATCTACTCTCCAGTGTACAAGTGCGTGTCTGTGGTCATTGAGCCGGTCTGCAATAGGCTCTCGTTCAATAGCCTATAAAACTTGCTTTTAATCCTCAAACATCAGGAACAATTGTTTGGAGCTGACTGCTAGAGAGAGCTGATCTCTTGGAAAAGTTAAAGCAATCAAATCACCTTCAGGAGAGAAACTTGGATGTCCCAAGGAGCTGAAAACTGATGGCTGGGTGTGGAGAGGGGGGGGTTCGGGGTAGATTTCAAGCATTGAAATCTTACTCCCAAAACGGCAAATATCTGCAGTGTTAGTGTGAAGCTCAGCTATTTCCTCTCTAGCTAAAGGACTTTGAACCACAGCTGCAAATTCTCACTGCTTGAGAACGTACAGCTGACACACGGTATAAACACACTGAGCTGTTTGCTACAGATTGCAGATCAAAGTTAATTTTTTAAAAAATTTTAGAATAAAAACAACCCTCCTCCCAGATTAACCAAAATAGAACAAAGCCCAATTTTAATTGATTTTAACCACTTCAGACCTTAAACACAACTCCCATCTTCTCTCAGCCTTGCCTCCCCCCCCCCTCTTCTATAACCATTTACATATCCTCTGGGTCTCAAACACATCTTTTCTTTTTATAATCTCCCACTGTCGCCTTCTTTTGCCTCGCAGCATCAATACCTTTGTTCTCATCATCCCTTGTTCTCCACCTAAATTTTTCCTTTGTCTTTCTTTCCCATCCCCTTCTCTGTTTGTCCTTATAATCTGCCCCCTTCCAACTCCCAATCCTGAGGAAAGGTCATTGACCTGAAACGTTAACTCACTTTCCACTCTCCATAGAGGCTGCCTGACCTGCTGAGAATTCCCAGCCGCTTCTGTTATTAGAACAATGCCCGAGTTGGTGTTGGAATGATATCTCAGGCAAAGCACGTTAAGGGAAGACTATATGAACCTCTTGGACGTCACTTTAATATGAATGGACAGAGAGATCCAGGATAGGATGCACCAAGACTGCAAAATGAGAGAGAACAAGGACTGCAAAGGGCAATTTCAGGCCACACGCAAGTATTTCTTTGCCAGAGGGTAATTAACTATTGCAATCGATTGCCAGGAAGGGTGGTTGAGGCCAGGGCACTGGAACTCATTTAACTAAGAGCTGGATGTTGTGATGGCTGTTCTGGGACAGGCTGCTGCAACAAAAACTGTTTGTAGATGCCACAATACAGCCTTTGCTCTCTCTCCCTCTCGCTCCCTGCCAACTACTGCAGTCACCATTCTACCAACCAGATAGTCCCATATACAGTCCAAACATCCCAGCCTTTCCACACAGTCTGTTTCTAGTTCAGTGTTCAGCACTTATATGGGGAATCTTGTTGACGTAAGCCTAGGTTCTTGGGAGAAGGCCAGGCAGAAAAACCAGATGCAAGAGTAAATCAAAATACATCAGCTGTTCATCAATGTTATGAAGCATTGAAGGGAGCACGAGTAGCTGTGGAGGTAGGGGAGAACAGAGGAATATTTCTAAAGAAGACCCTTTAAAGGGCATTGTCCTAAACTATTGGTAAAAGAGGTCCTGACGTGTCACCTAGTCTCAGTTTATGAGACCACTGTGTCTTTGTCTTAAAATGTAAGATTGGGTACAGTTTACAGCAGAAATAGTGATTGTAATTTACAGTTTGTCTGCTTTAGCTAATGTAATCCCCTAACCCTAATGTGCAAAATCTCTGTAGTCACTTTTACTTTAGAATCTAGTTTTGCACAGTAAGTTCAGGCTTCCAGACCATAAGTCTGGATTTAAGAGTTCCTCACAGTTATAGATCAAGACAAGATTGTCATGCAGGTTAAGACCAGGTGGGATTTCAGGCCCAAAGGGTCCTCAGTAGATGACAGTGACCACAATTATCACAAGGTTACCTAAACCACTACTACTGTAAGTAACCAGCTAACGGTTAGTTAGCTGCAAATGTTGCAGCCTGCACTAACTCAATGTAATAAACGTGAAATTGACACGAACTCCAATAAAAGTCAGTTCTGTGGCTTGGGAGCACATGATTCACAGTCTCTGGATTGTAATAGCAATAATAGTCCTCGCATTCGATGCAGTGCCTTTCACAACAGGAAGATGTCTTCAAGCGTTTCACAGGATTTTTTCTGTAAAGTGCAGCGAGCGCCTATTTTGTTGGTGAACTTAGTCTGACTTTGGCAGTTAAAACAAACAAACAAAGCCCCCAAAAAGGCTCTTGGGTCAATTACTCGGTGGGTCACTGTTGCACAGAGAATCACAAACTTGGGCGGGGATAGTAGAGAAACAGAAAGCAAGAGAGAGAGAGAGAGAGAGAGATGGTATTCATTAGTTATCATGTGGTTTCATTAATGGCAGCAGTGTAGGGCAGTGTGTGGAGACTTGCTGTACACGCTTCACACACTTCTACAGGAGTCCTGTAGCTCAGTGGTTAGAGCACTCGCTTTGCAAGTGAGAGACCTGAGTTCAATTCCAGGCAGAGGGCGAAACCTTGGGCAAGTTTCCTTACTCCACACAGAGCCTAATAATAATCCCTCCAAAACCAAACAATAATAAATTGGTCATTTTCAATCTACGACTGTTTGTGGGACATTGCTGTGCGCAATTGGCTGCCGCGTTCGCCCACAAATATACAGTCAATTCACTTTACAGTGTGTTCTGTGAAGCGCTTTGGGACGTCCTCCCGACGTGAAAAGCGCTATATCAAATGCAAGGATTATTATTATTATTTTTAGTTTTCATCAGTTTGAGGCAGTGACTACGGGCTCGATGCAGTGGGCTGAACATGAACCACGGCACCAACAGATATTAAAGCAAATAGCGCACTGATACAGGGAATTCACATTCTGGTCGTCTGTTACTGAAGTGAAAAAATATACACATTTTAACCAGACTGGCTGCTTAGTTAGTCTTTTCAAAGGTTAAAAGGATGAGCGGAAATTCCTGCCCTACATGCCACAAATTACTCTTTGAGTTAATGAGTGGCTTTAACAAGCCGTTTTACTGAAATCTCTTTGGCATGTGACTAATTTAATATTCTCAAGCATTTAGATCTCAATCACTGAATGGAAAGCAGTCTGAAGCACAGTTTAACACAGCAGCTGAAAACTATTATAACAGGATGAAACTTTCCTTCAACTCTGGACTGAGGGCTGCAAACCCAACAATGAATAAACACAGGCAGCAGCGCAGATCGAGCCGAGTTTGGGCAGTTTACGTTGAACGGACAGCAGCGTAGTTGCAGCGTAGTTTGCGAAACACCTCGCCACATTGAGAAAATGCTACAAAGGTCTGCCACAGTCCAGCAACAGCATACGTGCCCGTGCCAGTGCTTTGCATCAAGTGAATTTTCTATCAACTACTTAAAAAAAAACAGATCCCATCAGCTTCCCCAGAATGGGCTCCCACTGTGGAATAATGTTAGCTATTTCCTGATCTGCTCTCTCGGAGAAATGCGTTCCCCGACCTTCCTCTCCCCCACCCCCACCCCACACCCCTTTGCCTCATTTCATTGCAGTTCCTTGAGAAATCCACACTTGTTATTGTCTTGTAAGTTTCAACCTGAGTTTGGAAATTTGTTTGGAGAAAAGAAAACCCTATATATAAGATGTGAAGAAAAGTTCCAATAAAAAGTTTTGAAAGCTTTTCTTGTTTTTAAAAAAAATGAGCGACTCATACAAAAGCCACGGAACGGCATTGTTAAAATAGGGGTGTAAGCAACAGTTCTGAGTTATGAGACACAAACACCTTTTTGAGTTCATTAGTTGGACGAGTCAAGTCGGAGTAGAGATAAACTGAGACACGTTTCTGAAAAAGTTTTACTTTTTAAGAAAGCCTCTTGGATTTTTTTGAAAAAAAGCACAAAGTTATAATAATAATCCTTGCATTTGATATAGCACAAAGTTATTAGGTCTTTTTACAAAAAAAATGACATATAGTTGATTTTTGTTTAAAAAAATGCTATATATACTGTGTATATATAATAATAAATGTATATGTGTACACTATACACATACACAACTACACACACAACCACACACAGACACAGACACACACCAAACACAATGAAAGACACAAAGTACCTACCCTTTTAAGCCAAGTGAAGTGCCTGTAAATATCTATCTCACCATCCATGCTTTGGACCCACTGTATCCATTATTCAATATGAGAGAAGTAGAGAAGGTTTTGGCAAGAGGTTCGGAAGCATCGCAGAGCAAAGCCACAGCGACCTACACACTGGGAACCACTCTTGGTACTTCAATCTGTCTCTCTCTCTCTCTCCTCTGCCCCTCAGGCTTTAACACGAGGCACGGCTGCACAAACCCCGAGACATGATGTGATGGCTGGGTCGATCGAGGCAGCATCTGGTTTTCAGTGCAAATTGCAGAAAAAAAAAGCCTGCGACTGGTGACTGGATCCTCCGAGCAGATTAAGCCATCGAGTAACGAGTCAGATGCCTTCACTTTGACCTTATTTTACTTCATGTTCCTGCTGCGAGACTTAAAGGGTCCGGTTTCTAAACCCCAAAAACATTCCATTTAAATCAGCAAAACTTGACGGCTGCCACGACCAGACTTCAGCTATTTCCTGTCACAATTGCAACCATCACACAGTCCAGCCACCTATTCCCCCCCCCCCCATCTTTCTCACTCTCTCACTCCCTCTCCCATCTCGCTTTCTCTCTCCCCCCACACATTTCTGTCAGAGCATCAAACTAAAAATAGCCAGGCTCTCAGTTTACCCTGGCTCTACACGGTTCGCTAAAGGTACAGAGCCAAGTAACTTGGCTGCTGATTCTTTCTCTGTGGGCAAAGTCTGCTCACCGACACCAAACGTAAAAGATGAATCTCATATCTCTCTCCAACCCCCCCCCCTCCCCGACTCTGCTCACTTCAATCATTTGCTCACCAAATAGTTATTAAAGCACTCACCTCACCCCCCCCCCCACCCCCCCACCCCCCAGTGTGATTGGAGGGACCTTGAAAGTCATTTAATACGAGAGAAGGTTTAACTGCTCCATAAACAGCGATGATAAAATAGCAGGAGACCAAACAGCAACTTGCATTTATATAGCACCCTTCACATGGGGAGCGCTTGACAGTGGTGGAGAAGGACACCGAGCCAGGGGGAAGGGGGGGTTGGGGCGGTGAAAAAAAGCATCATCAAAAAGGAAGGTCTTTAGGCAGGATTTGAAAGTGGGGAGGGAGGGGGCAAGGCGGGGGGATTGAGGTGATGGGGGTGATCAGGAAGGGGACAAGTTCTGAATGGCTGAAAATTTGTCGCAAGGTAAACCATATTCCCCAAGCGATAAGTTCTCACCGGTGAACGGATGGACCACAAAGACTGCACTCTGTTCCATTTCCCAGTCGCTTGACACAAGCGAGGACAGAGCCAGACTGAGCAGATAAGGGAAAGCTCGCGGAAAACAAAAAGTAATTTCAAAACTAATTAAATCTGCCACTCAATACGCTTTGCTCTAATACATTTACACGTTTGCCAACAGTAATAAATCCTTTCGGGTGGTTGGTTGGGTGGGGGCTAAAAAAAAACCCGAGACATTCGAGAGATTTGCCTGTGGAAATGACAAATCAGAAAAAGAACACCACAAATCAAACAATGATTCACTGCGTCACACAAAACCATAGCAACGCAAATTCGGACAGAGGGGGAGAAAAAAAGAGAAGCCTTTAGTTCCTCAACCACTTTTCCACCTCCTCCCCCTTCCCCCCCACCCCGGTCTACATCCGTTTATACAAAAAGAAAAAAAAATCTCCCTTCACTTCTGTAAATATCACTTTTTTACTTTTATTTAGCAAAGTAATCTGTGCAGATGCGGTTTTAGAAGCAAATAAGTAAAGGCCCATTCAATACAATGGGCTTCAGTATATTGGGACCCCCATTATAACACCGTCATTTGTGGTGGGGGTGGGTGGGTTGTAGACAATGGCTCCATCATTGAGCGAGACCCACCAGCCGGCTGGGACTGATGCTAAGCAATTTCGTGCTTTAAAAAGCATCACGTAAGCCAGTGTCTGAGTGTACCGAGTGCCAATCAAAGCAAATTCCTATTAAACACTCTTCCAAACAGTCAAGATTTCGATCACTTTGTCAGTTGTGGAGCACACTGGCACGTCTCGTTGTTGTGGTTTCGGTGCTGACTGGGTTAAAGCTTTAGTTCTTGGTTATTTCAGGCAATTTTCATGTTTCTCTGGTTAGTTCTGGTTCCCCCCCACCCCCCACCATCATTCCCAGTTTACATTAGCCAAGTTCAGTAGCAAGGCACAAACACTGTGTCAACCGTCTGTGCAGCATGAAGACAGCGTGTGGGGGAAAAATAAAAAAATTGAAGACTAATGAATTATACTCTGTGCATTTGACATAACAACAACTTGCATTTATACAGCTCCCTTCACGCAAGGTAGCAGGAGCGACTCGGAGCGCTTGACATAACACCTCATCACGTGGCAGAGACATCTTGAAGAGCATCTTTCGCTCGATTTACTTTTAATGGTTATAAAAATAAAAAAGAAAGAAAGAAAGAAAGAAAGAAAGAAGGAAAGAAAGAAAGAAAGAAAGAAAGACAGACTTGAACTGACGGCTTTCCATGTATTATGTGGGAAAGCAGAGTGCACGGCCCAGTCAGTATTTTTAGTGGTTTCAATTCCCTACTGACCCTTCGGATTGCTGGGCTAAATTTAGACACAACTCTCTTGAAATGAGAAATGAACCACACAGAAGGTTGCTCGCAACTGATCCAGCTGGTAAGTCAATCTGACATCCCTACAAGCCCTCACAACAACCCGAGCAAAGTCTCGGCACACGAGAATTAACAGGATTACCAATTCCAGCATGTCACCATCTCGCAAACTGCAAGCTCATTACAAGAAGACTGGGTTCGTCTGTACAGCGCTGTAAACTGGCTTTGCAGCAGCAAAGCAAGAACCCATAAAAAGTAAAGTAAGTGCCAGTTACCACATCTGTAAAAGTAACCAGAAATTGCACATTCTGTTAAAAACAAATCCTACTCTCCCCGAAAAAAAACCATGGTAAATAAAGTATGTGTGTGTGTGTGTGTGTGTGTGTGTGTGTGTATAGTGTGTGTGGTGGGGGGTGTGGGGGAGAGATAGCAAATAAAATAAATTAAAACATCTTTTAATCCACATTGTATATCAAAAAGATTTATTTACTCACGGATTTATGCATTTGTTGACAGAACGCATTCTTAATATTAAATGAGAAACTTCCGAGCAGTTTTCGTTGAAAAAAAAAGAATTATTATTATCAATCTGCGTGAAAGGCACTGTCAGTAACAGGCTCTTGTGACTGTACATCAAAGCCATTTAAAAACAGCTGGCATGGTATGAAGGCTGCTTAAGCAATAACAGCTGCCTGTGAAGCTCGCTCTATTGTACGTACACGTCAACTGAACTCAGACGAGAGTCTCTGTGGGTCAGAATTATCGAAAGCAAAATGCGGATAATTCAATTTAAATGGCGATCCTAATCTCCACTTGGACTTACCCTCACGAGAATTAAACAATCGATACTCCCTCTGTGTTCGGTCGGGACTAAACTCCAGCTTTTGTTGGAACTGGGGTGTTGGACAGGAAGTAATTTCAGTCCTGCATGAGTCTGACTGATTGCACTGACTCTATACTAGTTCCAACTATTTCCTCCCTCGGACTGAAAAAAATTGCACTGTATGAAAAGTCCCTCCTCGTCAAAGCCTTTGTGTTCCACCTGGATGTGCACGCGTTCCATTCAATACGTTTCAAGAGTTCGGGAAAGACAGCCAATTTTGTTCCGTTAAAACAAACTGGGAATTCTTCTAGTCTATGTCCGTATCCCTCAGTTGCATTTACACGTTCACTGAGAACGTTCAAGTTTGTCCTGTTAATGTGAAGGCACTATTGCCAGGAGGGTAGGACAGGCATATCTTCCTGGAGTCAAGAGCATGACTTCAAAGTAGAAGTAGATTTGCTGTTTCTGATTTTACGCGTTGGTGTAAAGCACTGGGTTACAGAGGGCTTTCGCCTCCCTGACCCGCCTTTGAATCCAGTGCCCCGGATGGACGGGGTGAATGGTCTGGGAGGCTGCCCTGCGAGAGGGGCGCCATATAAATGCAAGTTGACTTCTTTATCTCGTGCACTGCTGTCTCAAACTGGTCCCCTTTGCCAACCACACACAGACCTGCTTTGCTCTGAGACCACTTAGTTCACTGCACAAAACTGCTCGCATCGCAACAGTGCAACCGGCAGCTCCACAAGCTCACAGCCGCGATGGAACCAGACAAGTTGGACTGGTGACTGTGGGAGCCACATGCAGGTGGCGAAGGTACTTTGCAACAGGAAGCGATTACCCTGCATTGAACATTCAGCCTCACGTCTGATAATGGGTACAAAAATCAAGATGTTCCTGGCACCTGGTGCTCCCCTCACTGCTGCTCAGCAACAAGGCAGAGCAACCCCCACCCCCACAAACACCAAGTGCCCCCTCATTACCTGACCCACAACTCCATCCAATTAACACAAGACCTAGAGCCTGGATATGCTTTGTGAAACCACCACGTTGCCAGGAAACTAATGTAACAGAGCCAATGCTCATGTATATCTCAGATGTACCCATTAACAGCTATTAACACTGCACAAAAAACAGCAGGTGCATCTTCAGCCTCAACGTACGGTCTGAAAGAGGCAGCGAGTGAGTCACCACCAAGCACAAATATCAATTAATTAGCCATTTATCAGCTGAATGGTCTTTTTTTCTTTCCACGTTACATACAACATACCAATTGCAGTTAAACAAGGGAAGCGAGAGATTCACACACTGAGCTGAGGGACCAGAATTGGAAGGAAAGTTTGGTTCAATGTAAGGTCTTGTCGCTACTGTTATTGGATATGGGTCGGGAGGCAGGGACCGTATGTGTGTGAGTTGGTTGTCCATCAACGTTCTGTCAATGTTTACCATGTGGGGCAACGACACTACAATTTGTTGGGGCAATCTGCACCAGATTCAGTCAGTTTGTTTTTAAGACGGGTCAGGCCAGGTTGATAATAATAATCCTTGCATTTGATATAGCGCTTTTCACATCTTCTCGACGTCTCAAAGCGCTTCACAGAATAGACTGTAAAGTGAATTGACCATATATTTGGGGGCGAAATGCTGCAGCCAATTGCGCACAGCAGCGTCCCCACAAACAGTAGTGAAATGACCAATTTATTATTGTTTTTTTTGAGGGATTACTTTTAGGCGTGTGGAGTAAGGAAACTTGCCCAAGGGTTTACCCTGTTGGTCTGGCTTGAAGGAAAGACTAATAAACCAACTATTAATCGATTCATTTTACAGAGGCAGCTATTTTTTAATATGTCTCTCAAATGTATGTATGAAGAGGCCTGAAAAGAGACAAAATGAAAACAATCCTTGCATTTGATATCGCGCCTTTCACATCAGGATGACATCTCAAAGCGCCGCACAGGAGCTGTGGCTGTGCATTTTGCAGCCGAACGAGAACAAGTTTAGTTCAGTATAAACAAACAGTGCTGTTCAAAATGACGTCCGATGTGGTTTTAGGAAACCCCCCACATTTAGGGCAGAAACCATTGGGCTGCTGATAATTTACGATCCTTAAATTAACAGTAATTTTTGGCACCTTAAACTGTGCGCTGGAGGCGATTCACACACTAAGCTTGTTAACTCAGTCAAAGTGGAACAGGGTGCAAGTCCTGGGAAGTGTTTTGAATATGCCAAATCTATCTCCCTATGAATAAAGGCTGTCCTTCAGTCACCTCCTGCTATTATGTGGGGGCTTGTGTGGACCTGACCCACCTGCACTACACTGAGCAACGTGGGAAAAGACTCAGCCCGAACATGTGCCT